CCTACAAAAAATGGGTATATATTCCATAGTAAACTGTTGAATTGCCAAGGGGTGAAACAAAAACAACTAGGCCAGAGCATGGATTTCGTGGGTGTCGTGGTGAAATGTCTGGAAGAGTGACCCAATTCATCAACGAAACCTGATCAAGTTGTCTCCCACTTAGGGCATGGTTGTACTTGATCTGGATACCAAGGTTGTTTTCGGCATGCGGCTGATACGGCGCCCTTGGAAGGGTTGCCAATTTTGAGATGTGCCATTTACGATCCCTTGGAAGGGTTGCAAATTTCAAAAATGAGGCTTGCTGAAATGGGGGTATAGGATTTGATTTTTTTGAGTTTTTATCATGTTGCACATGCTGTGGTATGATCATCAGGGGGGGTGGGGGTGGGGGGTGGGAGGGGTGTATTAACGTTCTTGACGAGCACTTCCTTTACGTTACGGAAGATGCACACGTTGCGCATGCTGTCGTATGATCATCAGGGGTGGGGTGGGGGTGGGGGGTGGGGGGGGTGTATTAACGTCCTGACGAGCACTTCCTTTACGTTACGGAAGATGCAAACGTTGCACATGCTGTCAGTTGCGTCAAAGATTATCCCCACAAAAGGTTCAAGTTGGCCCAAGTCAACCACAAACAAAATATCTTTACTAAGACTAAGACTTATCATTTTCGAGGTCGTTTGTGGGATAGATCCTATAGAACCATTGTTGCTGGTACTCAACAAATGGATGGAACATGGAAACACTTGAAAAAATGGCGACCTCCGTCGATGCTCCACAAAAAAAAAGTGTACAAAAAAGGTACACTTGGGCCTACAGCTGGACATGGCGTCACAACGCTGCCTTGTTGCAGACTGTGGCTTCTGCGTTGCCACAAGCGCTCTGGCACCGCTAGCGTCGAGAAGAGGAAAAAACTGGAAGAGTGAATGTCGCCCTGATATGATTCGGATGATTGAAAATCATAATTTTCTAATGTTTTTTTTTGACCCTTGAAGAGCAAAATCGAGTCACCGCGCAGGCGAAACGCAAATTTTCACTCTTGAGTCACACGCCTGCCAATCGAAATGAATGTCCATGTTGCAAACATTTTTTGACGACTCCTGCAAATACCAGCATTTTGTCTCTTAGCCTCAAAAATCAGAATTTCAAATTCGTCACCCTTACAAGGGCGCCGAGTCAACCGGTTGCCTTGTTTTCCAATGTGTTGCATACAGGAAGACAAAATACATCAAATGCAAATACATGAACATAGCATCCAAAATACCATATATATATATATGATATATGATATAGATAGAAAATTACAATATCATTGACCAAATACATCCAAACACCAGATATGATATCAGAATACAGATATCTCGTCCTTGGATTCCTTGGATCCATCGATTTTCTCAATCGCTGCTCCCCAAAGTCTCGCCTCGCACAGGTCCGGCCAGGGACTTTCCTTGGCCACCCTAGGCCATTCTCCCTTCACCGCCTGGCGTACGATGGGATCACCGCCTGGTGTTTTTTGGTTTACCTTACGGGAAAGTGGTGGATTTTTATATGGCGAACTGGTTTTTGATATAGTCACAAGGTCAATAGATGATTTGTTCAATCATGATCTAGTCAATAGGTCATCCGATAACATCAATATATGATTTGTTCCATTGTTTTGAATATGATGTTATGGGATGTGAAGAATTAGCAATTAGATGAGAAGGTGCCCCATCTCTGTCGAGACTTTGGATTGCTGAGATCCAACCGCCCATTCTTGCAGGTTCTAGTCCCATGTTTGGTGCTTCAACCCGCCCATTTTGTCCAGTTTTGGCGCTGAAAGCGACATTTGGAGTGGTCGCTCCATCCCTCCATGTGTGTTGCGTCTGAAAAGATATGCCAAAATATCATAGTCATCATTGGTGGTATACCTACCCCTCTAAAAAATATGAAAGTCAGATTGGATCATCATCCCAACTATTCGGGAAAATAAAAAATGTTCCAAACCACCAACCAGTCATACTGTCCTATCAAAATTGCCATTGTATGGAGTATGAAGATCCTCCATTTTCAGAGACGCCCTTAAACCTGATTCAATGTCACGGTATCTAAACTCCGCATCGATTGCTTCCGAAAACAAAGATGCAATCAAAAAAAAAATTGGGTTGGTTATCCCATGTTATTAATGTTATACCACATTTTGGACAAACCCATGGCATCTTATCCGTTCTTCATTGGCCATGGGGCCTCCACACGCGCAGAGGCAGCAGCCAGCTGTTTCTCCATGTCCCCAATGATACTTTGCAGGTCCTGGCGCGCTTGGCGCACCATGACGGGCCATGGGTCGATAGCGAAAAGAAGACCTCACCGAAGTTGCCAAAAATGGCCGTGGTAATTACCCTCTGGTGAACTAACATAGCTATGGAAAATCACCATTTTTAATGGGAAAAACCACTATAAATGGTCATTTTCAATAGCTATGTTAAATTACCAGAGGGTATGTTGAAAGCGAAATTTTGGGGTCTGATCACAGACGGTCTGATCCATTTTTTTGCGGGGTTACTTGATCAATCATCGGATTCAAGTAAAAAGAAGGAACATGCTGCGTTAAACAACCAAAAGAGATCAAACGTCCGTGGATTTGGCGCTGCTTCGCTTGACGAAAATTCATTGGGACCGTTTCATCCGTTTCATCTCACAAGGTGGATAAAACATCTCATGTCAACCAGGTACTCCCTAAAGAGTGAAGAGCCTAGGGGTTTATCCAGGGTTGACAATAAACCAGTAATTTCCAAAAACATCCTCTCCATCTTTGGCTTTATGAAAAAAGTCGGAGGTGCCCATCTTCCCGTCTCTTGGAGTTGGATGCATATGCCTTAACTTGTTGCACCCCCCCAACCAGGACAAAAACACCTATGATACACATACGACATAGATATTCACTAATCTAAACTACCGGTCCAACCGTCTAACCCCCTCCTCCCAGCGGAAAGCCATTGAAAAAATGCGGGTGGCGACACAACCATTATATTCCCATGAAAAATCACCATTGCTTCGTTGTATCCTCATTTTTGTTGCTAAAAAAACGCCATTCTTTGGTTCAACCCTTGTTTATCCCACTAATTCCCATGAAATCCCCCATTCAATCCCCATCTTTGTTAGTAAAAAATCCCCAACTAAACCAACTTTCCCATGGAAATCATCATTCAATCAATTAAAAATCACCATTTTTCGAGACGGTGAAGCACTTTTTCATTGGTCAAATCCCAAGATTTCTTGCTAACCATGAAAAATCCCTATAAAGTCACTCTATAATCACAACATTCCTCTCATTCATCCTGAAATCCCCATGAAATCCCCCATTCATCACCGTCACAAATCACCATGAAATGTCCTTCCCTTTCATCACCAGTAATCCTCCTATCTGCTGAAAACGGCTCGGTTGCTGAAATCCCCAGTCTTAGTTATATCATGTTATATCTGGTTGGTGGTTGAGCCACCCCTCTGAAAAATATGACTTCGTCAGTTGGGATTATATATTATTCCCAATATGATGGGAAATTCATAAAACCCCATGGTTCCAGTCACCACCAACCAGATATCCCCAACATCCAATCCATATAAATCCCCATAAATCCCCATAAATCCCCATAAATCCCCCATTTCTTCCCCAAAAAAACCACGGCTGCGTCGCCCGGGACGTCCTGTTCCTCCGCTTCCTGCAGCGTCAGCACCACGCTCTTCGCGGCGCTGGAGGCACCGGGCGAGGCGCCGGGGGAAGAGGCGCTGGGCGAGGCGCTGACGCCTTGGGAAATTCCATGGGAAATCCATGGGAAAATCATGGAATCTCCCCAAATCATGGAAAAAATGGAGGTTTACAGCTGGGAACATCTTTTTTGAAAATATAGAAACGAAATTTGAAGTTATTTTTGACATACAGTTTTTTTGGAAATAGATTGGTTAAACCCCTATACATATATGATTTACCATTATATATATAACCCGAGTTGCATTACTTATAACCAACTTCGCTGACTATGGGGCTCCATGATCTCAGTCAACCCCAAAAAAGATAAGTATTAAATAAAAATATGATTCAAACAATAGTGATTAATGATCCGTCCATATTTTTGGAGGGGTGCTATGGGGTGTTATAAATGTAAAATAATCATCTCAATCTAAAAGTGTCTGCGTTGTTTGTTTACTCTTTTCTAGGAGGTCCTACACATGCACATTGGAAAGAAGAGATGTTGACAGAAAAACGACTTGGGATATAGATATACAGTATATACTGTATAGTATATACACATTTAGGTATAGAAATATCACAACTGCGATATCCCAGGCCTCAATTGGGAAACCTGTCCATCGGAGTTGAGTTATGGCCGTGGATTAACCGTTGGCCAATGACTCAGTGGAGGGAAAATAACGTCTGATATCATTCAGAGGATTACAGGCCCCACGCGCACGCGCAACCGCAATCCGTCCGAATTTTCCATGTGGACGCGACGCCCAGGGCTTTCCGACCCTGTCATCGAAAATCACCAGATCGCTCGGCGACCTGTTCATGGGGTCCATCCCAAGTAGAAGGACCCCAGACATCGCACTGTACCGCTGTACCACACCCGAAGGGGTCGATTTCAGGTGGTCGAGCCACCAGCTTTCTTCGGCACCTGAGCCATGGGGGATCAGCAGCAAAGGTGACTGGAAATACTGTGGATGGGCCAGCGAAATCCTGCACCACCTTGGATGGTTGAAACTCTATAATGGGATAAACCACCTATCAACTGGTGCAGGATTTCTTCCATCCATTGTATCAATGGAACTATATTGGAAGCATCTGAGCCATGAATACCCCTATCCCATCTCATTCTACTGGTCGCTTAATAAATATTCCTATTATGTTTTATAATTTATAATTGATTGAATTATAATAATCCACAATCAACCTGTCAGTATAAAGCAACATCTTCGGACTGGCAGCCCTTCCCCAAGCACAGTCCCCTTCGGCGGGTCACACCGTGTCACACCACGATCTCCGGCTTGCCCGCAATGCAGGACAAGTCCATGCAGTATCCTGGATGGCACAGCAACCCTGCTGGGCCATCGACGGCGCCAACAAAAACGCGACACTTAGATGTTTTGAGACACTTATACGTAGTCTTTGTTCTCAACAAACGAGTTGTTTCTTGCAAAAAAACGCACTGAGTCTTGAAAAAAACTCAACAAAGACAAAAAAACATCGAGTTGGGCTGTACCTCCCATTTACCCTCTGGTAAACTAACATAGCTATTGAAAATGGCCATTTATAGTTGATTTACTTCTAACAAATTGTGATTTTCTATAGCAAACTGTTAGTTTACCAGAGGGTATATCATATGTATATATATATTATTCTTGAAAGAAACTATACCCTTTGGTTATTTAACATATCCATGGAAAATCACTATTTGTAATAGGTAAACCCAGGTAAACCATCTATTTCTATGGGCCATCTATACCATGGCTATGTTAGTCATAACCATCTCCCAACCATCGCCCAAGGGACGTGTGCAAAGATCGCCGAGGGACGAGGGCCTTGGGCGTCCGGCAGGTAGCTTCCCAGGTGAGTGCCACAGGAGGAGTAGACGAAGCCGTCCTGGCAGAAATTTTCAAGGTGTTGATATGTGTTTTCTTTGTATCTACATATAGATCTCTACATATATATCTACATATATATCTACATATATGGATATATATATATATACATATATATCTATATATCATACATATATGGATATGTATCATATATATATATGGAATTATATATATATATATCATATACATGATTAAATTGTATATGGAATGGGACTTCCCGGGAATCGCGGGATTGGATAAGCATTGGAGATATGGCTGGTATGTGCCCCAGTCGTCACCATGGTCGTTCATGACGACTGGATGATTTGGGGTACCCCCCGTTTTAGGAAACCTCCATATATGGATAATACATATGTAAAAATAAAGTTTAACTACATCTAACAATAGCTATATCAACTATATATATAGATATATATATATCTACACATACACGTTGATACTCTATCTACAAATATATATATATGTAACGATGTTGCTTTAGATACATGTTGATACTCACTCTATCTATAAATATATATATATAATATAAAGATGTGTGAAGCTGACATATCGTAATTTCATAGATGGATCCACTGAGAATGGTGCTTCATATCCATATATATATATAGTGGTTTCCTAAAATGCTGGTAGCCCAACAAATGTCCGAAATTGTTTATTTTCAATGGGAAAACCAATGGTTTGGAGTACCCATATATTAGGAAACCTCCATATATATATACATACAGCGCACCTCTAGTAAACTAACATAGCTATTGAAAATGGTGATTCATGGTTGATTTACCTATGAAAAATTGTGATTTTCCATATTGATGTTAGTTTACCAGATGATAATTATGATCATTAGATGATTATGGTCATAGATGATATTCATAGATATGATCATTCTCCAATTAGATGCCCCAAAAAAAAAGATGCCGACGTCCTTGTCAACGGTCACATGCTCGGAGAAGACCTCCTCCTGCCAATAAGCGGATTTTTCCATGGCGAAACGGAAATCCCCCGAACGAAACGGCGGAAAATCATCGATAAATGGAAGTTTGCAGTTGGGAAAATCATCTATAAATGCGTGATTCATCCATCCCAAATGGGAAAAAACTGATAAATGGCAACCCCGAAGAGGACAAATAAGAAGTAAAATTCGAAACCATTTTTGTTGGTAAATTACGTGTCTATCTTTTTAGGGGTTACGATAGCTATGGTGAAGATTGCCCATTTATAGATTATTCACCTATTGAGAATGGTAAGTGATTATACAACATCGTCCCTGAAAATTGCCAATTTGAGTAGAAAGGAATCGCGCAACCCCGGACTTATGGCAGGGTCATTATATTAGTTGGGAAAATTGAGAAGAGTAAAATGCAAACTTGATATGTGATTTCTAGATTTATTTGCTGCAAAAATTGGTATGAGACTGAGTTGCTGGTTGAATGTGTAGGTATGCAAAGTTAAATTGATGTGTGTGGGTGGCAAAAAAATGCTCAACATACGGGACATGAACCAGCAAGGGTTCAGGATCTGAGCGTCAACAATCCGGATGCTGGCCAAAAAGATGGAATTTCCTATGGAAACTAAGCAACTGGATGTATAAAAGCCACAGCTGATTCCTGGGATGATCCTCCACAGTTTGATTGGTGGAATGGCGTTTTGCTGAGCCATGTCCACATCCAATTCCAATTTCCAATTTCCAATTCCCATATTTCTATTTGGTAATATACCTACTATTGTTATGGAGGTATATAATATGGGGGATTGAAACAAATCCCCATGTACATCACTATTTGGTAATCCATACACATATTACTAGTTGGTACCAATTCCATGTACATCCGATTGAGTACCCATATTTGATTTGTTTCAATCCCCATGCTGGATAAACCATGATCAACCCCCCCACTTTTTCGGTGCTTCAACCCCATCAAATACCATCTTTGCTGGTCAAATCTCTCTAGCAAACTAACATAGCGAGGATGACCCATCTAGTTCGCTGATTTACCTATGAAAAGATGGTGATTTTCCAGTTCACTGTTAGTTTGCCAGAGGTAGCCACCATTTTTGGTCAAAACCCCGGCAGTTTTGGTGCTGAAAGCCCGCCTTGCGGAAGGAGGGCCAGCCGTGTTCCTTGGTGTCTGCTTCAAAGTCCGCCAGACTCCTCACGACGTGTTTTTTTGACCGGCACAAAAGAATCATCTATGGGATATGATAATACACGAATTGATGGATAATTCTATGGATAATTCTAAAGATTTATTAATGGATAAATTGATAATTATAATTCAATGGATAATTCTATACTAATACAACTGACTAATGGATAATTCTATGGATTTTTGGGATATGTTTGATGGGTATGTAATGGTACATGGTGGATACATATACATTGGCCCAACTCTCCGTGGAAGGGGCCCCCCTATGCCTCAAGGCACGGTCACAAAACCTGCACCAACCATCATCCAATGTTATGGAATGTTAGTGGATAATTCATGGATAACTATTGGATACCTTCTGGTAATGACCAACATTTAACAGTTTGCTATTGAAAATGGCCCATAGAAATAGTTGATTTTCCCATTACAAATGGTGATTTTCCCATGAGTTTTTTGTACGTTTACCTGAGGGACACATCATGGAACACCAATGGGATAACTCCTGGATGTCAACATATCACCTTTCGGTCATCCGCTTCGGGGAAAATCACCGACCCTCTGGGTAAACATACAAGAAACTGATGGGAAAATCACCATGTTTAATGGGAAAATCAACTATTTCTATGGGCCATTTTCAGTAGCAAACTGTTAGTTTACCAGAGGGTATAAGTGAGGGAGTTTCCATCAAACCACGTTTGGCGACTAGAGGGGCAACAAGAACGTTCCGGTCCCTTGGTCGCACGTGACTTCGAGCTCCGGTCATCAGACATGGCAATGGAAAATCCCCCACTCACAATTTTTTGATCGTCCCATTCAAACCTGAATTTCGTTCATGGATTTCCCACCTAGCCTAACTCCAATATTATTCACTACAGCAGTATCCCCTAATTTTTCCATGTATCTATATATATATATACATATCCCATGATTGCTGGTGAAATCCCTCACTATTTACTGATGGATAAATTATCCAAGAATATGGATCCACTATATTGAATTATCATAAATTATCCAAGTTATTCTGAAAATTAACCTCCATATAACAAAAACCCGTATAACCTCCATATATAAATTATCCATTATATAATTATATATAAAAAAAAGTCACCTAAAAAGTCACCTCCATAGGTCACCTCCATGGATTTTCTCGGGGATCCATAGGAAAGCTCCATTGACCCAGTCGTGCCACCTGTTCACCGGCGCTTTGAACAACGGCACTCCACAGGTGGAATCCTCAGCGCGCGGCTGGTGGAATCGGCAAAAGGATCAAAAGGTGTGGATTTTTGCAGCAAAAGAGCTTGGATTTCGAACTTTTCATGAGGATTCAAGCAGGAAGAATTTGGAGTCAATCATCAAAGACAGGGGTTTCAGATGGTTTCAGCAACCAAAATGTTGCGCACATATCTTTTGAGCATAATTGGGATCTGACCGCAGAGTCGGATTGGAGGCTCCGATGCTGGGCCCTGTTTATTGGATCAGCTGCTGACCATCGAATTTCCTGGTGAAATCTCAACCGTTCCCATGATTTGTCGCCGTCGGCCGTCGGTCAAATCAGCAAGTCGCCCCAGTTTTGTTGATGAAAACCCTATTTCACTTGCTGAAAAAGATCTGTTTTTTGATGGGGATAATTTGATGATAACCTATATCACTTTTGGCACTTAAAATCCCGCCATCCCAACACAAAATTTCATAAATCCCAACACAACAACACAAAACCCGCAGCCGAGACGCGTAGAAAGTGGTCACGCCGGGCTGAAGGTGCTTGAAGAGTGCAATGTCTGGTGCCTAGGCTGTGGTAAACTACCCCTGGATAATGCGAGGAAGAACAATCCCTGGTTTAATAATATTGTAATCTAGAAATATATTCAGTTAATAATATGGTAATCCCTGGTTTAATAATATGGTAATATGGTAATATGGTACTAATATAGCTGATGATTTACCAGGTACATATCGCAAAAAAGACTTGCTAAATGCCTGGAAAATCATCATCCTACAGTGTAGATGAACTTCCCAACAAAAAGCCTGCATTTTTGGGGGTGGATTTGCCAGTCGTGTTTGATCATCCCAAGGTGGTTCCAATTTACCCTGGGTAAACGTAAAGGCTTCGTCCGCGAGAAAGAGGTGGATTACCCGGCCTGGTAAACCTACAAAAAACCCATGGGAAAATCACCATTTCTACTGGGAAAATCAAGTATAGATGGCAATTTTCAATAGCCAGAGGGTATCAGATTTATAAATGGGTAAACTAACTAGAGTCACTGACCACTTACTTTCTCCGTGTGAGGGTCCATGTGCCTGCCCCATAGCCTTCCACATGGGCAATGCCAACCTGCCACTTTTGGCAGCTCTCGGAAGATTGGGACACCCATTCCGCCAATCCCATCATCATCTGCCAGAAAATTCTCCCATGGGCTGATGGTCACAATAAAATCTGGGTAAATTATAATATTTCACTACCCTCTGGTTATGTCAAAATAGCTATTGAAAATGACCATTTATAGTGGATTTTCCCATTAAGAATGGTGATTTTCCATAGTTATGTTAGTTTACCAGAGGGTAACATGAATTAAGGCCATTTGGGGATGATTTCCCTATAAAAACCATGATTCCAGTGAGGGAGAACAGTGAGGTCGTGATGAAATTTACCCAGGTAAAATCCCCGGTTTTGAAACCTCACAAACGCTACTTCATCCTCAAGCCAGATTGCATCGTAGAGGAACTGCGGCTCGGCGTAGACCTGCAGAAATCCCAGCCCCCACGGTTTCCGTTGCCAAATGGACTACAACCCATTTGATCCCAACGTGATATATGCTGTATATCCATGTATGTATGTATATATATATATACTCCTTACATCCCCATACTGCTTGAGAAATTTTAATTTGGGATTGAGAACTAATTATATCCAGTTAGATTATAAGTATCCTAACTTACATTCGTATACAATCATATCATTATATGCAGGCTTTTATTTTTAGTACAGTATGTCCCCATGATATCCCCATACCCTCTGGTAAACTAACATCAATATGGAAAATCACATTTTTTCACAGGTAAATCAACAATTTCAATCACCATGTTCAATTGCAAACTGTTAGTTTACCAGAGGCTAATGCTTGCTTAAATCCCTATTGATCACCATTAAAATCCCATTAAAATCCCATGAATTCCCCACTTTCAATGGCTAAATCCACTATAAATCCACTATAAATCACTATAAATCACCATTGTCAATGGTTAAATCCACTAGCTATGTTAGTTAGTTTACCAGAGGGTAACCCCCATTAAATCCCATGAAATCCCCATCTTCCCAGTTCTCTCAGCGTCCTTGGTGCGTTTGTCGCAACACACGGCATCCGCCAGGGTCTCCGAGGGGTCCACGGGCACTGGCACCGTGGGCTCCTGGGAGCCCTATTCAAACCGGGGATTTAACCATCACCAAATGGGGATATAATGCGAATATCATGGGTACCCTCTGGTAAACATACAAAAAACTGATGGGAAAATCACCATTTTTAATGGAAAATCCAGTATAAATGGCCATTTTCAATAGCTATGTTAAATTACCAGAGGGTATATATATATACCAAATTTGATGGTTTTTATATGTTTTCATATGTGTTTTTTTGTTGGAGAATGCGGTTCAAAACCATCAAATGCGATTTTTGTTCATGAAATTTGAAATTGACAAACCCAGATGTGTTCTGAGTTTGCAAAATACATTGTCTATGAGTACCCCCAATGTGATCTCTAACATAACCAATATATAATATATATTTTTTTTCAAAGATGCTATATTACTGTCTCTACCTGTTTGTTGCATGTCCTCTCAAATGAGTACCCCCAATCATCCAAGTCATTAGACTATATGAATTACCATCTGGTTATTTAACATAGCCATGGAAGATCACCATTATTAATAGGTAAACCATCTATTTCTATGGGCCATCTATACCATGGCTTTGTTAGTCACAACCAGAGGGTAGTGCCACGATCTCCTTGCGGCTGGAGATGTTGAACCGCAGCTGCGGTTGTACCTGGAGATCTCCAGTCGTGGAGCCACTGGACCGAAGCCCAGAAATCCAATTGCCAGAAATCCAATTGTAGAGATATCACATTGCAAACTGATCCCGTTTGGGATCTTTGGGATCAAGTCGCAAAAAGCGACTCAGCACAACCCACAACGCCAGGACCATGGTACCGGATGGCTGCAGCCATTGTACTGCGCCGGCGGCGCGCTAGCCATGGTGCTGTCAGGGGCCCGCACTGCGATGGACTTCACCTTGGGCTTCGGCTGCAAGCCATGGGCACAATATGGCAGAGTAGCTGAGTAGCTTAAAGGGAAATAAACCATAAGACATAAGACTGGGGATCAGACCAGTGTTCGGGATGCATGAATCAACATCAAGATACTATATATATATATATGTACAGATGTACAGGATTGATGTGCTAGGCTCCAAAATGCGGGTCAAGATTTTCAATTACATTGATGACAATCTCAAAATAAACTGAACCGAAACAGTAGCTCAGTAGCACCATATTCATTTGATTAAATTTGAAATGGGGTGTTCAAATGTTGATCCATCGCCAAAATTGGTTTCCACGACTAAAGTCACAATGACCAATTCGGATTCGTGTTCCACACTCTTGGGAATCCCCCAAATCAGCCATTTGGAATTGTCCCACAATGTTGGTTGGTTGATGAATATCTTGATTACATGTGTTTACCGGTTTTTATCCTCAAGAAACCATGAAGTGCAACTATAGAATAAACCATCATAGCTACAAGGTTTTTGTTGCAAATTGGAAAATCACCACCTTTCCAACCATTTCAATTGCCGGAATAATACACCTATTTTCAGACCCAAATGAGAATCACTGGAACCCCAACAAGCCACCTCCAAGTGCACTTGCCCCGGTCGTTCCGCCGAAATTTCCAGGCGCCGAATCTGCGAGAGGCTCTGTGCTGTGGGGCACACGCTGCTCTCCTCTGTTCGAACCCATTGAGATGGTGAGGAAACCTCGAGATGGGGATGGGTCAAAGTCTTGAGGAGAGCACCATAGTCTTTGGGAACTTTGGGTCATTTTGGGGCATACCCTTGTGCTACCGGAAATAAGTCCACGCTGGATGTTGTGCTCCTGGTCGAGCTCAACGGCAAATGTGTGTTGATTCTACCGCTGTGCATCCCAATGGTGTCCGAAGCTCTGCAAGCTATCGAGATATTTCCATGATATTCTCCATTTCAGGATTCCAGGGCTACATGTAACAAACCTCTCTTTTTGATGGCTACAACCCCTTTGTTCACCTTGAATTACCCGGGCAACCCGAGCACATTGTCCTGAGCGCAGCTGGTGCTCCGGAGATCGCTAAAGTCGCGCAAGGGGATCTTCACCTGGTGAACTTCGTGAGTGGAGCTTGGAGTTTACCCTCTGGTAAATTCACATAACTATGGGAAAACACTATTTTAATATATGTGTATATATGATCATATACGTATGTGACATATAGTATATAATAGGTAAATCATCGAATTAAATGATCCATTTTCCATAGCAAACCGTTCGTTTACTGGAGGGTTGAGTGGGAGTTTCTGAGCCACGAGACTGGCCCGTCAATTGAGATCATTATTTTGGTATCAAAGCACCAACCAAATACCCTCTGGGTATTTAACGGTTTGCGAACTGGAAAATCCCCATGTTTAATAGGCAAATCATCATTTCTATAATCTATAAATGGGTAATTTTCCGTGGTTATGTTAAATAACCAGAGGGTATCCCCCAAAATGGTTGATCAAGTTTGATGACCAGCTATGTTATAACCCATAGGTTTTGTCTGAGACAAAGCAAACTGAAGTTAGGATGCGTGGCTGGCAACTGGGATATGAAGCCTGGGATATGAAGCCTTATGAAAATTGGGATGTGTTGATGGTTCATAATCCTCTCATATCCAATTAGTGTATTTAGTGAACAGCTAGTGATGTAGTGAACCCAACATGACCCCGTGACCGCCGTGCTTTCTCGAGTATGGTGTTAAAATACTACCCTTAAATGGGATGGGATGGGATAGGAGAGGATAGGAGAGACAGGAGAGATAGGATGAGATAGGATGAGATAGAATAGCATAGCATAGAATAGCATAGCATAGGATAGCATAAGATAAGATGGGACAGGAAAGGAAAGGATAGGATAGGATAGGATAGGTAGATGCGAATTGATTTGAATTGATTTTATTAGATTGGAGTCGATTCGATCAAGTTAGATCAGATCACATCAGATCAGATACATAGGTAGATATATACATAAATAGATAGACAGACCGCTAGATTGATTGATTGATTGATTGATTGATTGGTTGATTGATTGATTGACTGATTGATTGATTGATTGATTGGTTGATTGATTGACTGTTTGTTTGTTTGTTTGATTGATAGATAGATGGATAGATAGACTAGATAAGATCAGATCAGATTGTCAGATAAGATCAGATGCGAGAGGACAAGACAAGACAAGATAAGGTAAGACATCAGACAAGGTAGGATAAGAGAGGATAAGACACGATCAGATAAGAACACAGAAGATAAGATAAGATCACAGAAGATAAGATAAGATAAGATAAGGTAAGATAAGATAAGAGTAGATTAGATTATATAGATTAGATTAGATGGATGGACGGATAGATGGATAGAGAGATGAATAGATGGATGGATCATTCGGATTTCCCGCTTTTCACTACGGCTTCGCCGGGGGAATCTCCGAAACGGCCGTATGTCGAACGCGCTCCTTAGAGAGACCGGGGGTATTTTTTGTGGCCCTTGGGGTTGCTGGAAAATGGTGACTCAATGTGGCAATGGTGAAAATCAAATACCTTTTGGGACTTTCCGACTTCCCCAAAATTGGGACTATAACTGGTCGAGCCCCCAAATACTTCACAGCCAATCACAATTTTTTCCCCAACAGCGTAAGCTAATGGGATCTTCAGCCCAGAATAGCTCCGGTGTGCACTGGTGCAGGCGCCGGGTCAGGTTCAACGAGGTTCCGGAGAAGGTCCCGAAGGTTCCCGAGAACGTTTGGGAGGCTTTGGTGGAGAGCCGGGTGAAGTTCAACAGGGTTCCGGAAAAAGTTCCGGTAAAGGTCTGGGAGGCTTTGGTGCAGATCCAGGTCAGGTTCAACAGGGTTCCGGAGAAGGTTCCGGCGAAGGTTTGGGAGGCTTTGGTGCAGGCGCCGGGTCAGGTTCAACGAGGGTCCGGAGAATGTTCCGGAGAAGGTCTGGGGGGCTTTGGTGCAGAGCGTGGTCAGGTTCCAGAGAAGGTTCCGGAGAAGGTTCCAGAGAAGGTCTGGGAGGCTTTGGTGCAGATCCAGGCCAGGTTCAACAGGGTTCCGGAGAAGGAAGGTTCGGGAGAAGGTGCGGGAGGCTTTGGTGCAAAGCCAGGTCAGGTTCAACAGGGTTCCGAAGAAGGTTCCGGAGAAGGTTCCGAGAGGCTTTGGTGCAGAGCCCGGTCAGGTTCAACAGGATTCCGAACAAGGTTCTGGAGAATGTGTGGGAGTCTTTGGTGCAGAGCGAGGTCAGGTTCAACAGGATTTGCGGCCATGTAATTGACGGAAAGCCAGCTGAGGTGTTTCCAGCGCTTGGCTTCGCAGCACGCTTCAGAAAGATTTGTAGAAATAGAACATTGCGGCTGTTGGGGATACCACCGAAGCTTATTTTTTTACTTCCAACACCCCAGAAGTACCCTTTTCTGAGCGAAATAAACAGATAAAATCATCATTTTGCCCCCTGGTGGTTATTCACCATGAATTCAAGCACTGGGCGCTTGGATTGTTGGATTCAGTCTGGGTGATGTTAAACTCCTGTGATTAACAGTCCCATTGATTTCCAATACCCATAGCCTAGGGGGACCATTCAGGAGGTGTTTAGCTATGCATGGGATTATCATGGGATCATGATAAATTATCATGATGTTGAAAAGATGTTTTAATCCCTTACCCTCTGGTAATTTAACATAGCTATGGAGAATCACAATTTTTAATGGGAAAATCCACTATAAATGGCCATTTTCAATAGCTATGTTAAATTACCAGAGGGTAACACCATCACCAGTGTTTTGCTGGTTGAATCCCCAGCCTCCACAAAGTCCGTGGACGCCGGCACCTGGAGATCAAAAATCCACCGAAAAGTCCGACACGGCCATGGTAGTGTGGTAGAGTATGTGGTATGTAAGGTATGAATTCTATGAATATATATATATATACATGCATATGTATATATTATAACTATATTTATCATATATCATAATTATATCAAAATAATGGTAGAAAATGAATATATATGGTGTAGTCTTGTATAATCTGTGTTTCGTTGTAGTCACCCATAGTCGCCCGTAGGGCTACCAATAGCAGTGGCGAATGAAATTGGGTACACGCACAGTAATGGGATGATTGACAAGTAGGGAGTGTTTCTATTGTTGGATTTACCCCCATGACAGTTCAATTTCATGATCCAATGCAAAAAAATGATGGGTCAAGCCATTTTTTGCAGATTAACATTAAGTTCATTGATGCTTAAAGCCCCATGTTTGATGGTTAAACCATGTTAAACCGCTGGTCAAAGCCAACAAGTTGATGCTTGAGTCCCATTTTTCATATGTTTTCCATATTTTCCAGGGTTTAAAACCTCAAGAAATGATGAGATCCCACAGGCATCCCATGCCGCCCTGGGCCTGGAAGCTGGCCTTGTAGCAACCACGGCTCCACGGCAGCCTTCCGCCGTGGGCGCAGGCGTAGCCGGGGCTGGCGCTGGCGGCGCTGGCGAAGGAGAGGCCGAAGGTCTGGCGCTGTCATCGGATGGTTTTCATGGGGGGGTTAAAGGATGTCTAATGACTAATGATGGATATGGAAGAATCTATAATGTTTTTTGGTGATATCTGATGTCGGATGTGATGGATGTTTTAATGGATTTTAGGATGTTCAAGATATTTGGGGGATATTTAAGGGATACCTAACAGAGATTTCATTGGTATGTTCGGATCCAATGCACGCCTCCCGGCTGCAAACTTCACCCCGGACGCTGCTGTTTTGACGAAGAGACTCAGCTGGAGTGGGCTGGAAAACCCCGGCAGCCCGCCAAATGGTGCCAGCAAAAGAGATGGGAGACAGACAGTCTGACCAAAAGTGTTGTTTCAAAGTTGGCAAATCGGAAAAGTCCGTCCGGTTCCGTGGGAAAACTATCTACCCAAAGGGATGTTCCATGGCCAAATCACAATAAAACAACAAATTGAAAACCACAATGAGGAGTCCAATTCCAAATTGGCTCTGATGACTGAAATCATCTTGGGACTGGCAAAAAGTCATGGCAACACCATGTCGGGCCCAGCGAGCCCGGCAAAACGTCGCTGGTGTTTTGGGGTGTTTTCAACTGCTGAAAGTAGGGTTAGACCTCTGCTGGCATCCAAAGCGGTGCATACCGAACACGCCGCGGGAAACCAAGGCAGGGAAGATTGACCCCTGGAGACCCACTGACCTTGTCGCATGCCGAGCCTCGGCATACCTTAGCACTAGCTATCGTAGACCGAATGCTCTCTGGGATATTGTTCTGTGGGTTCTCACTGCAGTATGATCTCAGAATCGTAGTATATGTTGTATTATGATTTCGATCATGCATTCCAGCCAGTCTTGGGCGCGAAGTCAGTTTTTTGGGGCGGGCCTTTCCAAATGTTGGAACACTTCAAAGCGTTGATCAAGTTGGGGCCCAATTGAGGATTGTTTCTTGGGTTCGCAAACTTGAAGACCTTAGAACTTTTACCTGATTTATGATGATTTACCGATTTAATCCGATTTACCTATTAAAAAATATGGTTTTGCATAGCTACATTAAATTACCAGAGGGTATTTGAAGTCACTTGTCAAAATGCGGGCACGCAGGGTTTCAATTGCTTCATCAAAACGAGGCGAAAACGAGCAGTCCAATGGTGCTGAACGGGATTAAGTTGTTGGCCAACTGATCATCCAAGGATGGCAGACTCAAGGCCCCATGGCCGCTGTCCTTGACCGGAGACGGCCATCTGATTGCTTGATTCCTGACTTTAGCAACTATCAATGATTCATTTTGTTGGGAAAATCTACAGGAAACTGGCTGGTTCTTACCGATTGCGGTTTCCTATATATGTTCCCTTGCACTGATCCAGTGACACTAGAAGATATTGTGGTGCACTTCTGCAGTCTCCAGGGCCCTTCACCGCCATTCTGTACATCCTCACCATCCACCGTCGCCGTGCCAAAAAACACTCAGCACAGCGGACTACCCCCTGCCGTTGACGGTCGGAGGACCACGGTGACGGCAGCGTGAAACAAAAAATTCGCAAAGCGGAGCTTCGATGGGAGGCACTCTGAGAAGTAGATTGGAAGAGTTTGAGTCATTATCAACGCAACAAAGTCTGATTTTGTTGAAAGAAATACAATAGCAACTTGGATTATTGAAAGACTTGTACTGTAGCGAATCCCCAAAAAGTACTTGTGTTTTAAGGTCTATTATAAAGCCCCCAAATGGCAAAACATTGGGATTAAGAAAACGAATTGATAAGATTTCATGGGATCACGGTCTATCACAATTTTTGTTGATTCACTCATTATGTATAGGCTCTATCTATCTATATGTCTGTCTGTCTGTCTATCTATCTATCTATCTATCTTTATAGAGAGAGAGATAGATATAGATATAGATATAGATGCATATATATATACATATGTGAAAACATAAATATATATATACATATATATATACATATATATATACATATATATATATATATATATTTATACAAATATATACATACATACATACATACATACACACATACATACATACATACATTACATTACATTACAATACAATACAATACAATACATACATACATTACAATACATACAATACATACAATACATACAATACATACAATACATACAATACATACAATACATACAATACATACAATACATACAATACATACAATACATACAATACAATGCATACAATACAATACATTACATACAATACATACACTACATACAATACATACAATACAATACAATACATGTACATACAATACATACAATACATACAATACATACAATACATACAATACAATACAATACATACAATACATACAATACATACAATACATACAATACATACAATACATACAATACATACAATACATACAATACAGGGAAAGGACAGACAGGACCGACAGGGAAGACAGGCAGTACAGACAGACAGTACATAGGACCAAGAAAGGACATATCATTACACGTCCCAGCCAATCAGATGGCAGCAAGACAGACAAATACAGACAAGCATACAGGACAGACCGGACATACAGAACAGAACAGAACGGGACAGGACAAGGACAGGCTACATTAAGACAGAAGAAGAGTGAAGTGGCAGGAAGGCCATTGACAAGGACCATACACGACCACGACCAGACAGACAGACAGACAGACAGACAGACAGACAGACAGACAGACAGACAGGACAGACAGACAGACAGGACAGACAGGACAGACAGGACAGACAGGACAGACAGGACAGACAGGACAGACAGGACAGACAGGACAGACAGGACAGACAGGACAGAGAGGACAGAGAGGACAGAGAGGACAGACAGGACAGACAGGACAGACAGGAAACACAGGACAGACAGGACAGACCGACATGGTGGACATACATCAGCCCTAGCAGACCAAACATACAGACCGTTCCCTGACAGACAGGAAAGACGACAACAGTACCAGACAGACCAGGACACAGAGAGAGGGGAATCAGAACAGAGAGTAGAGTAGGACATCTAGGACCGGCTAGACTAAATAGACAAATTATACCTATACATAGAGAGAGAGAAATAGATGAAGAGATACAGAGAGATAGATCACATAGAGAAGAGAGTGACATTATACATATACAATTACATATACATATACATATACATATACATATACAAATACATATACATATACATATACATAGCATTCCCCAGCCCAATAGAGGTGCTGCCGGTTGCTTGGCTGCCAGGGGTCAGAAAACCCCTTCTGACTTTGTCTCTGCAGTCAGCCGCCATAATCCAGCGATTTGGAAGCTCGTCTTCCCCAAATCGCCATGACTGACTGGTTGGTTATAGGGATTCCCCGTTCTTGGATTGATTATGTGTTCTGTCCAAAATAGTTAGTTTAATAGAATGAGAAGGTGCCTTTTTCTGATGAGTCAATGGTTTATTCTATTGTTCCATTAGACTGGTTGGTTCAAAGGGATTCCATCAATGGATGATTCGGGATAATGATAACTAATCCCCAATATATGAAGAGTAGTATAATCCCCCAACCAATCATCAAGCAACAGGGGTTTTGAACACTGTTCAAATGTTTAGGTGGCAAAACCTCAAAGACTGTAACCCTCGGGCTCAGCTTGTCATGCTCGCTTACTTGGTGCTCGAGCGGCGTTTCGAAGAAGCTCTGCTTTAAGATACGGTTTCGCCAACTCAACTGACAAGATGTGGTCGTGACATCCAACGAAGTGATGGCAGTATAACTTGGGTCATTCTCTGGGAATGTCACTTTATTTGGAGAAATCCCCATTCTTATGTCAAGTAACTCATCTACAAAGTGTTTGTTCTGTACAGTATGTCATGATTATCCGGACTTCATGGGATAGGAATAGTTTTCGTGAATATATTGAATATGAGAACCAACAATCGGATCACAAAAACCTGGAGTAGCCGCAACGCCGATTTCAGAGCCATCCCAGATCCGGACATCAGACCAAAGAAGCTACAGGCGCCCAGGCCACACATAGCGCGGTGATGGAATCGATGTTTTCCAGAGAACGAATCCTTTCCACTCAACAAATAAGTAAAAAATAAACCCCACCCCACCCCGTACCAAATGGGAAAAAAAACATTTGTAGACTATATAAATGCCCCTTCATTTCTAATTACGGGATTTCCGATTGCCATGTTTCTTGCCAGAGGATATGTTTTTTGTTTGGTTTTGCGTTGGATCTCACCCACGCACCTAGTGTGTGGCCCATCACACCATTGGAAGCGTCGCCCGGCGGTACATCTGGTACGTGGGGCGATCGGAGAGAATCCTTCTGAAGATACGAAAACACGTTCACAGAAAAAAGTTGTTAATTTAACAAACGTACTGGGTACTTCACCTTGCTACTCAACCAGGCAATGATTAGTTTCAGGCCCAATGGGCCCAATGGGGAAAAGGATCCTCCCATGCACTTAACCGCCCTTTCCCGCGAAGTCCGCGATGCGCGACAGCACCAGGTCCGGCACTTCGGGGCGACAGCGGCGCAGGCTTTCCAGGACCTGATCGGTGAACTGGCCATCTATCATTGCCACACATGGCAGCTGTGTTCGTGCAAATCCTGCACTTTAATCGATTCTTCTCCTTCTTCTCCTTCTTCTCCTTCTTCTCCTTCTTCTCCTTCTTCTCCTTTTTCTCCTTCTCCTTCTTCCTCTCCTTCTTCCACTTCTTCTTATTTTTCTTCTTCTTCTTCTTCTTCTTCTTTTCCTTCTTGCTCTTCTTCTTCTTCTTCTCCTTCTTCTTCTTCTTCTTCTTCGTCTTCGTCTTCCTCTTCCTCTTCCTCCTCTTCTTCTTCTTCTTCTTCTTCCTCTTCTTCTTGTTCTTCTTCTTCTTCTTGTTGGGATTATATATATATATAATTCACGTCTAGATACAGTACATGTCGAAGTGCATATTCTTACATGCACATGCATTCATACCTGTAGCATTGTTCGACTTCTTTGCTTCCCTACAAAAGCATGGACCATATTCTGGAGCTTGGCTGTCATCTTCGGCACGATGTATAGCCCAAAAAAAGAAAAGCGGGACACCTGGAAATGACATGGGAAAAAAATCATGGAACTACCATCCTGGCTGCACACCGTTCCGGCATCGAAAAAAAACGCTCCAGGAGGCGCCAAGTCGCTCGCTCGACCCATAGGGACATGCCATCCTGCGCTTCAAGAGTTGATTTGATATTGTTTATTTATATTTATTTGATGCAAGGTTGGTGATATTTCAGTAAGGGTGCGGAATTTTTTGGGTTTGTTTTTTCTTGTTTTGGGATTTTTCTTGTTTTATGGTCGTGGGCACGGTTTCCTCACTTTTTCCTTGTTTTCCATTACTTTTCCTTGGTTTTTCATTGGTTTTCCTTCATTTTTCCTCATTTTTTCCTCGTTTTCCAGTATTTTTCTTTGGTTTTTCATATTTTTCCTCACTTTTTCATCGTTTTCCATTACTTTTCCTTGGTTCTTCATCATTTTCCTCACTTTTTCCATGTTTTCCACTATTTTTCCTTAGTTGTTCATTGGTTTTCCTTCACTTCCCTCACATTTTCCTCGTTTTCCATTACTTTTCCTTGGTTGTTCATTCTTTCCTTCACTTCCTTCACTTTTTCCTTGTTTTCCATTACTTTTCCTTGGTTTTTCATTGGTGTTCCTTCATTTTTCCTCACGTTTTCCTCGGTTTCCAATATTTTTCTTTGGTTTTTCATAGTTTTCCTTCATTGGTTTTCCTTCACTTCCCTCACATTTTCCTCGTTTTCCATTACTTTTCCTTGGTTTTTCATTCGTTTTCCTTCACTTCCTTCACTTTTTCCTCGTTTTCCATTACTTTTCCTTGGTTTTTCATCATTTTCCTCACATTTTCCTTCCTTCCTCAATAAGAAAACAGGAAGGGGGTATTGGGGAGAGGGCTGAGGAGGAGCAGTAGCGTCCACTCAGAATCAGCTAAAGCGTCTTCCCAGGCAACCTTTTCTCTCGGGCGCAAACATTTTCTTTGGATGTTGCCATTGTGCTGGTGTCAGAGGTCTATGTTTGAGGTTTTTGGTTTAGGGGTGGTGCGCAGACTTGGAGTTAACCTGTTCATGGCTTGCAGGATTTGTATCTCAGTTGAAGGGCTCGCTTGCATTTCATTTTTTCCTCGCACCAGGTGTGATCTTTGTCACTGCTTCTTGCAGGCTGCATTTGCCTTCGCTTGGGTGCCTGCCAACTGATCAACAATGTTAGCAGTATGGGCATTTGCGCGCAAATCAGTGGCTGCATCAAGGCCTCCAGCTGTCCGGGAAAGATACCTCATGACCAGTTACCCAGGCATTGCGAAAAGTACTAGCTAGGGCACAGAACTGGACAGATCAGCAATACATATGAGGCCGAGGCTTCGGGTTGTTGAGCAAGCCAAATCAGCAAGTCGTAGGGTACTACGCTGCGCCTTTGCCTGAAGCAATGTTCGATGGTAGGCACTCTCTGTCTCGTATAAGTTTTGGGGGCGGTGTGGCAACTGAGTTGCAAACAGCTTCTTCGGGCGACTTACCTTTTTGAGCCTGAGCAAGGGGCGATGATGTCTGGGTTCGGGGTAGCCAGCGACAAACATCAGACCAGGATTGATGGAGCCAGGCTCCGACACCCGAACTTGAACGCCAAGCGGAAAATGAGAGCCGGACAGCAGCAGCATCTGTTGAAGGTACCTGAGGAAGGACGAAGAGAACGCTGCGAAATTTGTGCCCATGCGTCATTGAGGGACGCATGAAATGGTGGATGGCGGAGTGAGTGTATAGGAGTGTTGAAGAACGAAGCCGACCAAGAGCAATGAGATTTCCGCCCGAAAAAAAAAACCGAGGCCCAAGCGGCAGAAGCATGTGTTGATGTTTCTGGAGGTACCTGAGTGGGGAACATAATCAGGTCATCAGAAATGAGGCATGAAACCATTGATGAGGTAGGAATGTCGAAAGGTAAACCCAACCAAAGCATGAGAGCCCAACGGCAGCCAAATTTGCGTCACGCACCTAAGCCAGGACAGGGGGCAATGGGCAAATTTGATTCGTACCATCAAGAATCAAACATGAGACTGAAGATGAACAAAACCATGAAAAGGATTGAAACATAATAACATATAATAACAATTTCTTATTGAGTGTCTCGGAGTGTTGAAGAATGAAGCCGACCAAGAGCAATGAGATTTCCGCCCGAGAAAAAAAAATCGAGGCCCAAGCGGCAGAAGCATGTGTTGATGTTTCTGGAGGTACCTGAGTGGGGAATATAATCAGGTCATCAGAAATGAGGCATGAAACCATTGATGAGGTAGGAATGTCGAAAGGTAAACCCAACCAAAGCATGAGAGCCCAACGGCAGCCAAATTTGCGTCACGCACCTAAGCCAGGACAGGGGGCAATGGGCAAATTTGATTCGTACCATCAAGAATCAAACATGAGACTGAAGATGAACAAAACCATGTAAAAGGATTGAAACATAATAACATATAATAACAATTTCTTATTGAGTGTCTCGGAGTGTTGAAGAATGAAGCCGACCAAGAGCAATGAGATTTCCGCCCGAAAAAAAAAACGCGGCCCAAGCGGCAGAAGCATGCGTTGATGTTTTTGGAGGTACCTGAGTGGGGAATATAATCAGGTCATCGGAAATGAGGTATGAAACCATTGATGAGGTAGGAGTGTGGCAACTGAGTTGCAAACAGCTTCTTCGGGCGACTTATCTTTTTGAGCCTGAGCAAGGGGCGATGATGTCTGGGTTCGGGGTAGCCAGCGACAAACATCAGACCAGGATTGATGGAGCCAGGCTCCGACACCCGAACTTGAACGCCAAGCGGAAAATGAGAGCCGGACAGCAGCAGCATCTGTTGAAGGTACCTGAGGAAGGACGAAGAGAACGCTGCGAAATTTGTGCCCCTGCGTCATTGAGGGACGCATGAAATGGTGGATGGCGGAGTGAGTGTATAGGAGTGTTGAAGAATGAAGCCGACCAAGAGCAATGAGATTTCCGCCCGAAAAAAAAAAAAAACGAGGCCCAAGCGGCAGAAGCATGTGTTGATGTTTCTGGAGGTACCTGAGTGGGGAACATAATCAGGTCATCAGAAATGAGGCATGAAACCATTGATGAGGTAGGAATGTCGAAAGGTAAACCCAACCAAAGCATGAGAGCCCAACGGCAGCCAAATTTGCGTCACGCACCTAAGCCAGGACAGGGGGCAATGGGCAAATTTGATTCGTACCATCAAGAATCAAACATGAGACTGAAGATGAACAAAACCATGTAAAAGGATTGAAACATAATAACATATAATAACAATTTCTTATTGAGTGTCTCGGAGTGTTGAAGAATGAAGCCGACCAAGAGCAAAGATTTCCGCCCGAAAAAAAACGCGGCCCAAGCGGCAGAAGCATGCGTTGATGTTTTTGGGGGTACCTGAGTGGAGAACTTAATCAGGTCATCAGAAATGAGGTCCACGAATCTCTATCTTAATAAGGATCTCGCAACTGCAGCAGCGCTCGAAGGCAGAGACGCCTTAGTTGGTCACTGAAGCGGCAACGAACTCAACAAGCGGCACTGGAATGACATCATGCGACGTTATTGCTCTTAATTCAAAACCTCCGAAGGTCTAGCATAAGACCGCCACGGACGCAGCTACATGAGAAGGCCCCTTTACACCCTCTGAAGTCCCAGGCAGCACCTTAAACACAGAAGCATCGTGCAAAGGGACGGTACGCGCAGCAGAAACATGATCAAACATGGAAAAGGTATGAGAAGGTGGAGAAAAACGCATGCAGCAAGCGAAGAACTTGAGGCCCCCGCTGCAGCGCGATTCTCCAAGGCTTGCATCAAAGTGTGCGACTCTCCGATGGACATCCGAAAGAAGCCGACAAAATCAGAAATTTGAAAACGCTGCAGGGCAGGAATTGAGACACCATGATCGCACATTGGCTGGTAAAGATGGCCAAGGGAGGTTGAACGAAGCAAGGACCGCAGCTCCAAGTGTTCAGGAGACATGGAAGCAGCGCTGGAAGTAGTCTCTGGCTCCACGGATGCACGAGCTGGATTGTGAATTGCAGGGATGATCTGGGGAAGTATTGTTGGAGAGGCAACGGCTTTTGCTTTACGACTACAGGACACAGGAGCCACAGAAGCCAGGGACACAGGAGCCGAAGGAGCCACAGAAGCCAGGAGCCACACAGGGAACCGTAGGAGCCACCAGGAACCAAGGAGAAAAAAAAAAATAATACCCTCCTTTCAGTAATTCGAACATTGAAGATGTGTTTACTTAGATACAACAAGAGTGAGCCGCATTTGCGTAATACACAGGTGCGACCGAAGGCTTTGGCTGGTGTTCACCGGTCCAAGCACAGCAAATCAAGGGATGTTTTCCTATTTCTACAGACTCAGAGGTACAGTGAAAGCACTGTTTCAGAACCTACTGCATTAAGAACTTCCGGGGCTGGATTGCTGGATTCAAGCCTTTCTGTCAGCGAATTGAAACACGTGAAATAAGAACCTTAGGGAACCCTGGACTTCTGGTCATTAGTTCTTATTCACCCTGCTTGCAGCTGGAGGCACTGTTTATACCAAACAAAATTAAGAAACTACTAAGAATTGGCAAACCCTCACCATATGTACCCCTCAAGAACTAACCTAACTAACCCCTTAAGAACTTGAGGGTACCCTCGTTCACAATTCCCATATTTGTCTGCCTATAGCCGCACTTAAGAACCCCCGTGTAGGCTGGAAAAATCCGAACCGGTTCTTATCCAATCCAACGGTTCGGCTGTACCCCCAAATAGTCATTTGTATGAGAAAAGTTATGATTATTTTTTGGCGACCCCCATGTTGCGCAAACATGTTTTGAGGCTGCAACTTCATCGAAAAATAGATTATGTGTTTTATGTATCCCATACCATGGCTGGGTGTATCTGATTATATGCAATTCCTCCAAAATCATGAAACACTAGTAATATGTTGATTCATCCGCGGTCTACCTCATCTCTGGACACGGCCATTTTGACATTTAGTCGTGTCGTGCTTTACACACAGATAACCCTGAAAATCACACCAACTTCGCTAAGGGAATGCTTTCCTGCATGGAACAACATGCCAAAAAAGGCCCGCCAAGAATTGTCCACAATAGAACTCCGACCATTTCCTGCCTCTTCCACCCGTTTCAAGAGCCGTGACTGCAGGGAGTGGCTGCCCAGGACCGCCCCACGCGCCAAGAGCGCTTTCAGGGCCGGCTTACAGCGTTGCACCCAGCCGCCTGGACGAGCGGAAAGTCTAACCATGGGGACATCATGTGAATGCTTTTGGGGATATAATGGTGTACATATGTGTATGTATGTATGTATATGTATATATATATATATGGTACCCCCCAAAAAAAACCGACGTTTTTGAGGTCGCAGCGCTTTTGGGACAAATTACCCTGTTCAGTTTGAATTCCAATGGGGGTACCATATATATATATATACATATATATATATGTATACATGTGTGTGTGTGTATTAATTGTTGCCTTACTGTTGAACCCAGGTACTTAGAGCAATTTTGTCACTAGAAGCGTTTGCAAACGTTTGCAAACGAGTCCAGGGGCCCAAGTACTTAGACTGGCTCAGGATTCAAGATTCAAGATTCAAGATTCAAAAAAAAACTTCTTGAATCCAGAAACTCTCCTGATCCTGGCCCCGGGATTCAAGAAGTTTTTTTGGGATCTTGAATCTTGAATCTTGAATCCTGAGCCAGTCTCGTTTGCAAACGTTTGCAAACGCTTTTGTTGACAAAATTGCTCTAAGTACCTGGCCCTCTATGCTAGCGGGCCAACATAGCGCTATGCTCTCAGGTACTGCATGCACTTGGAATATTAAAGGTGTAGTAAGCGACATTTTTAATGAAAACACAAGGTATTTTAAAGATATACTAAAGATATATATATATTAATATAGTATATAGATTCATGGCCAGACTGGAATATTACAGGTATACTACAGGTATATTAAATGGTATATTTGAGGTGGATTAGATGTATACTAAAGGTATATTAAAGGTATTTTCAAAGTCAAACAAATGGTATATTAGAGGTAGATTCATGGTATATAAAATGGCATGCTAAGACCATATTAAATCATATAGTAATGGTATATCAAATGGAATATTAATGATTCTAACATGGTAAACTAAGTATAGATTGTATATTTAAGGTTTATTCAAGGCAAACTAAATGGTAAGTAAAAGGCACTTTAGAGACATAGTGGTATTTTCAAGGTCAATTAAATGGTATATGAAAGGTATATACCTTCAAGGTATACTAAAGGTGTAGTAAACGACATTTTTAATAGTATTAATTGATGGTATCTCAAATGGAATATCAACGGTTCTTAAATGGTAAGCTAAGTATATATGGTACATTAAAGGTTTATTAACGGCAAATTAAATGGAAAATAAAAGGTATGCTAGAGGTAGAGAGGTATCCTAAATGTGTATTAAAGATGTTTTCATGGCCAATAAAATGGTATATCTAAGGTAGATTAAATGGTATAGTGAAGTTTTATGCATTGAAGGTATATTTAAAGTATACTAAAGGTATGTTCAAGGCCAATTAAATTATATATTAAAGGTAGCTTCATCGTTATCCAATGGAATGCTACAGGTATATTGAATGGTATGTTATTTTTTAAAGATGGTATTTAACAGGGGATATTGAAGGTATGCCAAAGGTTTACTAAAGGTTTATTAAAGATATGTTTATGGTCAATTCACTGGTATATTAAAGTATATGGAATCTATAATGAAGCTATATTCATTGTAGATTAAAAATTGTTGATCAAGATATTATTCTTACTCTGTTGCATCAAAAACATAGACATATCCAAAATGTTAGAATCTGGTGTTTTGAAAGAAATACTGTATGATTGAAGGAAGGCTTAATATTAGTTTGAAAGGAAGACTGCACTTCTTCAGAAAAAAAAAAAAAACACTGCACGTTTAGAGGAATGCTCTATACTTTGTAGGGGTACGGTTTCTTGAACGAAGTCATACTTTGTCTGGAAGGAAAATTGCAGTTTATGAATGAAGTTCTCTTTTTTTCAAGCATGGAAAGGAACGCTGCAATTTAAAACAGAGTGCTTCCTTCAAGAAATGTTGTGCTTTCTGACCTGAGTATGTGCTCATCTTTTTTGAAAGTAATAGTGTACCTACTTTGTTTTTGCAAAAGGTTCCCAAGAAATACTACCTCTTTGACATCAACAAAAAGCTGAAAATGGTAGATCTTTGGGGGGGGTAGCTATATTGTACCCCCCAAAAAACAGACGTTTTTGAGGTCGATATATATATATATATGTTATATTATATATATTATATATTAAATATATATATTATATTATATATATATATATATTTAATATATTATAATATATATTTGTATATATTATATTATATATACTGTATATTGTATATATTATATATATATTGTGTATATATATAATATAATATATATATATAATATAATATATATATAATATAATATAATATAATATAATATAATATAATATATATATAATATAATATATTATAATATAATATAATATAATAAAATATAATATAATATAATATAATATATATATGCGTATATATATATGTATGTATGTATGTATGTCTGTCTGTCTGTCTGTATGTATGCATGCATGCATGCATGCATGCATGCATGCATACATATGTATATGTATATGTATATGTATATGTACATGTACATGTACATGTACATGTATATGTATATGCATATGTACATGTACATGTATATGTATATGTACATGTACATGTATATGTACATGTATATGTACATGTATATGTATATGTATATGTATGTATATATATATATGTACATGTATATGTATATGTATATGTATGTATATATATATATGTACATATGTGTATGTATATATATACTATGTCTATATATATATATAAAGAACTTGATGTGGTATGTAGGAGTGTCTGAAAATGGAAGATTTAAGCCCGAAATATCCCGAAATGGCCATCAATCAAAACTGTGTTGCCTGGAACCATGGTTGGAATCCATTGGAAGATGCGACCATGACCATTGAAGAAAGATGGTGATAGGACCCATTGATGGGATGGTTCGATGATTTACTCATTGTGATTCCCAAGAAGTTATCACGGGATGGTGATCCAAGGAAGGATCATCCAGGATGATACGCAGGTGACCGCAGATATAGACTGACCCACCAAACACATCAAACATCGATGTCCACGTCTTTAACTGTGCTGCTTTGCAGTCCCAAGATCCTTCCCTGTCACCAACAACACAGCAGCATTTACATAGTTTGAGATCGAACTTGGATATTGATGATATTGGACATTAGCTCATTAGGTATCGAGGCAGATACAGATGTCATACGCCGCACACCTCCACTGGTGTTGCCGTTGGTGACCACCGCACAGCGGTGGTCCACCAGGATTTCCAAACCCATGACATCCAGAGGTGGCTCCATTTCCATCAGCAGCACCCGCAAGGGCGTGAGACCACCTTAGGAAGATGACGGGAAGATGACGGGGTGCGATGTGGAAAAAAAATGGGTGGAATCAAAAAAAAAACACCCAACCATGAAAATAGCACAGATTCGTAAAGATTGCTACATAAATCTAGACTGTTCGGATATGTGTTACGAAAATCTTCCAACCCCCAGCCCAGCTTCACCATCCAACCCCAACCCCAACCCTGACCAGCCAACTAGCTCTCCCAACCCCATTGCCAGTCTTAGACAATACCCAAACAAAAACATGTTAGGTCAATTCATTCCCATTCAAAAGGCAAAGGACTAGCTGATACTATTTCGTATCCATCCAGTTGGCCACCCACATCATTGGTTACATACCTAGTATAACCTCCATTGTAGATGCTTGTTAAATCCGAAAGTGTCTTGGTGAATATCCATAAAATCACCAGTAGCCAGGACTCATCGTTAAGCCTCAACCAGAAAATTCCCCCAATTTGATGATTTCTTATCCCCACCTACAAGTTATATCCCCATGATATCCCCATTTTGGATGCTTAAATCATGTTAAGTCCACATGTTTGCTGCCTGAGCGAATTCATTATTAGCTATATATTATAGATCCATCGAAAAAACCCATCTTTTGGAGGGGAAATCCCCATGTTGGTTTGTAAAATCCATGAAATCCCCATTTTTCGTGGCTAACATCCATCAAAACACCATGTTCCTTAGTTCATAAAGTCACCCAACCCGGTTTTTCGCCTAAGGCACCATGCAGCAGCGTGGCCTTCCGCACGTGCTGTGCGCCCAGCTGCAGCCCCTTGCGCCGCAGCCAACGGATGCCGTCGGCCACACAGCGAGGCGGCCAGCCGTGCTGCCGCAGCACCGCCTCAAATAGGACCTGGCACCGCGGCAGGGGATGGGGGAATGGGAGTTTTGGGGGGGCAAGGAAAAAAGTGTAGAAATTGGTGTGAAATAGCTAAGGTCATGGTGCGAACAACAATGTGTGTGTGAAAGATAAGTGTGGACAACTTGTGGGAGACACTTGTTTGTTTTAGTTTTGGGTGGCCAAGCTCACATGTTTTTTCCAGACAGTTTGGTACAGCCCTCCACATCTCATGACCAATCTCAAACACCTTCCATTATATACACCTAAATATTATTAAATATTGAGCCATCGAATTGCCCAATACAGTCTTTCATTTACAGCCCCAAAATAATCAGAATTGAATTTGCTGTTATAGCATGTGTTGATCAATAAGCTTTGAATGAATTAAAAGAGTCAACGAAATTACCCGACCAAAATTTACACAGATTTTGGTTCATCTCATCCCTTCGTGACCACCTCGCGCAAGCCATCGTCCTTGGATGCCTCAGAGGCTAAAGCACCTGCCGTGGCATCGTGTCCACCAGCAAAACATGGCAAGTTTAACGGAGAAAATGATGGCAAGCACGTGAATTTGGGCTATTCCCTTAAATTTTCAGATAAACCCATATTTCACGATACTGTAGGCACAGAGAGAGAGAGATATATATATTATATATTTATGTATATATTAATACATGATATATGTGTGTATATATATATATGATATATTTATATTATATATATACTACATGATAAACACCTATTTCCCCTTCCAAAGGTCCCAACAGTGACTTCCCCACCCCCAGACCTGCACAAAGTTCCTCACAGGGCGACGGTGTGGGAACCTCCGCAAAGACGTCGCGGAGACGTTGGCCATTGAAGCTCCTGGGCCCCAAGAGCTGATGCGAAGTAACTTGGGAAACAGAAAAACCTCGGGGTATGACCAGTACCCTCTGGGTAAACATACAAAAAACTATGGAAAATGGTGATTTATAGTGGATTTACCCATTAAGAATGGTGATTTTCCATACATAACTATGGAAAATCACCATGTTTAATGGGAAAACTCACTATTTCTATGGCCATGTTCAATAGCAAACTGTAAGTATACCAGAGGGTAAATCAACAAAACAGTAACGACATGACCACAATTCGTGGAGTATAGTTTAAAACAGCTGCATCCATCACCCAACGAGTAGCCACAATAGTGCGTCGGAAACCATGTGACAATGTTCAACGCATGACGGCAACAAAACACCATTGACGTTATGTATGTGGTAAATGTGGCAAACCAACAAAGATACTTGCAAGTTGCATTTTGCGAGGGGTTGGTACCCCAATTTTCAGGTGATTTATGCCCTTGGCAGCTAAGCAATGAAGGTTTTCCACTACCATGCAATGTATCATATACATATACATATACATATACATATACATATACATATACATATACTGATACATATACTGATACATATATATATATATTCATCTCCTGATTCGGTGTAAAGGCCTCTCTCCGCACAAATATACATCATATATGTTATAATGTGATCATTGTTTATTCAGAGTGACCGCAAACATGCATACAAATGTAAAAATAAATAAATATCAATCTATTTATTGGTCTATTCATTATTATTATCAATCAAAACTATATACGTATATATGCGTATTTATCGTATCATATTTAATGTGAGAATCATACAATACATCCATAAATATGCCAAGAGGTTTCTCTGTGATCCACCTATATGTTGGCAGCTTACAAGCGTTGAGCTTTGTACACCTTTTCAGCAGCTACGTTTCATCATCCGAGCATATGGAGATAATGTTCCTCCCAAAAAAAAAAGGTATAATATACCCATAATAGTTCCAATATGTTCTAATATACCTATCCACCCAATGATTGTTACCATAAAAGCAATATACCTATATCCGCCAATCAATATTTTGATATATGTTGATGGTTAATTATTCACCCATGAGTTCCTATAAGAGTTCCTATAATATATACTATATACTATACGAGGTACTATATACTAAAATGGGCACTGTGATCTAATAGTTGCTATACCAATAATATATAGTATAAGATCCCCAAACTAAGAGTAAACTAGAGAGAACCTCCAACCATAGACTATCTAACTATACGCGGCCTAACTATAGGCAATCTACATATACATAATATACATATAGATAATCTACATATAGACAATCTACATACGGATAATCTATGCACAAATAATACTTATCATGGCAATACTTATATAATGCCACTGTGTAGGCTGTTATTGCAAAATAGTATAGTTACCTATACATCCCAAATTATAAGTCACTCTCAGAGAATATCATATACCATCATAAACCCTATAAATAATATGATATGCCAAAACAAAATGCTGTACTGTAGTCAATAATTATAGATCGTCATATTCTCCCTCCCTAAATGTATAATGTATATATATATACACATATATACATATAGTTACCAACTTCCGAAGATACTAACCATACATCATCTAATTATCGATAATGTTCCTCATGAAAAAAAATGTAGTTACAGTTGTGTAAATATACGCCCCCGAAATATTTGCTTGTATCCATACGTGTTTACTATTTAAAAAAAAAAAATATGGATACTAACTATAGATAACATCGTTATATATTATGTATATATATATATCCCCTACAACAAAATAATTAGCTACTATAGTTAGATAATATAGTTGTATAAAAGTTGTATTATATATCATCTAATTATAGATAACATTCTCCCTAAATATTATTTAGATATAGCTACTTATTCACTATCATATACCCTTCCCAAGCATATATGTATATAGTTATCTAGTTATATATCTAGTTATACATCCAATTATAGATGATATATTCCTTAAATACATCTGTATATCCACTTCGCAAATGGGTTACATAAGTTGTACCCCCAGTTAGATTAGTGGACTATCCCCTATTATCCTATAGTTATATATCTAGTTATATACCTAGTTTTATATCTAAGTATAGATTACATATTCCCCCTAAATACATGTATATACACTACTATAATAACTGGTTGGTGGTTTCAAGCCCTCTGAAGAATATTAGTGCGTCAGTTGGGATGCTGACATTCCCAATCTATGGAAAAATAAAAGCCACGTTCCAAACCACCAACCAGTAATCCTACATAATCCCATAATGATCCCATCAAAATCCCATTAAATGTCATCAAAATCCCGTTCAGTTGATGGTTCATCAATGGTTTTATACACTCACTAACTATAATACCCTCTGGTAAACTAACATAACTATGGAAAAACACCATTTTTAATGGGAAAATCCACTATAAATGGCCATTTTCAATAGCTATTTTGACATAACCAGAGGGTAATCAATTATCAAAATCCCATTCAATGGTTCATCAATAATGTTAATTTACCCATTGAAAATGGTGATTTTCCATAGTTATGTTAGTTTACCAGAGGGTATATAACTATAATAATATCTTCCCCAAGCGTCGCCAGCTTCCGCCGCCACGCGCTTTCCGCGCGCTGCCGATCCACCGCCTTGGCCCCCTCCAGCTCCGCCAGGGTGGCGGCGGCGCGGACGTGCCGGAAGCGGTCCTCCACGACGGACGGACGCTTGGGGGCACCACGGGGGAGAACCGAAACAGGGCTGAAACCTGGGTAAATTGGTGGGTAAAAGGAGGAAAAAAGAAGATGATGGACCTAAGTATGATGGTTAAACTGTGAAACTTTGGTGATTTTACCATGAGCAGTGGATATTTAAACCAGATAGTAAGTGCGAAATCATGGGATAAGTATGGTATAATAATCTCAAAGTGAAAAAGGTCCAAACCAGGGTCAATTTTCAAACCCATCCTTTATTTATGGATATCATGCGATTTAACCATTCAATGGGAATAAATTGATGATCGAATCTGCTGAGTGGGGTGGGGGTGCATCCCAAATAGTGAGTGGCTAACAACATCATGCCCAAGTTTTCTATGGTTATACAATATAATTACACGTGATTATATATATATATATAGATTTGTAATATATGTATATTATATGTATATATTATATCTATCTATATATATATTATATCTATATAGATTGTAAGTATTTGGATGCAACCTGCAAAACTGGGACTTAACCCGCAGAAAAAAAATGATTTTAGTGCATTTGAATCTGCCTGAAATTGGCGGTCAACTCTCAGAAGTGTTTTTTGGACGGTTCTAGAAGGTTTGAACCGTTCTAGTAGGTTTGAACCTGCAGAAAGTGTGGGTTACAATGATATGATCTGCAAAAATGAGGCATGGCAACCTGTCAAAAAGGGGGCCACCTACTTGGATATGCATCCCAGTGAGTAAGTGGTTCATGACCAGGTTCGACCTACATTAGGGATGTTTCCATATATGTTGGCAAATTAGTATCACTCCCAAAGTGGATTTTCCATGCATCATGAGGATGATCCCCCCTTACCATCATCTGAGGTCGCCATGATTTCTTCAGATATATAACTGGCTTTTGCCAATGGATGGAGTTTCCCGAAAAAATCCACCGAAATGGGGCTGTCCTCCAAGGCGATACAGACCTCTTTGGGGTACTGCCTCAGGGGTTTTGGGGGGTGCTGGTTTATGGACGCCCAAAAAATGATGACTGGTTTTTGGATTCCAAAAATGGATCTATGGATGCTTTATGGATAGTTTATGACTGGTTTATGGATGCTTTATGGATGCTTTATGGATGCTTTATGGATGCTTTATGGATAGTTTGTGACTGGTTTATGGATGCTTTATGGATGCTTTATGGATGCTTTATGGATGCTTTATGGATGCTTTATGGATGCTATATGGATGCTTTGTGGTTGCTTTATGGCGGGTTTACGGATGGTTTATGGGTGGTTAATGGCCATTTACTGATGGGATGTTTGTCAAGTATCAAACCATCCAAGTTTGGTGAGTCAGCAGGTCCGGTACCCAATTTGTGGTTCCCAACGGACCTCCAATTGTGACTCCCATTTCAGGGGGCATCTGCTCTGTCCTGGTGACATGTATCACGTTCTTTCGGCCCTGTATGTATCAAGCGCATTCGCCAGCTCAAACAGAAATACAAAGTATCCAAGATTTATGTAGATCATAGTTTATCATAAGTTTACATAACCCTTAGTGGTTTTACTGTAACCCTGTTCTACCCGAATCCTAGCTATATCGCGCACAGCTGGCTGCTCCATGTTCGGCGAAAAACAAAACGGCTTCGTCCCAAAAGGGTTGGCAAACTCTTTGAAACTATTGATATACCTGGTATACCCTGACTAATTAATGGGGTAATTATTGTATATCATGGTATATCATGGTATATGGTATATCCTGGTGTGCCTCTATAATTTTAGGTTTTTTTTGACTCTCAACCCACAAAAAGTTCTTGATTCCAGAGAGGTACCCCACCATTCAAGAATATGATGAATAATTATTTCCATGGGTAGTTATGCCTCAAAAACCGCACCCATCCCACAACCCTTTCGACCAAGGAACACTAAGGTGGTCTTGGAGTGGGTATAGTTTCGCCCCTCCGCCCTTTCCGCCTCGTATTGCCACATGGACCAGTTCTTGCCATGCCCTTGGTGACGATGGACATTGCGCCTGCCGCCAAGTTAGAATACTTCTCTTGGCTGTTGATGAAATCCCAACGTGCCAAGGCATAAGCACACCGAAGATGGGGGAAAATGTCAGACATGCTAAAGTTTGTGTTTGCTGAGTCCATGCATATCTCAATAGGAATTCCAGAACATATATATATATATATGTGTTTATATGGTGTTGTGAATAAAAATATACATGTATAGATATATATACCTACATTATATGTATGTATATGCAAATATATGTGTGTATACATATATATGATTATGTATGATTATAAATAAATGTATGTATGTAATATAATGTAATGTAATGTAATGCAATGTAATGCAATGTAATGTAATGGTATGTAATGGTATGTAATGGTATGTAATGGTATGTAATGGTATGTAATGGTATGTAATGGTATGTAATGGTATGTAATGGTATGTAATGGTATGTAATGGTATGTAATGGTATGTAATGGTATGTAATGGTATGTAATGGTATGTAATGGTATGTAATGGTATGTAATGGTATGTAATGGTATGTAATGGTATGTAATGGTATGTAATGGTATGTAATGGTATGTAATGGTATGTAATGGTATGTAATATGTAATGGTATGTAATGGTATGTAATGGTATGTAATGGTATGTAATGGTATGTAATGGTATGTCATGGTATGTAATGGTATGTCATGGTATGTAATGGTATGTATGTGTATGTGTGTATATATATATATGTATATGTATGTATATGTATGTATATGTATATATATGTATATGTATGTATGTATATATATATGTATATATATGTAAATGTATGTATATGTATGTATATGTATGTATATGTATGTATGTATATATATATATATGTATGTGTGTATGTATATGTATGTATATGTATGTATATATGTATGTATATATGTATGTATATGTATGTATATGTATGTATATGTATGTATATGTATGTAAATGCATGTATATGTTTGTATCTGTATGTATATGTATGTATGTGTATGTATGTCTGTGTATGTATGTCTGTCTGTATGTATGTCTGTGTATGTATGTCTGTCTGTATGTATGTCTGTCTGTATGTATGTCTGTCTGTCTGTCTGCCTGTATGCATGCATGCATGCAATGTAATGTAATGTAATGTAATGTAAATGTATGTCTGTCTGTATGTACAGATAGATAGATAGATAGATAGGTAGATAGATAGATAGACAGATAGATAGACAGATAGATAGATAGATGGATAGATAGATAGATGGATAGATAGATGGATAGGATAGGATAGGATAGGATAGACAGGATAGACAGGATAGACAGGATGGACAGGATAGACAGGATAGACAGGATAGATTGGATAGAGATTGGGTAGATTGGATAGATGGGATAGATGGGATAGATGGGATAGATGGGATAGACAGGGTGCTTGAATTAGAAAATATGTTGCCATGAAAACATGCCTATGTGGAAATAAATGGCAAACTCTGGCCAATTTCTCTTCAGATGACCGGTTTTGAATTTTGCAAATTCTGGCAATCTTATCTTAAGATAAGCCGGTTTCAATGGCAAAGTCTGGCCTGTTTTTCTTAAGATGAGCCTGTTTGAATGGCAAACTCTTGGCATTTTATCTTGAGATGAGCCTGTTTTAATGGCAAAGTTTTGCCATTTTATCTTCAGATGAGCCTTTTTTTATTGCATAAGCCTGTTTTAGGCCCAGGAGCTCTTCAGACAGTCATCTGCGGTTTCAGCCTATTCAACACCAATGTGGAGAAGGCCAGACCACTGTCTTGCCGCTCCCTGGCTGTGTGCAGCGGGCAAAGTGGCTTTATCGGCTGCTGCATCTGTCCAGGCGCGTGCCGAAGACTATCTCCTTCTCCCTCCTTTCGCTCAACATGATTCTTTCGCAGCCTTTCCAAACGTTTGCCAAAATCATCGTAGATTCTGTGGCTGACGCGAAAGAGAAGGCGAGCAGCCGCGCAGAGACTTGTACGCCAGACCGGATGCAAGTAGTGAGCCACTACTAATTGGATTCAAGAAGTTTTCTGAGAGCCTTGAATCTTGAATCCAAGGGTGTGCAAACGTTTGCAAACGGGACTGGGAATCTGTTTGACTTCGGGGAGTGGTAGATCTTTGGGAGGAGAGATATCATATATATATAATATGATATCCCCTAGTTATTCAGTAATAATACTAACTATCATATCGTACACTCACACCGCTGATATTGGGGGGTACCACATATATATATATATACGTATATATATATAATTATATATATACATACAGTATATATATATATATATGTATGTATATATATATATGTGTGGGTGTGTAAATACATGGAAATAGAAATGCCTATTCTATATGATTCACCTGGTGCCCTTCGAGAGGTTCAGCTGTATCATGTCGAGCACATCGATCCTCGTCCGTGGGGATTCAACCACCGGCACCCGCGGGGCAACGGTTCCTACGGTCAACGGGAGAAATAACCATGGATTAAATCCTGAGAATATCATGGGATATGTTTATAAAAAATGGATAGAATAGGATATATATATATATATTGTAATATATCATGATATATGAGGATATATATATATATATATACGGATGTTATTGGGTGTATAAAGTCAAAAATAATGAGGATGTAATGGGATATACTGGGACAACCCCCCAAAGGTGACTTCCCCTAATCACAAGAGTCAACTCAAAGTTTACTAACCACCCACAACAACTCACAACAACTAATAAGGGTTTACTAAGCAGCTATCATTGGGGGGTCACTGGTGATCTTCTTCGTTCGGATTTCTGTGGTTTCCATGGAGATAGATCAAAACTCAGAGCTTCAGTAGCAGCAATTGCCAAAGAAATTGGCATGGAATCTTTCAGATTTCAGATGGCTTATGTATAACTATTGCCTATTTTTCAGTCAGTCTCATTCGGCTCTACAAATGGCCAGAAAATCAGTCCCGGTGTGTGGCTACTTGGTGTGTCAACCGCCAAGTGGCCTTGCCCAAGACCCATTTTTTTCGCCTCGTGGTCAATCCCCCATGGTTCACCCTCTGGTAAACGTTCACATAACTATGGAAAATGGTGATTTATAGTGGATTTACCCATCAAGAATGGTGATTTTCCATACATAACTGATGGGAAAATCACCATGCTATTAGTGGGAAAACTCACTATTTCGACTGGGCCATGGCTTCAATAGCTATGTAACAAATTACCAGAGGGTACTGTATTTGTCAATTTGTCGCTCCTCTTTTACCTAGACCTAGACCTAGAACATCCGATTGAACTAAGGACCGTCATTTGGTGCTTGGTATCGGCATCTCTATTCATGGTTGATCCCTATTCAGCTAAAACCTACAATGTGAGGCCAAGTTATGTTTGTTGCTTCATAAACCCATTATACAACTATGGTTATATCGTGTTATATCAAGTTGCTTCATAAATTCATTATACAACTATGGTTATATTATGTTGTATCAAGTTGCTTCATAAATCCATTATACAACTATAGTTATATCATGTTGTATCAAGTTGCTTCATAAATCCATTATACAACTATAGTTATATCATGTTGTATCAAGTTGCTTCATAAATCCATTATACAACTATAGATATAATATATATATACATAAACCTGAGTTCACCAAGTCGTCAACCACACCGTTTGCTCCGTCGCCAGGACGCTTGTAGGTCCGTCCATTGGACGCCTCATAGAGAACTGAGCTGCCGTCATGCCTGGGCCAAAGCGTGGATGTTCCACAAAAACCACCGGTGGATTCGGTGGATTTGAGCAGCGAAATGGTGGCTTTACCGTCACGTTAGCCTCTGGTAAACGTTCACATAACTGATGCGAAAATGGTGATTTATAGTGGATTTACCCATTAAGAATGGTGATTTTCCATACATAACTGATGGGAAAATCACCATGGAAATAGATGGGTAAATCAACTATTTCGACTGGGCCATGGTCAATGGCTATGTTAGTTTACCACAGGGTAATAGATGATGGTTTTAAATGTAGCAAACCGAAACAAAGTCGTTGGATTGTTGATTTTTCTATTCCAAAACGCCAATCTTGGATGCCAATCAAAACAAAAAGCATCGTTGTTGTCAGCTGGGTATGAAAACATCCCAATTTATTGCAAGAAATGAAACAAATGACCTACTCAACCAAAGTTTGCCCGGTTAGAAATGCATACCAAAATAAATATTGCATTGCATACCAACATAGGAATCTTATCCCAGTCGATCCCGGTCGGTTTACCCAAACGTGGGACTCAAACAGTGTCTTCTTTCCTGAGAGGTTCAGGGTTTAGCGGCTGTAAAAGATGTCAAGTCTTCCCAAACATCTGGCCAAATTCTGATCATTCACCTTTTCAAAGTTCGGCCACACATCATCACCCCATTGCTGGCAAACCCACCATTCTCATAGAAAATATCTTTTCCCCCATTGAAAAATCCCCCAGGATGTTGCTTGGAATTTGCCCAGGATGTTTCGATTTCATGAAATCCTGATCTTGGTGAAGATGGATCCATAAATCCCCATCGAGGATTCATATATCCCCATCGTTGTTGCTTAATGTGGGCAAAACAATACCATAAACCATCCCCCAGTCATTACCATTTTTATAGGTGATATATATATATATAATATTACCATATAGTTACCATTCCCACATGGGTGGTAAAAATGGCATTGTGGAAAACCCCCATTCGTCACCATTAATAACTATTACCATTAGTAGACCATTAATAACCATTATTTACGGCTTAAAGCCCCGTTTGGGTTTGGAAACCAGAAGCCTCACCGCAATGTGCTTCTCTGTGAGCTTTTCAGCCGCACGCCGCGCGCGGCCCTTCGTGTAGCCCATGGCACGATGTGTTTCTCTGACAAATCAAATCTTGTATATCTTGGCCTGGAAAAGAATATTGTTTTTCCGAAATAATTGAATGATGAATGGGAAAAATCACCGAGAAAAATATATGGATGCTGATTGAACTTATAATTTTGGATATATTCACCAAGGGCCAACAAACCTATGTTGCTCACCATTGTGGGCCATCGTGGATTGGGCACAAGGGGCCAGCAGAGGCCCCAACAACTGGACCCTTGCCTGGACCAAGAAACTGCTACCTAAATTACAAAAAAAAAAACAACCTGAAAAGTTTAAGGTCATTTGGGTTTAGGGTTCTGCTTACTAGCCACAATTGACGTCACCACGTGAGGTTGCTATAATGTGCTAGAATTCATCCAGACGGTCTGGTTGGTGGTTTCAACTTTTCAACCCTGAAAAACAGTTACTGGTTGGTGGTATACCTACCCCTCTGAAAAATATGAGTTCGTCAGTTGGGATGATGACATTCCCAATATATTATATGGAAATTCATAAAATTCATGTTCCAAACCGCCAACGAGGTTAAGGTCCTTGATCACCAGTTGCTGACACTTCAATGTTCATCTGAAAAGAGCCCCATCTGGCTTTACCTAAAAGCTGACCCAGGTCGGTTCGAGCCGAAAAGCCAAGTGGGCGCTTCCAATTCATATGTCACACCAATTGAGTTTGGTTCACTTCGTTTACAACTGATGTATCACAATTCGTTTTGTCAAAATGTTGGTTCATCATTAATGTTTCACAACACTATCGGTGTCCGTAATACGAACGTTTCCGTTCGGGTTCGAATTTGCTGGACCGGTCTCAATGGTTTCTTTGAAAATTGGCGCTGAAACGCAGAGTTGCCCAATCGTCTGGACACTTCCCCCGCCTACGCCAATGGCTTGACAATATCCAATTGATCTGTTCAGAGTCAGGTACCGCAAAATGAAGAAATCTGCAGATTTCTGGGTGCTGAAAAATTGGGGAGAAGCCCAAAGTCAATAGTTTCCACTTTCTACTGAAAGACAATTTCAAAAGATTTTTTTTTGTATCCCAACTCTTGCTGTTTTGAGGGTCCCAAAAGCAGCGCTCTTTCTGGCTCAAAGCTGCCAGCTTCTGGGACTGCCAGATTTTGGCAGTTCGGGATGCTCATCGAAGCGCACGGGATGGCGCGAACGTCTGCGGTGGGAAAGGTTGATCCACTGAGAAAACATGAGAACTTGGTTCCAGTGGCATTGTCCAACATGGTATATGAATGTATATCGGAAATTGGCGGTTATGGTCATCCAATCATTATTGGGACTCCTTATATTGGCCATGATGATTCACTATGAATTTTGGTATGACCATCCCCAAATATGGGGGTTCCTCCTTTCGAAGTGCGCAAAACCGGGAGAAGCGCCCGCAGAGCTGTTGATAACTCCCGTGAACATCAACTCACCAAAATGGGAATCACTACTTGGGGCATCCCACTGTCTAAGTGGTTCATAAACCATATACAACTAGGGTACATTCAACATGTGGCGGGGGGGTAATATGTTTGTTACATCTTGTTACCCACTTACTTGCCTTGCTGGGATGCACATCCAAGTACTTGCAACTCCTCTCAACCTGGGTATTGGAGTGTTGACTCATCAAGACCCACGTTGGAGCGCAAGGGTTTGGTTGCTCGTAAGATCTTACACTCAATGCTGTGTTTCCCCATAAACATGCCCCAGTTACCCAGTGTGCCATGTGTAGCTGGGAAGTACTGTATGAAGAACCATACCAAGAGCTTTTTATTGAGGGCAAACACTTTCGAAAATTCTATCTTTCAACATCTTTCAACACATCGCCCAGTTCACATTGAAGACAATGGCGGGACAATTTCAACCTTGCCCACTGCATGGCTATCCACAGGCCGCGGCCGTGGGGCGCGTCTTACTTGTGGGGCCTCAAAAGCTATAGTTAAGCTCTTCAAATTATATAAATGTCTTGGTCTGGCTGGCTCCCGATGTAGAGACATGCCCAACTTGAAACCTCGCAACATCCCCTGTCCTTGATACCCCTCAGCATTTGCAAAGCATTTTATAGTGACCAAGGCTAGGCATTCCATAGGCATTCACCGACCGGGGATCTCGAAACCACGCGCCGCCCCAAACTTCCATGCTGCAAACAGTGCACATAAAGGGCAAAAGTTTAGCAAAGGACATTGGAATCTCATCAGTAAGTAACGCGGTGGGTATGTTAAGCTGAAAATATAGGTCAAGCTAGCATCATCATTCCAAACACAAATTGGAAAATGAAGCATGTGCGGAACCATCAACACATGACCCTTTAGGATATGGTCAACAATGGGGTCTACCTGAGCAATTAAAAACTTCTTTCCTCTACCAAAAAGTGTCTTCAACATCTTCAACAGATGTGTCTGTCCAGGAATGAAGATACTCTAAGAATCTATGGTCAACAAACCGTCAAACCAAAAAAAAAAGTTGAAACTTGCCATAAGTTGGGTGATCCCCCATCTTCGCACATATCCATGGGGTGTTTTTGCTGCCCTTCATCTCCCGCTTCGCTGCCCCGCCACGCTCATGCGCCCCCATCGATGTCCAACAGCTTGAAAGCAATCAGGAAGCAGAAGGCGAACCTCCGCAGACAGCGATGTTCGTCACAAATGACGGGGTGTACTCCAAATCCACTCATTTTTGTCTCATGTTTTTTGATTAAAATTGCCTTAAAATAGGGGGTTATGTTCAGACATGGTTAGACACACCTCAATTTGTCGGGCCGATGAACCCCCTCTAATGACTACTGTTTTGGATGGTTTTGGTTACTCTGGGGCATCCACCGGCAAGAAGCGGATGTCAACCAGCAGGAATATTGGATGCATAAGGGGGAGATTAGTAACCGCTTGACCCACGAATTTTCTGCCAGCAAATTGACATAGAGATATGGAAACCCCTATGGAAACCCCCATGGTTTCTCAGGCAAAATGAAAAAACACATGGTGGAATGGTGGGCTTTCCAGATGTCTGTAAAAGACAGGAGGCTGCACCGAGAAGGTGAATGAAACTCAGGGTTTTGGGACCGATGCAGCTCATCACTCTTGCCGTGTTGAAAAAAAGGGTGCACTGGAAAACTGGAAATTCCTGTCTTTCAGTGGGATCATGGGGAAATCCCGATGCCAGCGCATGGAGTGCTTGGCCGGCCATAGAAACCCCCAATGGCGGGGCGGTTCCTCTAGAGCCGGGAGGCGTCACAAACAACCCAGAGAGCGTCAGTGGCCTCGCGATTCGCGTGGGCTGGCATCTCCCACTTATTTGTAATGGGATGGCATGTTGAAAATCATGGATCAAGAAGAACTGGAGGGGTTGAAGACACCTTATCTTGTTTTTCCACAATAGATGTCGAAGCTTGTTGGACGATCCCAATTGTCTTTCGGGGACACCTGGCCCCAGTTGAGAACATCCTTATGAATCAGGATCTATCTATCTATAAGGATCTATCCACACATCATATGGCAGTGTGTCAAAACCTTGTACCCCTGGTGAACATCAAAATAGCTGGTAAATGGATGTTCATCCCCCTAAAAATGGTATTAATTGGTATTGATCCATACCCATATCCACTTGGACTTCAAAAAATGGGAATGACATCCATCGCCCAGCGACGCTCCAAAGCACAGCAGATCTCTCTGGGTGATGAAGCCCGTCTGGAAGGCGATGGCATTGGGCGGTGTGCTCACCACCAACCTCACGGGCTTGCCCGACCACAGCGATTGTCGACCTATTCAAGATCAGCATGTACCTGAATACAGAGAATATGTGTATAATATACAGTATATGGTACAAGTATATATTTATAGTCTGTATATATATATATATATACGTGTATCATATACTGTATATTGTTAATTATAATTATATATAGGCAAAGCATGTGGCCCAAAATACCTCACGAGCATTCTTGGGTACCTGGATATGGACCATGCAAGAGATTGGCTCGGCATTTTGTTGGCGAATGAAACCCATCGTTGAAGTGTTAAATCCAAAAAAATCCAGTGTTTTGCTGGAACATTGCCGGTTTCTCTTGCGCAATCTCCATTATTGCGTATCAAATGTCCATCTTTCCCTTGGAAGCTCTTGAAGCTCTCCATCTTTTTCCTTCAAAAAAATCTCCCCCTTGCTATCATCTATTACATTGGCTTATCATGGGGGTTTTTCACGGGTATAACGGGTATAACGGGTATCACCACCTGGGGAGGACACGTCAGATCCGAGCAGCATGAAGGGTAAGGAGCAGGCCAGCCCCACCGGCAACATCAGCAGTAGGGGGTCAACCTCCATGGACCTCGAATCCCATGATCATGGCCCATGATGGCCAGAAAACTCGAAAAATCATTGTTTTTTTGGAGAAAAAAAACGGGCTTCATGGAAAAATGGTAAAAACTACCATGAAAACTTCCTGGAAATTGGAAACTCCAAAATTCAAAATTGTAGACTACCAGCTTTTTCACCACTCCCAGCGGTGCCATAAATCTGCTCCGGTACAAGGCAACGCCATAGGTGATGGGGAGGAGGATGTTCGCAACAGCCACATCACTGGTTGCCTTTCGATCCACGGCTGCTCATTCTTGGCTTCTTTGGATACGGGTCTGAAAATGAGGGACTAATGGTGAAGATCAGGGAATCACGAGCCCTCCTGGGATCGCCAACTCTGGCTTTCATGGTCATCGACTTAGCCCCGGTAAGACTTGTAGGTAGTGAATGTTGGAGGATAAAGACTCAGGATCCTTTTTCTGCACTGAATATTGCGGCTTTTCTTGTTCCACATCAGATTCCAGGCCCCGAATAGTGGAGCTGGAAATTCTCATTAACCAACCGCTCAGAAAAGGACAACAGTTGTTGCTTCCATCACCCCTTTTATATATATATATAGTTGCCCGAACTTCCACTTCTGATATAAAATCTCGATAATAGTTGTAATTCGGATGTTTCAATCCATTCCATGGCATTTTCTGTGATATTGATGATAGCTGTCAACCTATATTTCCCCCTGCTGCCATTTTAATGGAGGTTTCGGTGTTTCACCTTCACCTAGCACCCAAGGTGAGCCCTGCAAAATACCCATATAGCATCACATTATATTGGAGTATAACCTTGATGGGATATAATTATACTGGGATATGGGTACGATATGGGAGTCATACCCATAGCCATGTCCCATCACATTTTGAAGAATACGTTGATCATACCCCAAAGAGGATGGAGTATAATACAGTATAACTTACCCATACTTACCCAATCAACAAGGCTATTTATATTCCCATATAATCACAATATAATCACCATATTCCCATCATTTGGTTCATCAGATCAACCTGCCAGCACCGTTTCAGCACTGCTTTCCTGGGACATCAGGGCAGCCATGAGCATACAGGCCAGTTGAAAGAGGACCATGGGCAGATTGTCGGCGGCACTTTTCCTAGGTCTACGCCGAAAAGGACATGGCCCAGAAAACCCAGGCGCCCCTTGAGTTAAAAAAAATAGGTGTAACCTATGGATTCTAACTCAATGAATAACTGGGTCATATATGATGAATCTCCAGTTATTTATAGCTATATGATTATAACTCAATCATATATGATGGATTATAACTGGGTCATATATGATAATCTGTTGGATTAAATAGCTATTTGAATGGGGGTTAATTTCAAACATGGGGTGGAGTCGCTCTCCAAACCTGGAACTCGGAATTGATTGAGATACCTCGCGGCTAAGAAAGTCCAATATCTGATATCTGGGTCGAATATGCTGGTCTACTATTTGGGAAATCAAACATCTGATGTCTAAAACATCATGTTTTCTCTGCAATTATATGAGTCTGAAAATGTTGGTGTAGACCTATCTAGTGCCAATTTTTTTGGGGAAACTTAGAAAAAATATTGTTGACTCAGGACTTTCATCTGAGTGGAGAAACAAAAGGCGCAACATACACAGCCACATCAAAAGCATCAACCAACATGTTGGCACTTGATCAAGTGTTGCTCTACGCTCTTTGGGTTAACTTTTGCCTCCATCAATCTCAGAGTTTCTTGATGTGACAAATGAAAAGGATCATCAAAAAATCCTAACACACCATTGGTTGAGACATGGCCAATTCTGCTGGTAACATCCATAGAGGAATTGGGGAATTGGTGGGGCAGTTCAAGCCATGCCCGTTGCACCAAGGCTCATCTGATCACCGATTTTCAGGGAAAGGCCACCTTAAATCGAGATCCCAAGGGGCCCATATTTCTTTTCGATCAAATCGTGCTGGCCATAATAAAACCATGGTATAGTTGAATATCCACCAAATGGTATAGTTGAATGATATAGTCCAACTATGTCTGGTCTAGTAAGTCTAGTAGAATATCCACAATGTCTGGTAAAATGGTGGAAAATGGGATAGTGTGTATTCTTGGATGTTCCGCAGTCATTCAAAAAGCAACGGAGCTGTATTGGGCCTTTTTCAGCAACTCTCGATTCACCATTTGGATATGGCCCACAGGTGGCAAAATAAAGTGTGCTGCCAACCACAGTAAATTGCTATCAAGCCATCGAGTCCGCAAGGTCGCCACAGGTAGTACCAACAGTAACCATTCAGCACCAACAAAAGCCTCCCAAGTGGTTCTAACGATCAAACCATCCCCGGGCCCGGGAAGCCCAAGCCACTCTCGTCAAAGGCGTGAGAGATTGCCGAACCGGCACCGATCCTTGGCTTTGGAAACCAACCAGTCCAGGCTTCACCCATTTTTTGGTGGAACCCCAAAGCATAAACTCCCCTTTTTTTGTAGGGGAACTAAAGTTAACTAAAGCCTACTGGAAATCCTGTTGCAATTCATGATTCGGGCCAGTTTTTTGAATGGGAGAGCGATTGTGATAACCCCCTGTAACCATCAACATGTTTATTTTGAAGCTGCTCAATTATCCTTCGGGTTCCGGCAAAATGAGGCACCGGTCTTCATGCCCTTCTGCTGCTGTTGTGCCACTCAGTCATTCTCCCAAACAAGGCAATGTGAATTCGGGATCAATAAAGAATTTGGGGTAGTGTTACCCCGAAAAACGTGATAAATGACCTCAAATGATTAACCAACACAACCCCCAACGAAACCAGAGCTCAACCTTCATTCCTGCTTGACTTCATCCCCAGTCCTTTCTCACCCAAGAAGCAGCAGAAAGAGTCCCATGGGCATCTTTCCTTGAATCCTCGGTTCAGGAGCCGATGGCTGTCAGCCTAAACCACCTTCCTCTTGCTGCAGATCCCACCAGAAAGTTGGACTTCCCTGGTTGAATCAAACGAAGAGGTTCTTCTCATGTTCATAGTGTCTCATAGCCCATTCGTTCTTTCCTCCAAAAAAAACATTGAACAGTCTTCCCCCCAAAAAAAAAATTGAAGTACCATCTGGTCATTTGTTACATAGCCATGGAAGCCATGGCCCATAGAAATAGATGGTTTACGTAGCTATAAAATGGGTGGATCTTTCCATGGCGAACTGTTAGTCATAACCAGAGGGTATCCCATCATTCCCCCATCCCGAATCCCATAAATCCCGTAAATCCCCTACAAGCGAAGCATCTTGCTCCACTGCAAAATGGCGCCTCCCTCTTTCCCTGGGATGAAAAACAAGGGCAGCGTGGCCGCCAGCACCACGGTGGCATCCGTAAAGGCGTCGGGGTCCTGGAGGTTGCGGAGCGGCCATCAATGATTGTGCTGTGGACATGTGTATATATATATATATGTTTTTTTGTACACATTAGAGTGTCTGTGTGCGTGTATGTGCATAGATATGATATATATATAATATTATAATATAATATAACATAACATAACATAATATAATATAACATAATATAATATAATATGACATATATATATATATATCTGTGTGTGAGTGTATTATATAAACATATACATATCATATACACGTAGTCTTTTGTTGATCTCCCCCGTCAACACCAGCGTGGGCTTGCTGACTGCGACTCACGATGCGTCTAACATAACTATCGAACATCAGCCATGTTTAATAGGTAAAAACTCTATAAATGGGTCATTTCAAATAGCTATCTTAAATTATTAGAGGTTACTGATGTTTACAAGTAAAACATCTATAAATGATTAATAATGGGCCATTTTGAAATGGCTATGTTACTACGTATGTTAGGTTACTGGAGGGTAAGTTTCCCATGGTATTGCAACGTTCACAGCCCCACGGGCTCTACGGGCTCCAGGGCAAGCACTGTGACCCCCAAGCTTCCAAGACCCGATCAACATTTGCTCCGGCAAATGCAAAGGTGTTTAAGTCATCCAACTCGCCATGTTCAGTCCCCGAATTTGGCCACTTTTCTCTACCGAATCTTGAGAGGACCATCCTAGCCATCCCAGTCCGGAAAGAGCTCGGAATAGCCATATCCCCACGCGGGGGCGCGGAAGAACCATCCCAGTACCGTCAGCAGGCAAATTGCCTCAGGTTTTTTGAGGGCATGTCCCAATTCATTGAGGTCACATGGAAAATTCTGATGTCATTTGGGTCTTTTGGGCACAAAATTTTTGGGCATTGAAAACCTTACTGGTGCTAAACGTAGGGAATGGATGTGAATGGGGGTTGCTGGCATTATTACTATTAATGGTTATTGTGGATCATTCCCTCATTCCCTACTAAGCACCAGTGAGAAACAAACCAAAGTCAAATTCGCCCCCAAAATTTGCCTGTCCTACGATCCCAATCAGGCTTAGTCAGGCATGACGCATCTGGACGGAGCCTTTCCTGGAATTGAACCAGGGTCTAGACATCGCCCTTTTTTGGTGGTTTCTTGTTGTCCGGAGATGTGATTACTGTATATATGATTATATCATATCATATCACGTATGTCACATGTGAATATATTAGAATATATACATGGAAACGTATTCGTCATGCAATATACCCTCTGGTAAACTAACATACCCACTACTTCCAAGAACAAAGTTAAACGTTGTCGTCCAAGTAAAGCCATGACTTTACTTAAAGACATTCATTGACTGCTGATATATATCTACCATTTGGCCATACTAAAGGTCAAAAAAGGGTGACCTTTCCCCTGAGCCTAATCGAATCCGTAAATAAAAATATGTGGTTTCCATTGCCATGCTCAAAGTTTTTGATTGGTTTTCACGGGTTTTTCACTGTCTTTTCACGGGTTTTTCACGGTCGTTTCACGCACTTTTCACGCTCTGGGTTTGGAGTGGGATTTGTTTGAAACTCTAGAGTCCGGTATATATTTATACTAGTACTCATTGGGTCTGATAATGCCCAGTAAACACATGTCGCTTCCAAAGACTAAGTTAAACTTTGTCGTTGTGAAAGCCCCAGTTAAACTTTGTCGAAGACTGAGTGGGATAGCTATTGAAAATTGCCATTTATAGTGAGTTTTCCCACTAAAAATTGTGATTTTCCCATCAGTTATGTAAACGTTTACCAGAGGCTACTATATACGTACAAGCATACAATCGTGATCTAATCTCTTTATTATAAATCCCAATAATCCAATCATCCCACCATCCATTGGGGGTTCCTTGCTATGCCAGTCATCCCAGTCTGACTGGGCTGGCTATATCCAATGCCATTATTACCTCCGGGAAGGGGATGGTTTATGGCAGTTTTAACTCATGAAAATCATGATATAATCTATGAAATCCCAGTAATAAACCCCCAAATCATCCATCCATAAAGCCAATCATCCCCATCAAAATCTCAGTCATCCCCATCTAAATCCATTCATCCAATCATCCCAGTAATTATCAGTTTGATTGGGTTTCTCTATATAACTAATCTATGAAATCAACCGTAAATGGGGATATAAAGAGGAAATCCCCTACTAATAAATCGTCCCATCCTTGATTAATTGATTACCCTCTGGTAATTTAACATAGCTATTGAAAATGGCCATTTATAGTGGATTTACCCATTAAAAATGGTGATTTTCCATAGCTATGTTAAATAACCAAATGGTAACTTATTAATTGAATCAACTTAATAAACTTATCATCCATTCACAAACCCAATCATCCCCAACAATAGAAACCCTATATAAATCATTATAAATCCCATCCCCATCCTCTCACCACGGTCCGCGTCACGGCCACAGTCAGCTCCTGCCGCGTGGTCGCACCCAGCTTTTCGTAGCGCTGCCGCAGCGCTTGCGTCGGGAAGCGCTGGACGGAGCCCAGGCCCCCTGTGCGCCGGGTCGAAGGGGCCGCCGGGGAGTTGGTATTCTGAAAAAGGTTGGTTTTTAACTGAGAGAGATTGTCAATGTCCCTTTTCTCTCTGAATACAGCAGTGATACTGCTAAAGTGTCAAATCTAAACCAGCTTCCTCATAACAAGCTGTACAACTTTCATGTGAAACGCCAAATTTCTCCAAATCCGCGTTGAAGATTTTGACGGCCTCTGCATAGACAGGACGATCCATTTCATTCACCCAGCCATTCAAAATCGCCGTTTCATAAGTGCTTGTAACGTTTGTTCTGCGATTATTGGGTTTGGTGTCCAGAAATTCAACGCTTCGACAGGGTCCTCCGAATTTCGCGTGGAACAGGCAGATGGAAAGCGACCACTCTTCTTGCAAACCCACGAAAGCAAAGCCTTCCCTCAAGCGCTCCAATGCCATCGGGACATCGGCCTGTGTGGCGGTAAACTGTTTGCCCACCAGCTGCTTTGTTTCCCAATTGCCAAAGTGTCCCTGAAATTCCTCCATGGACATGAGGCTTTCAGGCGTGCGATTCTCGGCGCACGCAGAGACAAAAGGGTCTGCCCGAAAGATGTTGGCGTCATCATACCAAGCAGACAGCAAACGTTGCTCTGGCTGCCGGAACAGTGCCACGAACTTTCCCTTGTAGATCTGGTAGGTTTCTTCATTCAAAAACTGATGAGTTTCATTTGGGTTTCGGTTGCAATGCAAACGTGCTTGATCACACCACACCGGGCACATTGACCGAGAAGCATCTTCGAAGCATTTGCCAAACATTTCATCGTTCACACTCAAGTTCTCTGGCCATCCAGGACAATTTCCGGGCATGTGCACCAAGGTGTCCAAGAAACTGGTGCCGCACTTGGGGATGTGCAGCCAGAACATGGGCGAAGCCTTCATTCTGCGCATTTCAGCCGTTTCGATCTCCAAATGCCGCAGCAAATGCATCTGAATCTCCAAGGCATCCACCGTCAAGGGCAAAAGGATGAGACCGATGAGACCTCTACGTATGGAAGTCATATGGGCTCGGCCGCCGTGAGTTTTCTGAGGCGCCTAGCCCATTTCAGGCCAAAAAGGGTGGACAGACGCACCCTTGAGCCGCTGCCAAAAAATGTCCCGAAATGATGTGCTTTTCCCACCGAAGGAACGGGAAAAAGAAGCCAAGAAGTTGGGGACTTTCTGGTCCAATCAAGTTCAATCCAGATTTCTTCTGATTCCCATTGCAACACTGCAACACCAACAAAGACCTGTAGAACTCTGAATCCTCCCAGTGCTGTTGGGGAGTTTTTACCATCCACGCCGCCCCTAACGTCAAGACTCGCCTCAGAACAGAATAGGCCAGGTATCAATTGGTCTATATAGAAATGTCTAGAAACTGTTCGAACTTTAAGGATACAGATTGTTAGATCAACTGAACATCATTATCCAACTAAGAGTTGGTATCAATTTAACTAAGCTATGAATTATATATACATCCACCATAAATCCAATTCTTAGCTTAGTTCAAAGCATCAAACCAGCCATGCTGCCCTCGCCTCCCAAAGTCAGCAGCAGTAGCCAGGCGATGAATAGCATCGTTGCCGAAATGGGGAGGCCAAACCTTGTTTGTTTCTTTTGAAAAATTGGAGTTGGAGACCATCTGTCCAGTCATATCTGGGCTAACTCACGGTTTTCAGAAGTCCACGAACACGGACTTTTACACGGACGAACTTATTTTTTCGATTCCTGGGGGAAAAAGATGGAAAAAGCACCGGTCGATGCACCGTCCGTACGGGGTGGCTGGGGATGTGGATGTGTTTTATTTTTTATGATCATCTGAGATCATCTCTTCAGATGGTCTGTGAGAAGATGGTTGCCCAATCCGATCGATGATCAGATATGAAAAAAATGGGCCCGGGTCCAAATCATTGGGGCTGTCAATGCCCACACTTGCTATAGTACCACAAAAAAGTGAGTGGGCTTAAAACAACTCGTGTTGATCAGAAGCAAAACATAGCAAAACCATATTGGGACAAATTGAATGTCTAGGTAAGCAAAACTACATGTGACCTATTGGGGTATGACATATATTGGGGTAAATTGAAGGTTGTTGGGGTCATATGCATCTGATTCTTGTTGCAATTCAACGCTAGTCAGCCAACCAATCGCAGCTTTTCACAAGTCGACTCCCCAACAAACTCCGCCCACCTTTGTTTTCACCCCCAAAACGGAGCAACATGCAGACTTTGGACATAGTTGCTCCATTTCTTGCTTCATTTGGGTATGGCTCAAAATTTGGGTCGCTCAAATTGGACTTGAATGCGAGAAATTACCAAAATCCACTCAGAGTCTGGACCATCCTCAATTTAGGTTGACCACCCTTTTTTCTGCACAAATGCCAACGTTTGATCATCTTTTCTGGTTGATCTCATTTCGATCCATACCCCATGTCCAAACAGAAAAAGAAAGGAATGCCTGCCTTGAGGCACTGCACCTCAACCTTTCCACTTCGAGGCATCCCCATCTTCCACCAAGCTCATCACCACTGCACGCCAAAAGTTCGTCGAGGCAACCAAGAGCTTGGTATAGTGGCTGACCATCTGTCGGCTGATCTCCTGCAACCTCGGTTGAAACCTCCACATGTTGGTTGCTTCTAACCTGATTCCCAGTTCTTGGGGAAATTCCACACAAAAGCAGCATCATTGGCAAGATCCAAGTCACTGATCCAGTGATAAGTCCAGCAGCATCTGCAACAACTGTGGCACACTTTCGTAGCGCAACAGGTGCGGCAGCAGTGCCCAATCAGTGAGTTGCGCCCAGAATGCGGCTCCCGGCGTTATGAGCTCGGCGCGATCCTGGAAATAGGGCGAATAGGGCAAGTCGACATAAGGCGGGCCTTGATATAAATCAGGCGTCAGCTGAGGATGCCAGGGATCTTCCCAGTGAAGGCTTTCCGTCTCGTTTCTCAGGGCCCTTTCTAGCCATTGGAAATTCTTTGGGTGCGGATCCCGAAAGTCGCGGCCCAAGGAGAAGGCCACAGGGCCCGCCGGCTTGGCGTCGGCGCGCGCCCAGCGCATGGTGGTGCGCCATAAGCCCCCGGAGAAGATGAAGATGGGGATGGCCATGGCATAAAATTCCGCCAGCTTCAAGGGTCCCGTGTCGTAGGCACACAACACGCTGCCGCGAAACTGAGCCAACTGGGCCTTGGAGCAGTGCTTGCCACAAGGCATTTCCTCCCAGGACACGAAGCGGAAGGGCAAAATGGCCGCCGCCTCGGCGAATCTCCGGAGAAGCTCCACATCGTAAGGGGTGTTAAATCTGCTGACGAAGACCTCCTGAGGTCTTACCTCAGGAGCATACCTGGCCTCCAGCGACACATCCGGGTTGATTGGTTGAAAGTAGGGCACCTTCAAGCCCAATAACCAACGGACCTGAAAGCTGTTGTGGGCAGACATGGTCAGCAACACATTTTCTTTCCTGTGAAAAAGCTCCAAAAAATCCTCAGTCCACTGATCCTGCAACTCCTCCGGGACCCATAACTGGTGCGACATGTCCCAGATCCCCAGCAAAGGTGCACCAAAATTGGCCAACAATCTGCACCAGTAAAGCGGATGGCCACAGGCCAACATGTCCATCTGTCGCAACTCCGGGAACAACTGCTGAAAGCGCGGAAGCACCTGGCTGGTTTCAATCACCAGGGGCCCAAAGTTATAAACTTCTGGGGTCAAGTGAGATATCCCATTTTCGGGATGGTACAATTGATGTTGAAAATACGAAAGTCAGTCTGGTTCTGAAAATGGGATGTTGATCAGTCCGATGTTCAGGAATTAGTGTTGACAAAGTGACAATTTAAAACTGCCGTCATCATCCCAGGTACGCGACAAATTTCTTGAAAAAAAAGCACACCCAGCCTTGCTATCAAATTCCTGGTGCAATTCCCGCAAGCCACACCACTGTCCACGCTCTTCTCCACAGTCACTCTGTGTGATCTGATTCAGGATCCTCTGCTCTTCCATCACCTTGCGGTTATCTGAAAATATGCCATCCCCATCATCGCCTCTATCAAACTGGCCTTAAGTTGGGCTAAATCTTCATTTTCATACCCACAACTCATTGAAAGGCATTGAAATTGTCATTTTTGGGTGGTACATATCATTATTAATGGTCCAATTTCAGACACACCCACCTCTTTCAGGCGCTGATCCTTTGAGCAGAGCCAGTCCTTGTAGCGCGCATAGACGCAGATGTCCCCCAGCGCATGATGTGAGACTTCCACGTCATAGCGATCGCTCATCCAGTTCTCCAACACAAAGGCGAAATCCACGAAGGGTCCCGGGTGTTTAGAGGTCCACCAGACCTGGACGCTGCTCCATTTCATCACGCAAAATATCATATTATTTGGGATCATTGTCCAGCTTTCGGGGATGGAAAAACAACTTGATTGACAAATGGAAAATGGAAAAAAGGATCTGAGACATGGAAAATAAAAGAACAAAAAAAACATGTTAAAAACTGGAAACCATCAACCAAACATAACCAGACACTTTCAGCTTCCGCAACTTGTGCTCCAGCCCGGGCTCCTGGAATTCGTTGGGACAGTGGGGCCAACATCTAGGCGCATGGGAGGGCCACACCAGCGGCAAGCGCTGCCGGATCCAGGGGCTGTCTGCTGGCTTCACATGGACCAATTGAAAGGGCCAACCTGGATCCATGTCTGCTGGAGCCCAAACAGGGTCTAAATCGTCAGTTTACGTCAGGAATTTTCGGTGCCCAAAGATGTTCGTTTGATTTTTGGCAACATGGATCAAGCGGATCAAGCAACCGTGGCGAAGAAAAAAGACGTTGGAAAGGAGGTCAAAGGACGTAAATGGCCATCCGCTGTGCTCGAAAAAATCATGGTCGTCCATTCTCAACATGGAGATGCCGGCCATCAGGAAGTATTCAGCTTGAGGAAGGTCGCCCTTACTACTGGCACCCCAGGCCAGCAAGTAGAGCGCGGTGACCGCCCCCAGGATGCAGAAATTCCCAAAGGGCCAGGGATCTGCCTCTTCCCGATCTGCCCAGAAGGTGGCATAAAGATTTTGATGCTTCACCTTATGTGTCTCCATCAAGTCCAGGCACAAGTCCAGGAGCTCGGAAGGAGGCTCCTGTGAGCCCCCGCTGTTGGGCAATTGCGTGGAGTACCCAAACTAGCTAAGAGGAGATACCGAATACAAACGCGTCAATACCATTCTCCTCCCCTTTTATTGCTTGTGGTTTTTCATCGGTAAAACACGGCGCCATAAAGCTACAAAGGTAATTTAAAAATTGTGAAACCATAAAACGTCTTCCATTTTCCCCCTCTGTGCCACTCATTTACCTGCACCCTTGAGTAAGTTGAATAGATATGGAAAACCCACCACCATTTCTAGATCATTTTCCTAGGGTTTACCCATGAGTTTTCCACCATCGGGGTAGGTCAACATGTACCCATTGCTTGTGAGCCACAGCCAGGTTCCGATTCCTAGAAGATTTAGTCTCTTGAAGCACCCTATCCAACCACGTGTTTGACATTATTCAAGCTTGTATCCTACAATGTGGGCACCCCCTGGTATGTTTGCTGTTTTAGTAATTTTCGTGTCATTAACTATATAGTTGGACCACGGCCTTTAGGCGGCCGTGGTGTTTTGTTGACGTTGGGGTGGGGTGGGGTGGGGCATGTATTAACGTTCATGTGAACTTGCAAATGAAGTACATGCTACGCTTTGGCTGCCGGCAGGTGCATGTATTCATAGGTGGGGTGGGGTGGGGTGGGGGGGGGCGGGGCATGTATTAACGATCACGTGAACTTGCAGATGAAGGACATGCTATGCTGTGGCTGCCGGCGAGTGCATGTATTCATGGGTGGGGTGGGGTGGTGGGGTTGGGTGGTGGGGTGGGATAAAAATAACGTCCATGGCTCTCTCTCTTTCATAGGTCATGCTACGCTACTGTATGTCTTCACCTTTGGACTCATGCGTCACGCTACGCTACTGTATGTTCTCCTGAACTTTGCACTCATGGGTCATGCTACGCACCCCTCCTTGACACAATATGCGTTCATGTGCTGCTGGCGTTCAAGCTTACAGAGTCCAGATCCTAAAAGGTTCTTGGAAGAACTGGAGGCGCTGCTCTGACCAAAAGACGGCTAAAAACATGTGACGACGAATTACTTTCAGGTTGGCCAGAAAACCCAAAAATGGTAGTTTTGTGTAGGCGAAATGACTGTTTTCGTTCTACTGCTTGTGAATAAGGGGTTAACGACCTTAAAAATAAAATCACACAAATTCCTATTGGCATGATCACATCCAACATGATCAACAACATCCCATTGTTTAAAAAAAACACGGCCATCTGAAGGCCGTGCTCCTAGTTCTATATATCTAACACAGAACTAGTGAACTGCACCAACTTAGCTATTGTTTGGAGGGACAACCTCGTACGTGTCTACAACTGGAGGTTCACCAGTCCTGCAGCCCTGCTTTCCAAAGCTCCAGCGCCTCGACGGCACCTTGTTGCAGGGGCAGCCACACGTCGAGCGAGGCACTGCGGCAGTCCAGGTCAGCCAGGGAGACCATGGCCATGGCGGCATCGAAAAAGATCTGAGACGTTGATGTAGTGAATCTATTCAATGATGTAATACATATATATGTATATAGTTATAGTTATAGATATTATATATATAGATATATATATATATAGATATATATATATATAGATATATATATATATAGGGTGATGATCTAAGTAATAAAATGATGATTATCTGTGATCTAGATAATATGATGTCTTAGTAGTATGTATATTATATATATATATTTGAAGAGAGAGAGAGAGAGTGGGTGGGTGTGTGTATATGTTTAGAATATATATATATGTGTGTGTGTCTGTGTGTGTCTAGCTCTATGTGTGTGCAGACAGATGTAGATCTCAGGGAAGAGTACATGTTTGCATGGATACTTGCATATGTGTACTATTTTAAAAAAAAACTAAGATCATAGTGGGAATATAAATTGACAATGTACATCTACATACATATAATATTTGCATGGGTGTATATAATGAGTCGTTTGATATCAAGTTTAGAGTACTTCGCAGTTCAGGTTGCCACCGTTTTGAATTGTCGAGTCACCATGTCAGGTTTTCTTTCGCACCCTCAAACCAGGGGATTAAGATGCTTTGTATGGCCTGGTAGTTATTTCTTGTTTGAATCATCTCATCCCACGGTAGTGTTTGGTTGACAAGAATTCGCACATTGGATCATAAACACTCCTCCAGTATGAAATCAATGACTTTCGTACAAACTGAGGCCCCCAAACGATAGCTAAGTTATGCCAAGTTGCCTTAGAATTTGGTCAACTAGGGTTTATGGCGGATACAACTATAGACAATGTGTTTAGAAACCGACAAACATAACTGGGGGGCTCACCTTGCAGGTTTCTTGTGACATGTGACAAATCGCCCATGTGGTGCTCGTGGAATTTGCAGCTCAGCTTGAGATGAATGCGAGGGGTACGCAAAGGTTGACATTGTAGTGGCTCTTCAAAGCAATATATTGTGTTTACATGCGGGGACCATTTCAAAACACCAAATTGCGCATTTTATATAAAACTACTGCATGACAATTGTGTGAAAATCCTACCTTGTCAAGCAGTACTCTAGACATGCCTTTAACTTGCACGCAAAAAATCATCTACATACTGTCATCGAAAGGTTCCTATGCGATTGCTTCAAATGTTCATCGGAATCCGTCGAACTTGTCGATGCCCGACAGAGCTGTCCTCAATTTTCAAAGAACTGGGTAGCTTCGCTTGACTGTTGCCTGCTTTTTACCGTTGCCTTCAAAGGGTTTTTGCTCGTGATCTTAACAGCCAAAGACTGATGGATTTCACCAATCAACCATCTGTGTAAAGTGCAGTGACTACAACAGCATGACCATCCCATGATAAAAAGCTGCGATGGGAGCCATGTTTGGTGAATCGTTCACTTGATATTATTCCATATACAACTTAAGTGGAGTAAGAACCTAATGAAGCAGTCTTGGAGTTCCGCCAAGCGCAAATGGTGCATAATTTGCGACGAATGTTTGATCGGTGCAATCTTGATTTATCGCCAGACACAAGAAGCACTTGGTCAGTTTTCAGATATAAAGTGCACTCGAAATAGTATTCATTCAACCAGCAAAGCTCAAAAAAATGCATACATAGCCACACAGTTATTTTTGAGTAAAGTGCATGTTCACCCTCATACAAATTTGTCGCCGTTCTTGTCGTTACGTCCACCCATTCTGCTCGCTGATCGCCGAGTCACAAGATCCAGTAGCCAAAGCCGATGGTATTGCCCGTGAGGTTGCCTGATCATGGAGTGGCAAATCTTGGATCCCCTGCAACAGAAAGTCGTCTATATGATATAATATAATAATATAATATAACATAATATGATATAATATAATATGATATAATTAGATATAGATATCATATAATATAAATATAATATAATATAATATAAATATAATATAATATAAATATAATATAAACATAATATAATGTAAATATAATATAATATGATTTAATATTATATAATATGATATAATATAGTATAATATAGTATAATATAGTATAATTTAATATAATAAGATAATATAATATAATATAATTTAATATAATATAAGATAATATAATATAATATAAGTTAAATTAATTTAATATTAATATTAATATTAATATTAATATAATATTAATATAATATTAATATAATATTAATATAATATTAATATAATATAATACAACACAAAATAATATAATATAGTATAGCATAATGTAATATAATATAATATAATGTAATGTAATATAATATAATGTAATATAATATGATATGATATAATATAATATAGTTATATATATATATGTGCATATATACAGAGTAACCCAAAAAAAGATACAGAAATGAGCCAAATCGTAGTAAGATCGTCACAATTTTTTCTGCTCTTCTCTTTTTCGGGGCACATTTTCGGGCACCGTTCTTTTCTGTTTCCGATTCTATCGGCAAGCTGCCATAAATGGATGTGAAGGCCAGGTTGGTCCCTGTACCCGTCTTGGTGGACACACCACCAATGGTGCACGAATACCTGAGCTGAGGGATGGCGGCAGAAACTCGTCCGAAAATGTGGTGTTTATGGGGTTTTGTGTATATTAAATATGTCTAAACAGCTTAAACAAATAGATAAATCAGTAAATATAGATGTAAATAGGTTATTCTGTTGATTCATCAATTGATAGATACAGAGAAAGAGAGAGAGAGAGAGACAGAGGTGGATGGATGGTATATACTATTAAGAAGAACATGCCACTAACGCCTGACAGGACATGGTAAAGGGGCAAGAATCAAAGGATACCACCCAGTTCACCCAGGTTTCTAACATCTGACGTCCAAGATGCGCCACACCCAATACCATCTTCTTGAACATGTGATCCAACCTTGCTCCGGAGTCATCATGGCCATGGATTGGGCTGCAAAATCCACCCCATGGCCCGATGATTGTCCCAGCCCGGCGCTTGGTGGCTTGGTGCCAGATGAGTGAACCCCGTAAAGTGCACATCCCTGCGTTGAAAACCAGCGAAGCCGCATCCACCGGTTGGATTTCCCGTTTTGCCATGGACATGTCTATCCGACAATATATCCCCATGTGTCCTAAGCCAGAAAATGATGGTTAATCTATTACTGGTTGGTGATATACCTACCCCTCTGAATAATATGAAAGTCAGTTGGGATGAGAAATCTGAAAAATAAAAAATGTTCCAAACCACCAACCAGATTATATAATTCTTTCCTTGTTAAATAACACTTCTTTCCGATGTGATCCGCAGCTGCCGATGAAATCTCCCATTCGTGTTGATCAAATCCCCAATTCTGCATGTTCTTCCTACAAGGCGGTGTTTTTTTTGCTCCACTTAGCTAAGTCTAAGTTGGTTCAAATAACTCCAATTTCACTTGGGTTTATGGCGGATGTATCGAACTAGTTCATGGTGTTTATAAACCAACTTACACATCCAAAACAAACATCATTTATGGTAACATCCCTGTATTTCATTTAAGATATAGCAAATAAAAAAAAAAACTCATAACCTATTTTTAGATATGTTTAGCTGATGTGTTTACATATGTTTCCAGAGTTTTCCCCACAAATCTATCCACATTCATAGTTAACACAACTATGATATTCCTAAATTCTATGATATTCCTATCACATTCCCATATATTTCCTTTCAAACACCCATTCGGTTTCCTGTTCGGCCGCGCCGCGCTGCCATCTCGGTGCGCTCGGTCTTGTTGCTGCTGGTCTCGCTGTCCGTTGAAACGCTGCCCTGGCTGTCGCTGTCGCTTCTGGGCTCCTGGGAAAAATGGGAACTTTGTTTGGAAAAGATGAACATCTGTTGAGGTGATGCAAATGATAATATCATGGCTATAATCATGAATTGTTTGGACTTTGAATGGATTTGTTTATGGTTTTTGAGTGGAAAAGGTTGTGCCTTTTGCCTCGGAAACACTACCTGAGAAAGTGTTGATTTTGCCTGGAAAGACAAGGGTGGTAATCGGATAGCAAGATTCACACGCCAAAAACAACATCATCTTCCATGGTTCTGTAACATTCAACGTGTTTTCTCAAACATCTTCGATACCTTCTTCGGAAATCTTCGGTTCCGCAAGGCGCCTTCAAAGGCTAAGCTGGAGCAACCCCCAGCCCCAGCAAGAAATCTCCTGGCGCTCGCTGGTCACTTCTTTCATCTCTTCATAAAGGGAGCTGGCTAAAGGACACATCAGCGAAGCCGTTGCGGTGTTGGACATAAAGGCTGACAGCGCGGCACTGATCAGCATCATCGCCAGCAAGACCATCTGTGGAGGCAAATGGGAAGAGTGACTGTGGGACCACAGACAAATGTCCAAGATATGGATGGAACGAGTGTGAGACTAGAAGTGGGATGGTTCTTGATGAAATGGGAATGGAATGAAGAGGGGGAAATCGTTTTAGATGTTGGAACTTAACTGGATTCATGCAATGTATTAAAGAATTAAAACGGAGGTCTATAGCTGGGAAAATCATCGAACTAAATAGGTGATTTTCGCGCAAGACAATGCTCTCAAAAGCATTAAAAAGTCCCCCAGAGGTTCTAACCTGCAGATTTAGATGGTGATTTCCCAGCCATCCATCTTTCATTGTCAGAGGCTCCCCAAGGGGAGAAAAACATCAAGATGATGATGATGATGATGAGGAGGAGGATGATGATGATGATGCTGATGATGATGATGATGTTGATGCTGAAGATGCTGAAGATGATGATGATGAAAAATAAAAAATAAAAAATAAAAATAAAATAAAAAAATAAAAAAACATAAATAAAAAATAAAAAATAAAAATAATAATAATAAAAAAACATGGGAAAAAATGAAAATACCATGTTTAAGCCTTGCTACGCCCTCCCGCTTTCTGACACGGCAACCAGCGGTTCCCCCAGGCCTTAGGGTCTCCGGGCACCATGGACAGCAACTTCAGCGCCAGGCGATGGTGCAAACCCACCTCTTCAATGGCGAAGGCCAATAAGAAGCTTCCCAGCAAGATGAAGTTCACCTGCACCAATGGGTAGCAATGGGTAGTTACCCAATATGAAAAACATGTTTTGAGATCGGGTGGCAAAATCACTGGCTTGCAGGCAGTAGTGTACGCATATATATATATGTATGGAATGCAACGACGGGGATATAATAATTCTATAGGCAACCATGGTTGACAGTGACAATTCACGTATCTTTTTCCGACGATTTTCCTAAGACGGATAATAGGGCTACCTGGTTCAAACCCAACTTTTGTCAACAAACCTGGGTCTTGCCATCACGGTTCGTCTCTAGGTGGGACTGTATCCAGTTCCATATACTGTGTCTGCATAATATGTGGGTAGCAAGCCCCAAACAAAAAAGAGAAAAATCCTGACTAAATAGTGATCAATTACTTTTCTATCCTTTTGGGGCTTACTCTACTTCTGTATTTCAATTCCCCCCGTAAACATTACAAAATTTGAGGGTGTTTTCACGACGACAGACCCGCCACAACAGCGAGACTGGCCTTGTTGAAGTACTGGTCTTCCAGTCTGTAGTGGTGCCCGCCCACACCCATCATGGGCAAAAAGATCACCGGAAACAACGCCACTACCTGAGATGATTAAGGATATTCGAAACCTGCTGGTCGTGATCCTGAGGTCCATTAAGGTAGACCAATAGCTACGAGTACTTGGTGGTTCCAGTCCCAGTGGTTTGTAATGGCACAGAAGCCCCATAGTGATGCCAGTCACTAGGGGGTTGTGGGATGTCAAAGCAGCAATCCACACCACTGGCTACAAACGTGGCCAAATCACCAAGTTTTCCAACCATCATGACCCTCTTCCTCCCTGCCCTCTCGTGCTTCATTCAAGCAACAGCACTGTGTGGCTTGCCAGCCACCCACAGACCTGCCATCAGCACCGTGCAGTTCAGGACGGCATGCTTGGCGCGACAGTTGGCGTCCGATTCATCCGGGGAGCAGAAGGTATCGAAGGTGCCTCGGCGCGATGCGGTAGAATTCGGCGCGATGGTTTATGGAAAATTATCCCAAGGATCGTGGTTGACAACCAGCTGTAAGCCGTCTATATACCGCTCAAGCACTGTATAAGAATGCACTGTATAAGAATTTGAGGGGCTCGGTGCCTTTCCAGGGTTTTGCAATTTGAGGGAGCCTGGGGTTCAACCTTTCGGAATTTGATCCAACGCTCAGGCTGTATATATATATATACATATATATATACATTAAATTAAATTAAACTAAACTCAATTATATTATATTATATTATATTATATTATATTATATATATACATATACATACATACATGAGATAACCCCACTTGAGGGACATACGAACCAGGGTTGATAACCAGTGACTAAGTATGATAGGATGATCATCCAAGCAGATGACCTTCAACAGTGAGGATGGAACCCCTCAATGAGGGTTGGTGGATGATTTGGAGTTTCGCTGTTTTCTTTTCCAGGATCCTATGTAGTACATTGACCTTCAAAAAAAAAACGATCCCCCCATTTTCAAGAAGGAATAGATTGTCTTCCCCCAGCCATGATAAAAAATGAAGGGGTGGAGGGTGCTCCTCAGCCCAGCCGCGGACCAGGGCATAGATGATGATCGTCACTGCGATGGCGCTCAAGACCCCGAGCCATGACCACAGGGCCCCTTTGGCGCTACTCCACAGGGCCGACAGCGCAGTCATGGTGGAAAAAGACAGGCAGCTAGGGGAGTTGGGGGTTCAAAGTTAAGAAGGGTCGGGAATTTCAAGTTTGAAAGCAACTGAAAATTTAGATGATTGGAAAAAATGTGGCAAGAAAATTTAAGAGAGTGGCTTGAGTTCATTGAAACATCATGGACTTGTTCATCTTGTTCTAGGCAAAGTGGTTCCGGTTTTTATGACTGGACCAAAACACTGGTAAACATTGGTGCCCGCAATTGAGCTGCATTCTTCTTCTGTCATTGTCTAACCTGAGTTTGATTGCATTCGCCATGAGAGCCATGGAGCGGGCGCTGAAAGCGGCGCTTTTCTCATCATGGTGCTAACTTCAAAGCTTCATTGTCGGCATTGGAGGTGGCATCCGGATTTACCAAAGCTGGTCTTCGCTCCTCAAGACCCAGGCATTTCTGAAACAAACCTACAAATGTTTCTGGCGATATCTTCCCACCTCGCAAAAGAATCTCTGAATGAAGGTTCCACAGTATCTTCTCACTCCGAGCTTCCAGCCATGTCTATATATAATTATATATATATGGAGCATTTGGACCCCAGAAATGTTGGCATCATGCCCTTCATGGCAAAGCATCCAATCTTTTTGACGGATCAAATGGAGGCACATCATAGATTTTGGACAGTTGTTGAGTTTTGACTTCGTAGTCTTCAATTTGAAAACATCAAAGTCCAGTGTCAAACCATCCTTTTTTTGAGGGCAACTGATTCTCAACCGTTGTTTTTACCCTTGGGAAGTGAACACCTGGAGTGGCGAAACCCATCGAGACATAGATCGATTTGAGTCACTGGGTTTTTGTTGATCTCTTTTCAATGAAGTTTTTCATGGTGTAGATTTGCCTGAAAAAACCGGCACTGTTGCGTTGTAACTTCACTTGGATCATCACCACCACCACCAGCAGCACCATCACCATCACCATCACCATCACCACCACCACCACCATCATCATCATCGTCATCATCATCACAACCATCACCATCATTACCATCATAATTATACTAGTGATAATGACATCGTAGTGTATATATATAATGTTCTATGATTCTTATATTAAGATTCGATTCTAATCAATCACATAACATATTCACCACCATCAATGGCCATTTCAGGTCCCTAAATTGGAGGTCCCTACCATATATAAAGCCTATATAAGGGCCAAAGTTCAGGGGACATCCCCATACAATATGGCTTTGTGTGGTACTAATGTACCTCCATTGTACTGCAATTCCCATTGATCCTGGAAATCCTTTCTATATCCCATTATCATTGGGTTTACCACATTATATTTATCCATTAAGATCCCATTAAATCACCAGTTATATCCCAATAGAGATCTTCACCCCACCCCATAGATTATCTATTGATATCTATTAGATTTAAATATGTGGGATTCTATTAGATGAATATCGCTATTAAATCACCGTGAATATCCCAATAGATTCCCCCACCAACCCCCACAGCCAACCCCATGGCACCTGCTCCGGCGTCCGGCTCCTCACCAGCAACACCACAGCACCCGCGGAAGCGCTGGAGGCATCCGGAAAGGTGCCGGAGGCCACTGCCTGGTGATGCCAAGAACTGGAATAACATGGTATATCCCACGATACATTATACATATAGTGTGCATAGATAGATATGTATATATATAGTGTATATATATATGGTGTATATATATAGTGTATATATATAGTGTGTGTATATATATAGTGTGTATATATATATAGTGTATATATATATAGTGTATATATATAGTGTATATATAGTGTATATATATATGGTGTATATATATAGTGTATATATAGTGTGTATATATATATGGTGTATATATATATAGTGGATATATATATAGTGTATATATATAGTGTATATATATAGTGTATATATATAGTGTATATATATGGTGTATATATATAGTGTATATATATATAGTGTGTATATATATACACTATATATATATAGTGTATATATATATGGTGTATATATATATAGTGTATATATATATAGTGTATATATATAGTGTATATATATAGTGTAAATATATATAGTGTATATATATATATAGTGTATATATATAGTGTATATATGTAGTGTATATATATAGTGTGTATATATATAGTGTATATATATAGTGTGTATATATATAGTGTATATATAGTGTATATATGTAGTGTATATATATAGTGTGTATATATATAGTGTATATATAGTGTATATATATAGTGTATATATATATATTTATGGTGTATATATATATAGTGTACATATATAGTGTATATATAGTGTATATATATATAGTGTATATATAGTGTATATATATATATATATAGTGTATATATATATAGTGTGTATATATATAGTGTATATATATATAGTGTGTATATATATACAGTGTGTATATATATAGTGTATATATATAGTGTATATATGTATAGTGTATATATATATAGTGTGTATGTATATATAGTGTATATATATACAGTGTATATATAGTGTATATATATACAGTGTATATCCATAGTGTATATATATATAGTGTGCATATATAGTGTGTGTATATATATAGTGTATATATATATAGTGTGTATATATACACAGTGTGTATATACAGTGTATATATAGTGTATATATAGTGTATATATATATATATAAATATAGTGTATATATATAGTGTATATATATATTGTATATATATAGTGTATATAGGGTGTATATATATAGTGTATATATAAACAGTGTGTATATATATATAGTGTATATATATATAGTGTGTATATATATAGTGTATATAAATAGTGTAAATATATACAGTGTGTATGTATATATAGTGTATATATATAGTGTATATATATACAATGTATATCTATATATAGTGTATATATAGTGTATATATATATACAGTGTATATATATATATAGTGTGTATATATATATGTAGTATATACATATAGTGTATATATAGTGTATATATATATAGTGTATATATAGTGTGTATATATATAGTGTATATATATTGTATATATATATTGTGTATATATATATACATTGTGTATATATATAGTGTGTATATATGTATGGTTTATATATAAAGTGTATATATATAGTGTATATATGTACTGTGTATATATGTAGTGTATTTATATATAGTGTGTATATATATTGTATGTATATATATATACAGTGTATATATTTAAAGTGTATATATTTATATATAGTGTGTATATATCTATAGTGTATATTTATACAGTGTATATATATACAGTGAATTTATATAGTGTATATATAGTGTAATATATAATGTATATATATAGTGTATATATGTATACAGTGTATATATAAATATATATATATAGTGTATATATATAGTGTATATATATAGTCTATATATATAGTGTATATATATAGTGTATATTTATAGTGTATATTTATAGTGTGTATATATATAGTGTATATATAGTGTGTATATATATATAGTGTATATATATAGTGCATATATATAGTGTATATATTTATATAGTGTATATATATATATACAGTGTATATAAATATACTCTATATATATAGTGTAGATATATAGTATGTATCTATATATATAGTGTGTAAATATATATATAGTGTAGATATATATATATGTATATAGTGAAGATATATATATATAGTGTATATATATTGTGTATATATACAGTGTATATATATAGTTATATATAGTGAATTTATATATAGTGTATTTATTTATACAGTGTATATATTTACTGTGTGTATATATATATGCTGTGTATATAAATAGTGTGTATTTATATATAGTGTATATATATATAGTGCATATATATATACAGTGTATACATATAGTGTACATATGTAGTGTATATATAAAGTATGTATATATAGTGTATGTATATATATATAGTGTATATATACAGTATATATATATAGTGTAGGTTTATAGTCTGTATATATATATAGTGTATATACATATATAGTGTATATATATATACAGTGTATATATATATAGTATATATATAGATAGTGTATATTTATGTATAGTGTATATATATTTAGTATATATAGTGTATATAGATAGTGTGTATCCATATATATATATATAGTGTACATATTTTTAGTATATATATAGTGTATATATATAGTGTATATATATAGATAGTGTATATAGTGTATATATATGTGTGTATATATATGTGTATATATATGTATGAATTTATATATATATATGTGTATATATATATATAGTCTGTATATATATATATATATGTATAGTGTATATATATATATATAGAGTGTATATTTATAGTGTATATATTTGCAGTGTATATATATATAGTGTGTATATATAGTGTGTATATATATAGTGTATATATATAGTGTGTATATATATAGAGTATATATATATAGTATATATATAGTGTGTATATATACATATAATGTAAATATATATATTTATAGTGCGTATATATATATATAGTGTACATATATATATATATTGTGTATATATAGTGTATATATATAGTGTATATATATATATACTGTATATATATAGTGTGTATATATATAGTGTATATATACTGTATATATATAGTGTATATATATATAGTGTGCATATATATAGTGTGTAAATATAGGGTATATATAGTAAACATATCGTGTATATATATGTATACATATATTGTATATATATAGTGTGTATATATAGTGTATATATAGTATACATATAGTGTACATAAATTGTATATATATATATTGTATATATTTATATACATTGTATATATATATATTGTATATACATATATATGTATATTGTATATTATATGTATATGTTGTATATATATAGTATACATATAGTCGTGTATATATATATATATTGTATATATATGTATATTGTATTTGTGTACATATATTTGTATACATGTTGGATATTGTGTATATATACTATATATTGTATATATATAGTGCAATTATATAGTGCAATTATATAGTGTATATATATAGTGTATTTATATAGTCTATATATGTATAGTCTGTTTATATAGTCTGTATATATATATTGTATATATATTTACTGTATATATTTGTAGACTGTGTATATATATATATATATTTATAGAGTGTATACATATACTATATATATATTCAGTGTGCAAACAGTGTGCATATATAGTGTACATATATAGCATTGTATATCGTATATACATAGAGAGGGAGAGAGGGTGCGTGTGTGTGTGTATATACATAATAGTGTGTATATATATATATACAGCGTGTATACTGTATATATTATATTCTGTATATAGTGATTCTAAGTGTTTATCATATTGTCTAAGAGGGAGTTACAATCTTAGTGGGTTATAAGAAAAATGGTTTTTGATTGTTTCATGTGGTCATATAATACCCACTGGGATGCACAATGCAAGTAGGGGACAGTGAAGACATGGCGGCTGATGTGAGGATGTCGGGCTATCGCCCTTTCTGTAGGTAAATGGTGAGGTCCAATTCATCAATGGATTCTTCCCGACCTTTTTGGAGTTGACCCAAAAATGTTCGACAAGTACCTTGACACTGCTCAAGACCAAGACAGCGTCCCCCGATTTCGCAATGTCCGAAAAGTCTTCTTGAAAACAATATATGTTGCTTCAGCCGGATTCCCCGTGCGCGATGGAACTACAGAAGTTGGTGGGCCAACCATGTCCGCATCTTTCCGGATCTCATTGGCACTCCTGACATTTCACATGACCCAAAAGAAATATAAATATATATACGCGCAACGCCTGGGCTTTGCCCAGGCGTCGTAGCGTAGAGGTTTCCCATTCCCAAACAAATGTTGATGCAACTTCACAAAATTCCTATGGGAAAAACAACAAAGGTACTAGGGAATATTAAACTCCCACCCCCGTTTAACCTTAAATTCCTTTGGGAAAAACAACAAAGGTACTAGGGAATATTAAATTCCCACCCCCGTGAAACTTTACATTCAATTGGGAAGATCAACAAAGGTACTAGGGAATATTAAGCTCCCACCCCCGTTAAACCTTAAATTGCTATGGGAAGATCAACAAAGGTACTAGGGAATATTAAACTCCCACCCCCGTGAAACTTTACATTCCATTGAGAAGATCAACAAAGGTATTAGGGAATATTAAAGTCCCACCCCCGTTGAACTTTACATTCAATGAAGATCTTCAACAAGGGTTTAATTCTCCCACCCCCGTTAAACTTCTACATTCATTGGTGATCTTCAATAAGGGTTCAATTCTCCCACCTCCGTTTAACTTCTACATTCATTGGTGATCTTCAACAAGGGTTTAATTCTCCGACCCCCCGTTAAACTTCTACATTCAGTGAAGATCTTCAATAAGGGTTTAATTCTCCCACCCCCGTCAAACTTCTATCTTCATTTTGAAGATCTTCAACATGATGATGATGATGATGATGATGATGATGATGATGGGTTGCCTGTCGTGGTTGCGGTTCCGGGCAAAGCCCAGGCATTTGCCGTATATATATATATATATATATGTCCATTCCCAAGATGTCAACAATATTCAACAATGAACTTTCCAAATCCAGGATCTTCCAAGTGGTAACTTTCAGGGACCTGCACTACAGATTTTCCTCGCCTTGATGAATCCTGGTTGGAGCCCAACATCGACCACCTGCCCCGGGGCGGTTTCAATCGGAAAACAAGGAGGGAGAACTGGGAGAACTGGAGATGGTTCAGAATTCGGCCATTTCAATGGTGAAAATGAGGATCAACCAGTGGATTTTATTGTAAGTACCGTATTTTCAGACCAAAAACTTGACCAAAAGCTTGGGGAGATAAAAACTTAGGAAGCTTTCCCCGCGCTTGAAATCCACCAGGAGTCTTGCGATGGGCCAAGAAATATGGGTGCGGGTGTGCAATTGCTAAGTTTGATTGGCAGAGAGTACCCCGACGTACCATGGTTGGTCAACTTGGGGTTCCCTCCACCGCATGTTCTGCAGGGTGCTGTGTGACCTTCCACATCCTTTGGGGCACCTCACCCGCAAAGATTGCCACGTGCTGCTCCGAATCCAGGTGAAAATTGCTCCAACCCGACTTGGACCGGTCGCGCAGTCCCTTGCGCCCAGGGTGGGGGAAACACCCTTGCCAGACAAAGCAAAACAGAAAGCCAAACTTGGCTGAAATTGAAATGAATATTCCCCACATATACATATACATATATATATATACGTATGTATATAATACATATATATGTGTGATTCTATGTATATCTATATTTATACATATATATGTATATATATATGATTATATGATTCTATCTCATCCTGCTGGGCGATTGAAAACAATGCCTCTCCCAGGCCACCTTAAACTCAAAGGCGGCTCCCTTGGCTCCGAAGTTGGCCAAGGGTACATCGGCCAGTGCCAGCGGCAGCAACGCTGCCAAAGCCATCATGGTGGATAGGTCTGGGGAAGACCTGAAGTCTGACACCAATTTATGGAACCAAATGGATGATCAAATGGTCGAAGTCTAAAATTTGGAGATGAAGAATGTCATTCGGCCTGCCATAGATTTCAACAAAGTTCCATAGCCGTTGCTAAGTCCACTGTTTGATTGATTTTTCTCGTGGATAGTGGATATGTGTGTTTCTTTGGACAGTCTTCCAGCCAGGTGGCAGCGTTTGAACTGCAATCCATGACCAAGTCTTCTCAAAAAATCTACGACACTAGGCCCTTAGGCCAGCAGTTCTGAGAGTCACCCTAGAGATTTATCAGAACAATCACTTGGGTTCTGTGCAGGTTCGGTTGAGGTGAAAAAAAAAAGAAGCTCTATTGAGAATTCTGATGTAGCCATCTGGTTGGCGGTTCGAATCCATCTCCTAAAAAAATGCTTCAACTGCAACGTATCCTTCTCGAAGTAGGGATGGGAAAGGCAAGAAAGAGTTGAAGCCCCGTTGAAGCCACTCATCAACACGGATGACTTCGGGTGCAACAAATCCGGACACTTCACTAAAGCCACCATAAGCCACACCTAACTTCTGGAGAAGCTGCTATAGATCCTAAACAACATGGGATCTTTGCAAGAAACCAGTTTGCCATCTGGGTTTGTCTCACAATAGGGTACCCCAAGAAATTCAGACAGTGGTTTATCATCCTTTTCCCTATTCTCAAAGTATTATTTTAGGGCATTGCCGTTCCACACTCCACACTCTACACTTCGCACTTTACACTTGACACTCCACACTTTGCACTTTACACCTTACACACTACATTCCCCACTCAACACTCCGCTGTCTTCACACTCCACACTCTGCACTCCACTCCATTCCACACTCCCCTCCATTCCACACTCCGCAGTCTACACTGGCACGGTAACAGGGGAAGAATGTACAAGACTATGAAATAACTTGTTTCACAAAAGTGTTTTACGTGACTGCATCTCTATGTGTTCAGACATCTGTACCATTAACATACGTGTGAGCATTCGGGTTCGAAACAAATGGACACAAAAATTGGGGCAAACATTCAGTGACGGTCAAATGCCCGTTTATTGCTCGTTAAATGCCCATGTTTTGCAGCACTTCAACCCTCTGGCATTGCGGGTTTCACGGTTAGACCCATTTGTTACCTGCAAAATCCACTTATTTGTGTGGTTCAGTCGCATCAATTCACCATTTATTGCTGCTAAACTTCTAAACAAGTCTTCTTGGTAACCCACGAATTGATGTTTTTATAATTTCAACTTCTTCATTTTTCCACCAACCCACCTTAATCCTCACCCCGGTAGAGGCCGATCCCCATCCCACAGAACCCGGGGGTCCCAGCTGTCGCGCGTGGGGGGGGCGAAGAGGAGCTGGCCCTCGGCACTTTCCCTGGAAGAAAATGCATCTCTGCGGGATCGAGCCGGTGTTTCTCTGTGGTTTTCACCATCAAAACTGGTGGCTCAACCAGCAATGGGGCACGACCAGGATGGGATGGGAGGTAAATCCCAGCAGAAATGCTAGTGTTGAACCGGCAGGAAATAGATGGATATAGTGGAAGGCAAACGAGGGAGTTGACCACAAAGAGACTAGTACAATGGGTGGACCACTATAAAATGGGCATATCCGGGATAGTATTGCGACTCAAATTAGGTAAGGGTCAAAATGTATAAGACACATTATGACATTGGGAACCACAAATGGCCTGATCATTTTCGGCATCATCCCAGTTGAAGTAATGCAAGCTTGACAAAGATAAGAATTCATAAGGAGGCCCAAATACATGGAGCAGTGATAGTATGGGTTTGTCTGAAAATTTGGTACACCAGAATCTTTTTGCCTACTGAATAGCCATTTTGGGGGACACCCCGTGATATCATAGCAATCTCTAAGCCGAACTGGTCCTTCCCCGCGCCTCTTCTCACCTGCGCGGTGCAACCACAAACTGGCTATATAGTTTTGGGACAGTAGACATGGACTACCAGCAAAGACTGACATGATATAGCAACCACCTCAGCATGTTAAATCACATTTACAGCTAAAGTCAGATACCACCCTTGGGTCCCCTCAAACCCCATCGAAGCTACAACCCATGCGCCTGATGTGACGCTGTCCTGGCGCAACCCACCACGTTGGGTTTGTCTGAGAATTTGGTACCCCGAAAAACCTGGTTCAGAACCTGTTATTTTGCCTATTAAAACATCTTGAAACATGAATTTCGAGGTATCCATTTTTGAGACATTTTTTTACGCAGACCAAAAATCAAGTTGGATGATCCTCATCGATTCAAGTCCCTGTAAATCTGCTGTTTACTGTTGTGAAATCTCCATAAATTCCTGAGGAAAATGGTTAGACCAATTTTGTTGCCAGTTCACTGCCCCAGTTTTTGCTGGTTGAATCTTTCTCTGGTCATGCCAAATTTGATCAGGCAATCTCAGCCCAAGCACCATGTTTGACGCTTCAATTCAAAGTTGATAAAATCTACATGTTTGCTGGTTAAAACCCACAGTTCATCCATCATTTGCTAGCTAGAACCCTCTCTTATTGCTGTTTAAATCCCCCGTAAACAAGTTTCTGTTGCTCAAACTCCAATTTGTTCATGCTTAACTCTCATTTGTGAATGGTAAAAGATTGTAAAATCCATGTGTTTGATGGTAAAATCTGAGTTTCTGTTGTCCACATTCCCATTTGTTGGTGCCACAAAAACGCGTTTTTTCATGGTTTGTTGGTTAAGAACCCAAGTCTGGATTCTCTAAATGGCCCCATTTGTTGATGGTCAAATTGCCACCGGTCAACTCCCCATGACGAAAAAAATAACTCATCCCCCAGCCATAGTATTTCCCAGTGAAACACTATTCCATAGGTCAAAATCCAGAGATCTTTCCCAGAGCCAATGGTTGGTTGGTTTTATCATATCCCAATGCGATCCAATTAGATTCCATGAATATGCCATTAAAAGTCATTAAATGTCCATTTATATCCCATTATTATCTCATTAATTCTCCAATAGTTATCCATCGATGATCCAAAAACTCAGCAAAGCCAGGTGATTTCTTACGTAGCTATGGTATAGAGAGCCCATTGACTTGGATGATTTATGGTGATTTACCTTTTAAAAAAAATGTTCGATGATCATAGTTCATCCGGTGATTTTCCATTACTATTCCACATAAATTATCCCATCAAACCATCCAATCACAAAAAAAAATCACCATATATTGGTTGGTTAAATCCGCAGTCTTGTTGCTACATCATCATTTTAAATCACCAACGAATTCCCATGAATCACCATAAAAAATCATCATATCATCATATTTGTGAGTTATATCCCCAACTAAACCATGGAAATCACCATGGAAACCACCATTTTTCATTCCCCGTTGCGTCCCCCGAACTGCGGCCGAGAAATGGGGCCTTCTTCTGGCGCAGCTTCTGCCGCTCCGCGCGCGCGGCGCGGCGTTCCGCCTTGGCGTCCAAGGCCTGGCCGATTGAAAAGGATGTTGAGGACCAAAGCTGGAGAAAGTCCGCCTTTTGTTGAGGATTTGTATAATATTATATATATATATATAATGATGGGATTATATAATGGGATTATAATGGAATAATCATCAATAATGGGATTATGAATCATAATAGTGGTTATAATACCAATAATATACTGGATTTGTATTATATTATATATATACTGGTTAATGATGGTTAATGATGGTTAATGTATGGTTATTATATGGTTATATAATGATGGTTTATATATATATATATACTGGCTGGTGGTTTCAACTCCTCTGAAAAATGATGGAGTGGGTAACAGTTGGGATGATGACATTCCATTCCCAATATGATGGGAAAGTCATAAAAGCCATGTTCCAGTCACCACCAACCGTTGTATATATTTAATTTAGCATGCCAGGGGCCTCGCCAGCTTAGCCTATCGCTTCCGATACTCACAGGTGGATCGTTAGAAAAAATGACTGGGGATGGGATCATCAGTTCGCAAAAAAAATCATGATGGAAACAACAGTTCATGACACAAAAACATCAGTATCCCAACAATATGTTTTACAAAAATTATGAATAAAGATGTTGATCATTCAAAATGCTCTAGATGGAAACTAAATTCAACAAAATTCATCCTGGCATTAAATACCCTGAGATATTGCATGAGGTGAGATTCTACGAGTCTCTTGGATTTCTTCTGCTCTCACCACTTGTCGAGATTCTCGTTGGTTCTGCCATATATCTCTCTTTTTTGTGGGGTCCCATTGGCCTTTCTGTATTGGCGATCCCACCATTTTGGCTGGTTTCAATTTGAAATTGAATCTCCAACTATCACATAGTTACTAGTGTTGCTTCAGTTCCCATTTTCAATTGGTCAACATGGCAGTTTTGTGCAGCACACTGCGGAACCTTGAAACCTCGAAACCGGTGTTCCAAGGATGAGTTGTCCGATTTTGGATGAAGTTTGTCTGAAAATGAGGTACCCCATTCCATCCACCAGTTACCCTCTGGTGAACTAACATAGCAATGGAAAATCACCATTCTTAATGGGAAAATCCACTATAAATAGCCATTTTCCATTGCTATGTTAGTTCACCAGAGGGTAATCATCATTTTGGACGGGATGCCCATGTGAAACACGTGGAAAAAACCCTCCATCCATCACAGCTGTGATGGATCCATCACAGAATCTCTCCCCACCTCCGTCGTAGGGTCCACATCGCACTGGCCGGACCGCTAGGACGCGGGGTGGAGGACAGGGGTTGGGACAGGGGCTGGGACAGGGGCTCGAGAGATTCCTCTTTTGAGCGACCCAGCACCATCTAAACATGCGTATGGGCTCGTGTGGGCAAGCTGGGCAAGGGCTACCCCTACATTCAGGATATGGCTATGAGTCAAAATTGGCTACCCGAATACTTAGATGGTGAATACTAAAACAAAGACAAAAAAAATGTGGGCCCCCAGATCTTAAATTTTGACTCATTCCCAATAACTGGTGTCTCGATACACCCAAAATTACAAGTTCAAGCTGGTGAAACCATGGGATTCGTGACTTTCCGAGCTGGTCAACCACCTCCAAACGCCAAGAACTCTTAAGTCAAACAGTGGATTTGTGAAAAAATGGTGGGTGCCTCCAAATTGGCTAATTGAGAACTTAGAATCAACGGAGGCATGAATATGGTTTCCATATACATTTGGTGCCCGATTTTGGGGATGTCAGTGTTAAAAAGTGCTGACAAAAAAAAAAAAAACTCAAAAAGTTGGCGCAGTTTCAAGGGGTCGTCACTCCCCAAATGACCAAAGGGTGTATTTCCATAGATTCTGGAATGTTTGTCACTGACCCTCTGGAAATTTGTTACATAGCTATTGAAGCCATGGCCATTTAGTTCGTTGATTTACCATGATTTACCTATTTTTCAATGGTGATGTTCCATAGCAAACTGTTAAATTACGGGGGGATACTATCTCCAATACTATTGGTTATTATTCCCATCATTGTCATCAGAGACCATAATAGTTATATCCCAGAAATATCCACAATGATCTATATGCAGAAACTATGTCCAGAATCATTGTGAGCTCTCTCCCGTAACTAGTGTATTAGTTATCCAAGAATCCAAAAAAGAAACACAAATCCTAAATTCCCACATTTAAAAAAAAAAACACCAAACACTCCAAAATCAATCTCCCAAAATCTAAGAATCTATATATGTTATGATCATATGGGATTCACTATAAGGTGTTCATATTGTCATAACATATCCATATTTCTTGATATTTCACTAATCACTAGCCGGTGATAATATGATGATATCTATACTGATTATAATATGTTATGATGTTATGATATGTTATTAATATCTATACTGATTATACTATTATGATATCTATATGATTATATGTTATTTATTATTCTATGACTGAACTCCCAACAAAACATCCAAACAAAAATCCTCCAAGAAACCACCACCCGCCTTCGCCTGGTAGGTGAAGTCACCACCCGCATGCGCGTGATCCAGCGCCTCGTGGGTTTTGAAAAGGTGGACATATACGGTTCATACATGGAAAAAAATATGGAAATAGTGGACATATACGGTTCATACATGGAAAAAAATATGGAAATAGTGGACATATACGGTTCATACATGGAAAAAAATATGGAAATAGTGGACATGTACGGTTCATACATGGAAAAATTTATGGAAATAGTGGACATATACGGTTCATACATGGAAAAATACATGGAAATAGTGGACATATACGGTTCATACATGGAAAAAAATATGGAAATATGGACATATACGGTTCATACATGGAAAAAAATATGGAAATAGTGGACATATACGGTTCATACATGGAAAAATATATGGAAATAGTGGACATATACGGTTCATACATGGAAAAAAATATGGAAATAGTGGACATATACGGTTCATACATGGAAAAAATTATGGAAATAGTGGACATATACGGTTCATACATGGAAAAAAATATGGAAATAGTGGACATATACGGTTCATACATGGAAAAAAATATGGAAATAGTGGACATATACGGTTCATACATGGAAAATTTTATGGAAATAGTGGACATATACGGCTCATACATGGAAAAATTTATGGAAATAGTGGACATATACGGTTCATACATGGAAAAATTTATGGAAATAGTGGACATATACGGTTCATACATGGAAAATTTTATGGAAATAGTGGACATATACGGTTCATACATGGAAAAATTTATGGAAATAGTGGACATATACGGTTCATACATGGAAAAAATATGGAAATAGTGGACATATACGGTTCATACATGGAAAAATTTATGGAAATAGTGGACATATACGGTTCATACATGGAAAAAAAATATGGAAATAGTGGACATATACGGTTCATACATGGAAAAAAATATGGAAATAGTGGACATGTACGGTTCATACATGGAAAAATATATGGAAATAGTGGACATATACGGTTCATACATGGAAAAATATATGGAAATAGTGGACATATACGGTTCATACATGGAAAAATATATGGAAATAGTGGACATATACGGTTCATACATGGAAAAAATATATGGAAATAGTGGGCATATACGGTTCATACATGGAAAAATATGGAAATAGTGGACATATACGGTTCATACATGGAAACATACATGGAAATAGTGGACATATACGGTTCATACATGGAAAATTTATGGAAATAGTGGACATATACGGTTCATACATGGAAAAATATATGGAAATAGTGGACATATACGGTTCATACATGGAAAATTTTATGGAAATAATGGACATATACGGTTCATACATGGAAAAATATGGAAATAGTGGACATATACGGTTCATACATGGAAAAAAATATGGAAATAGTGGACATATACGGTTCATACATGGAAAAAATTATGGAAATAGGACATATACGGTTCATACATGGAAAAAAAATATGGAAATAGTGGACATATACGGTTCATACATGGAAAAATATATGGAAATAGTGGACATATACGGTTCATACATGGAAAAATATATGGAAATAGTGGACATATACGGTTCATACATGGAAAATTTTATGAAAATAGTGGACATATACGGTTCATACATGGAAAAATATATGGAAATAGTGGACATATATGGTTCATACATGGAAAAATATATGGAAATAGTGGGCATATACGGTTCATACATGGAAAAATATATGGAAATAGTGGACATATACAGTTCATACATGGAAAAATATATGGAAATAGTGGACATATACGGTTCATACATGGAAAATGTATGGAAATAGTGGACATATACGGTTCATACATGGAAAAATATGGAAATAGTAGACATATACGGTTCATACATGGAAAAATATATGGAAATAGTGAACATATACGGTTCATACATGGAAAAAAATATGGAAATAGTGGACATATACGGTTCATACATGGAAAATTTATGGAAATAGTGGACATATACGGTTCATACATGGAAAAATATATGGAAATAGTGGACATATACGGTTCATACATGGAAAAATATATGGAAATAGTGGACATATACGGTTCATACATGGAAAAAATATGGAAATAGTGGACATATACGGTTCATACATGGAAAAATATGGAAATAGTGGACATATACGGTTCATACATGGAAAAATATATGGAAATAGTGGATATATACGGTTCATACATGGAAAAATATATGGAAATAGTGGACATATACGGTTCATACATGGAAAAATATATGGAAATAGTGGACATATACGGTTCATAAAAAATTTTATGGAAATAGTGGGACATATACGGTTACATACAGTGGACATATACGGTTCATACATGGAAAAAAAATATGGAAATAGTGGACATATACGGTTCATACATGGAAAAAAATATGGAAATAGTGGACATATACGGTTCATACATGGAAAAATATATAGAAATAGTGGACATATACGGTTCATACATGGAAAAATATATGGAAATAGTGGACATATACGGTTCATACATGGAAAATTTATGGAAATAGTGGACATATACGGTTCATACATGGAAAAATATATGGAAATAGTGGACATATACGGTTCATACATGGAAAAATATATGGAAATAGTGGACATATACGGTTCATACATGGAAAAATATATGGAAATAGTGGACATATACGGTTCATACATGGAAAAATATATGGAAATAGTGGACATATACGGTTCATACATGGAAAAAATATGGAAATAGTGGACATATACGGTTCATACATGGAAAAAAATATGGAAATAGTGGACATATACGGTTCATACATGGAAAAAATTATGGAAATAGGACATATACGGTTCATACATGGAAAAAAAATATGGAAATAGTGGACATATACGGTTCATACATGGAAAAATATATGGAAATAGTGGACATATACGGTTCATACATGGAAAAATATATGGAAATAGTGGACATATACGGTTCATACATGGAAAATTTTATGAAAATAGTGGACATATACGGTTCATACATGGAAAAATATATGGAAATAGTGGACATATATGGTTCATACATGGAAAAATATATGGAAATAGTGGGCATATACGGTTCATACATGGAAAAATATATGGAAATAGTGGACATATACAGTTCATACATGGAAAAATATATGGAAATAGTGGACATATACGGTTCATACATGGAAAATGTATGGAAATAGTGGACATATACGGTTCATACATGGAAAAATATGGAAATAGTAGACATATACGGTTCATACATGGAAAAATATATGGAAATAGTGAACATATACGGTTCATACATGGAAAAAAATATGGAAATAGTGGACATATACGGTTCATACATGGAAAATTTATGGAAATAGTGGACATATACGGTTCATACATGGAAAAATATATGGAAATAGTGGACATATACGGTTCATACATGGAAAAATATATGGAAATAGTGGACATATACGGTTCATACTTGGAAAAATATATGGAAATTGTGGACATATATACGGTTCATACATGGAAAAATATACATGGAAAGACATGCAAATAAAGGAAATATATGGAAATATCTTGTATCAATCCTGGAAAACAGATGGAAATCTATGGAAATATAACCAAGCAAAATGCGGATTTCGGCACGGTCACTCTGGGAATACAAAGGGGGTGTCTGAAGATGGGGGTGCCCTATTTTTACACAAACTCAAATGGGGAGTTGAACATGCAACATCGAGGATGTACTTTGCGTAGATGATGTTATGTGCGATGATACGAGAATGAAATGGGATTATATATATATATGAGATGAGATATGATTCTTATACAATGGAGCATTGAACAATTTTTTGGGCTTTGTGCCTGGTTGAACCTTGGGATAATAAATGATGTCATGATGTATGGGAATCTTCAGACCGAGGATTTGCTGCTTGGCATGGCGACGAGCTGGTGTTGATCAACTCTCCCATATGCTGGTGGTCAAATCCCCAACTGTCGCTGCTCACCCTCACTTTGCGTTGATTCATCGGATTTTTACTGGCTAAATTCCTGAAAAACTTCCGGTTAGTTAACATAGTCGTGGACAATTACATTTTTTTCGCTATTCTTTCAATGGTCATGTTCAGTGGCGCCGTCAGATTATCAGAGGGTACCCTTTTCTGATGAGCAGTGTCCAAAATAGATAGTTAATTATGTGTTCTGTCCAAAATAGATAGTTTAATAGAATGAGAAGATGCCTTTTTCTGATGAGTCAATGGTTTATTCTATTGAATATTGTTCCATTGGTTGGTTCAAAGGGATTCCATCAATGGATGATTCTGGATAATGATGATTAATCTCCAATATATGTTGGGTAGTAAAGCCCCGGAACTAATCATGAACCAACAGGGCTTAATTTCACAGTTGCAACCATTTTCTGGTTATAACATGTGGGTTTTCCCATGTATTTCCCATGGAAATCCCATGGTGAATCCCGTGGAAAGTTCATGGTTTCTCCACGGTCAAATCCTCGGATTCAACAGATGCGCCTCCCGAAAGGCGGCATCCTGTCCCAGAGCCTTCACTCGGGAGGTCAAGTAGACCCAAGTGGTGTAGCCTGCACGGTGCTGGTGAAAAAAAATGTGGAAAAGTATGTGAAATACAGTGATTCCATATGTAGTCTATATATATAATTTAAGATATATATATATATATACGCCAGGGACGCTAAGTTCTCCGAAACATCATGTTTGTGCTTGGTTGGAAATGTATGAAATTGTGTTTTCGCTGTCGTAATTTGCACATTTTTGAACATCGTCTATCTTCTGCACAACGTCATGTTTGACGGACAATGCTTTTCCGTCCGTTTAAGTTAAAGTACAAAATGCATTCTTCATTGATGCCTCTGTCTATCCTTGAATTGTTCATTTTCCCTGTTTTTTTGTGTTTTTTGTTTTAACATGTTCATGTTTATATGAAAAAATGACCAGATTCATTGGGAAACGCCAGTCAAAATGAGAGAGGGCTGTTTTGTATTGGTACTTGCAGTATTTTGACGTTGTGAACCGAGCCGCGTGTTGATAATCAGGTTTTTTTGTTGTTGAGTTTCATGTAAAATTTCTTTGGGTATGATGTTCTGTCTGCATTTTTTTTTCATTCCCACAGTGCATTTGGAAAAACCTGACTGACAGGTGTGTAGGAAGTTTCCGCATACATTCTGAAGCGGGCCAAAGCTAACAACACCGAGTTGAGTCCTGGGTTGTTGTTATATAAGATAATGTACAGCCAAGACATTTCTATGCATCATCAGTGACAGCAGAAGGTTATTAACCCCCCCACCCCACCCCATATACCATGTTTGCCGACGTGACAGTCAACGTGCAGATGCGTACCATCACACCTGTACGCAAGTGTACATGAACGTTGTTATTACCCCCCACCCCACTCCACCCCACCCTTTCCCATTGGAGAAGTCCTAGCCCCTCAGGTATAATACTATATATATATTGCAAAAAAAAACATGTTGATGGATACCCTCTGGTAATTTAACACAGCTATTAGAAATGGTGATGTTCCATAGCTATGTTAGTTATCAGAGGGTATTGGATATGAATCGGATATGAATGGAATGAACTAGAAGAACAATGGAACCCCTCTGAAAAATATTAGTCAGTTGGGATTATTATTCCCAATATATAGAAAATAAAAAATGTTCCAAACCACCAACCAGTATATGTATGTACATATATATGCATATATATATAATATAGGGGTATAACCCCAAATTGGAGATGGTTTCTTGTTGGGTTTGCCACATAAAAATACATGAACAATGGCAATCAATGAATACTTTGTCGCCTCAGTTGCTCTGACCAGTTCGCCGTTGGAGTCACGACATCTCTGAGTCCCCAACCATGTTTGTGCGCTGAGGTGCTAAGCTTGTGATAGACCTGGGTAGAAGGGCCAGATGGGTAGACACATCTGTAGAGGACTCAAGCGATTCGGAACAAGTATGCGTTCAATATGATGAGTAATGTGAAGCAAGGATGAACAAATCCAGGGCAAAGAATTGCGGAGGTATGTTTGCAATCCACAGACCCAACCGGCCAAAAATCTCCGGACCCAGCCCTGATGCATTCCAACTTTTTGGCGACACCATAGCGTCTTCTGTACACACCACGGGTGAAGGCCACGGGTGAGCAGAAAGGCCCCATGCAGCTGTACTCATGGTGTCTGCTAGATGCATCAACGGCATAAACCCGAGGAATGTCGCAGAAATGATCCATTTGGACGTGCTGTCAATGGTATGATGACTTGAGAAGCAAATTTATTTGGCTTCATCCTGAGGTGTGGCAAGTGAGCAGCCCATCAAGTAAGCATTTCCACGCTGGAGATCATCGCCCGAGCCATAGAAATCTGACGCTTCACACAGAATTTCGAAGCCACAGCGTCTGTACCTCAAGAAGATTTGCTTTATTTGGTGTGCTGAAGGGACCAAACTGGAAGATGAGTCATTTTCCAATCATTATGGGCTCTACCTACATGGGTTTGTCAGAAAATAGGATACTCCAAAATCCATTGGTTTGGTCATGTTCCGGGTATACCCCCATGTTCAGACACATACACATCGCAAGTGTTTGCGAATCAGCAGTTCGCAAAGGGCCGCCTAAAAGTGACCACTTTGCCTAAACTAACATCGCTGCCCCAAGCACTACTTGGGACATGCCAACGCCTCTAAGCAAACCGACATTTCACTACCCAGTCTCTGCCGAGAAAAGAAAACTCGAATTCCGTATATCACACTGCCAGCTTTTCCAGGATTGCAAATGTCCCACCAAATTCTTGGGGTGGACCCCGAATAAGAGTGTGTCCAAAAATTGGGCATACAAAACTATCCTTAAATCATAGGGAAAAAATGCCGATCAACCAGTGGATTTTGAGTGCCCTATTTTCAGCCAATCTTCAAATTCAACCATCCAAAACAAAGAAATTCAGTCGATTTCCAGGACCGATTTGTATCACCCAAGTCACAGTCGTATGGCTCCCACGTTCTGCGTGTGCACATGGAGTTTCACCGTCTTCGCACCATCTTGGAACGCCTTCTGCAGCGCGTGCTGAAGCAGTTGCCGCGCCACGCCGCGGCAACGGAACACGGGGAGCACTGCGAGGCTCATGACGTAGCCCTGGGAGTCACCTCGGCAGTGTGTAGATGGGATTTTTGAGCAACAAAAAATTGCGATCTAAGCAACAAACATAGGGATACTATGGGAATATTATGGAAATTTTAAGTTATAACATGTTATAACGAACAAATAATGGTGATGTTTCTGATGATGTGTCGTGTGATGATGATTCGGATGAATCTGATGAATCTCATGGATGGCACAACTTTTCTACATCAATCCTCCTGCACCAGCCAGTCGCCCACCTCGAAGTTCCAGCGTTAGATATCCAGCAGATCGTCCCGCAGGGGTTTCGGCCACATAGGTGATATAGCTCTGCTCCTGCAAGATCGCTTCAAAGGTGTCCTGGCCACTGCCCATGGCGAGCAGTATATATTTTGGTGATCATTTCATCTATTTACCCAAATGATCCTATCTGTTTAATGTATTTTAATGTTATATAACAAGTTCGCCCCACACCCATGTAGATGACGTGGCCAGAAAACCAAGGAACAGGAAATGCCAAAAAAACGCTACAAGCACTGCCTTCCTTTTGCAAGGGAAACCATCCTGTGGGTCAAGCAAGCCCAGAGTTTCTATTTCGCCTCCACCCACAATTGAACCATGCCAAACTCCACGCCCCTCTCAACCGACCCATCACTACAGTTCAACCGTTGCTTGATGATTTAGGGTAAAACAATGCTTGGAATCCTGTTCGTAGTCCAGCAGGACTCGACCGTCTTCCCCAAAGATTCCAAAAAAAACCATCCACCCAAACACCCAAATATCACCCAGTGCCAGGCTGGGAATTCAACCACTTTTTTGGCCCAGCATCTCTGGAAATGGGCTCCATAAAGCAGATATTTTCCACCGAGATCACTGGATCCAAATCCTCTGCCGCCATCCGTCGTATCCGACACTCCGTCGGAGCCGGCGCTGGAGGCGCCGGAACCGGCTCCAGCGCCGGAACCGGCTCCAGCGCCGGAACCGGCTCCTGCAACTTCCAACTGCTGAACGGAAGCATTCCATCATGATGCCCTATCGCACCTACACCATCCTACACCCAACTCACAACAAAAATCCCAGTTGCTTTTCAGACCAAACTCATTCCGTCAATTGAACGAACATTGGTTACCACCAAATGTATGTATTTGCTATCAGCGGTGAAAACAATCTAATTTCAGTTGAACTGTAGAGTCTTCCCTTCATCCAGTTTGGCTCTACAAAGTCTGGGCAGTGTTCATCATCATCATCATCATCAGCATTCCAATAGTCATGGCGCTTCTTAGATGCCCTGCCCAAAAAAAAATGGTGGGTTGTAAATCTGCATTTGTAGCAAGACCCAAGCACCCATGGGTTTGTCTGACAATAGATTGGCTGTAAATCATCCATGCTCAGAGCCACAGCAAAAAAAGATCACTTGGCTTTCTATCTCCATCATATTCCCACTCTATCCCCATGGGAACGTTGGTGAACTCCCCCTATCTTCACTTCGACGCCAAACCGCCGCCATCTGCGTGGCTCGCGCTGCCGCCCCCGTGCCGCCCGGGAGCCACAACGCTGGACGGCCGCAGCCACAGCAGCTCTTCCGCTCGCCACAGAGGCAGAGGACCATTGGACCCTCCTGCTGGGTAAAGATTGCTCCAATGGGGTGGTTTAAGGAAACCTTTGAAACAGGAAACGCCATATTTCATGGAAAAAAAGACGCTAGTTTCCGGCTAAGATTTTCCACTTAAACCAGTACTGGGAAACATAGCTTGGAATCTTGTCATGAATATGGGGTTACCACTATCATTGGCTGTACTTAACCTCGGTGCATGAAGATGATGAAGAAAAACTTGAAGAGGTTTCCGGTTTACAAGAACCACAAGGGAAAACAAAACCACTGAGTCACTATGTTGGGATGTGAATCAAACGAATGGGACACTTGGGACCCCATTGCCCAAAGTCTGAGAGTAGTATTGCATTGCTATGGATATAAGCCAGTCGGTTCGCAGCTAGTGCTCGGCAGCCGGTCATATCATGTCGTATCTAGTATCTAGTAGCTATTTTTTGGCACCATCTGAAAATAAGGTACTGCAAAAGTCAAGTGGTTAATCATTGTTTCCCGATTCAAATGGTATGTTCAGGGTATCAAGCAAGGCCACATACATCAACCTAGCTTTGCAACCTAACAGCAGCAAGGGTTCCAAGTTTCTGACATCCTGTTCCGGTTTTGAGTGGCTTCCATGATCAGTCCCAGACACAGAGATTGAAACCATGCACTGCTGCAAGGAACATTTTTTGGGGATGATTCACCAGATTTTAGTACTTCACCAAACTGAAGATGAATGTGAATCCATGGAAAAAAAAAAACATAGATGTCACCATTTTTGGGGATGACCTCAGAATTCTTGAAATTTGGGGGATGATTCCCATAAATCCATGAGAAAAGTCCCATAAATCACCATATTTTGGGATGAACTCACCATATTTGGGGGATGATTTCCCCTAAATCTCTCCAGATTTCACCTGACTCGGCTCGAGCTCAGACGTCGACGCGGAACCGCGGAAGGCGCGGCAAAGCTCGGCCACGGTGCTGCTGGGGGTGGCTTTGGGCAGCAGAAGCAACTCGTGGCTCTCCTGGAAACCCATAAAGCATAGGAAAACCCATAAAAAAATGCTGACACCACCAAAAATCTAGGAGAACCAATGGGATTTTTGACGCACAGAACTTGGTTAACGCTTGGTTAACTATAACCGGGATACAGTATTCATGGCTTTTTTTTAACCAACAAACATGACGTTCGGGGGCCTCACCCCAATGATGATCTGATAAGGCGACTTCATGGATTTTTTGGGAGCTGATAAAGGGAATTCAAGCCACAATTCATGGGGATTGAGGGAGGGGATTTTTTTCACCAGCTTGAGATATATGAAACAATGGGGACATAAATGGGAATGTAAATATGGATATATGGTCAGTGCCGGAATTATAGAACGGAAGTTGAAGAGGACGAAGGTACGGTTATTTACCGTACCCTGTTGTTCCATAATTCTGTTTTCCTCGGAAGGTGTGAAAAAAAAAATAATATCTGATCTTCCTCTTAATTTTTTGCGTCGTTCTATAATTCTTGTCGGAGCGCTGCTGTTCTATAATTCTGTTTTCCCCCATTTTTCTCACATTTCCCATTTTCGTTCTATAATTAATGTTTCCCGGGCCCCGTTCTATAATTAATTTTTCCGTCGAACGGAAAAATTAATTATAGAACGGAAAAATTAATTATAGAATTATAGAACCTCTTCCGGGGTCCCAGAAATCCTACAAAATCACCATGAAATCTAAGAAAATCACCGTGAAATCCCATAAATCACCATGAAATCCCATAAAACCACTATGAATTCCTATAAAATCACCATGAAATCTGAGAAAATCACCTGGTAAATGTGGGAAAAATGGGGGAAAACAGAATTATAGAACGGAAGTTGAGGAGTACGAAGGTACGGTTATTTACCGTACCCTGTTGTTCTATAATTCTGTTTTCCTCGGAAGGTATGAGAAAAAATGTATCTGAATTTACTCCTAACCTTTTTCGTCGTTCTATAATTCTTGTCGGAGCGCTGTTGTTCTATAATTCTGTTGTCCCCCATTTTTCTCACATTTCCCATTTTCGTTCTATAATTAATGTTTCCCGGGCCCCGTTCTATAATTAATTTTTCCGTCGAACGGAAAAATTAATTATAGAACGAAAAAATTAATTATAGAATTATAGAACCTCTTCCGGGGTCCCAGAAATCCTACAAAATCACCATGAAATAAGAAAATCACCGTGAAATCCCATAAAACCACCATGAAATCCCATAAAACCACTATGAATTCCTATAAAATCACCATGAAATCTGAGAAAATCACCTGGTAAATGTGGGAAAAATGGGGGAAAACAGAATTATAGAACGGAAGTTGAGGAGTACGAAGGTACGGTTATTTACCGTACCCTGTTGTTCTATAATTCTGTTTTCCTCGGAAGGTATGAAAAAAATGGTATCTGAATTTACTCCTAACCTTTTTCGTCGTTCTATCCTCATTAAATCCTCATTAAATATGCATTTTATCCTCATTTCCTCATCAAATCCCCATTAAATCCTCATTTTATCCGCGTTTTATTATCATTTCCTCATCATTTCCTCATTTTATCCTCATTTTATGTCAGTGCCAGGAATTATAGAACGGAGCCAGGAGGACAAAGGTACGGTATTTTACCGTACCTTTGTCCTCTTCCCCGTTCTATAATTAAATTTTCCGACTCCGCTCCAGGTTCGAACCCGGAAGAGGACAAAGGTACGGTATTTTACCGTACTTTTGTCCTCTTCGCTCCGTTCTATAATTCTGGCACTGACTGTAAGTGGATACAGTAGAAAATTCTGATTGTGGAGATGTGTTTCTTAATGATATAATCATGGCTTAATCCAGATTAGTAGGAATTTAATGAATCAGCTTGATGGTGAAACTATTTCATAGAAAATCTGATATACTCATAGTTTGATTCAAATTAATCCTAATTCATGGCTGAACAGTTGAATATCAAGAACTGTGATATTTGTTTGTAGGGATGTTGAGACCAAAACACTGAAATCTCCAGCGGAATCTAAATGTTGAATCATGTCCTGATGCCAGGAAGGTTTTGCCACCAGAAAAACTGCAAGGGCAGTGCGCAGGAGATGCACCGTGCTAGAATGAATCATGGTAATTTGAAAAGTCAACCAAAGACATCTAAACACCCCAGCCATCCCCAACCCCTAACTGCCCCTAACTTACGGATTTTTCGAAAAAGAGAAAAACAAGCATCAAAGATCATCAAAGTGGAAACAGCACCATGCTTCGCCAGGCCTGGTGCACTTCCGCCTCTGCTGTGCATGGTTTCATCACCGGGCAGCCCTTTCGCAGACACGCTTCGCAGAGGTCGAAGTCAGGACACACGAGGCATTTGAAGCGGGTGCCCTGCACCAAGCTACCACAACGGTCGCCTCAGGCAACGCTGCCGTTGAACGAAAGTGGGGATACCCTTTGGTTATTTGTTACAGTTTGCCATGGAAAGATCCACCCATTTTTCATAGGTAAACCATCTATAAATGGGCCATTTTCTATGGCTATGTTAAATAACCAGAGGGTAATTTTTGGGGGGACAGTCCATGCAAAAATACTGGACTGATTGAGTGCTTGTCAATCACTTCCTGTAAGTTACTCAGGTCTTATGATCCTCTAAGTACCCAGCCAAGCCACAAATGCAGGGGTGCAAGGCTTGCCGTTCCTGCGGCTTGAGGACTTGCACGTGGGACTTTGGGGAACCTCCTGGTGAAACACCAAAGGAGCTGGTAAATGGATGTCAATCCCCAAATTCATTGCTTAAATAAGTATATTATATATAAATTATATATATATACGTTATATTCCCATAGAAGCACCACGACTTGTTGGCTCGTCATATCCCCGGTGCCCCTGATCCAGGTCAGGCTGGGCCTGTCTCGCCAGCCCCGCTTCAGCTAAGCGTTGCCGTCTGTGCTCATGCACTGTCGCGATCATCGACATCATGGTGACTTCCCTCCAAAGCAATGCCAAAAACAACCGCAAGTCACTGCTAGTCAATGGCTGTTGGCAGGCCACCGACGTCAGGTGTAATCAGTTTGAAACGCCGGGAACAGATGCCTATTTTTTGGAGCCCGCAGCTGCAACATGAAGCGGCCTCGAACTCTAGCCAACCATTGATACAGCGACATCCAACGGAAATGGGATGATATGGCATCTGGCTGGTCATTAGATGAAAAAGGAAAAACTGTTTTTGTTATGTAGGTGTTGTCATCAACATAGGGCATTTATTCGGCTATATACAACCAAAAGATACCGAATAGGATACCCCCTAAGAAATTGTTATAACTATAGATATATAAATGATATATATATATATAGATAGATGAGATGAGATGAGATGAGATGAGATGATATGAGATTATTAGATTAGATTAGATTAGATAGATAGGTAGATAGATAGATAGATTGGTAGATTGGTAGATTGGTATATAGGCAGATAGGTCGATAGGTCGATAGGTAGAGAGATAGAGAGATAGAGAGAGATTCGGGGGTTGGTCATCCATGGCACACTGAAGCATCAGCCATCGGGGTTTCCATTTTTGGCAACCAGCCGTTTTAAGGTGATGTTTGGAGTCTTACCTCTGGAGTTCGCTGTTTGCCAATGCATTCTATATAAGCAACATGCGAAGACAGGTAGTTGTCCATCATTTCATCATCCCATTTTTGTTCCATGCTGGTAGTTGACAGCTAGTCTTGTTTGGTTTTACCCAGGGATCCCTCCGTTATGGTACTGGGTTTGGATTGCAAAATGTAACAATCCTTTACCTGAACCAAAAAAATGTAATAGTTCCCAATGACCTGCCGACTGTGACAGGAACCCCCAACCCAGACAGACATGTGTTTTCCAGGATTTCTACCAGAGATGATGTTCTTTCTGTCCAACTTTTACATCTAGAAATACAAACCAATCCTGGGGCCTCTTTAGTATACCAGTTACATCTTGATTGCGAAAAACGACCAGATGTCACTCCACTAGCCAGCTCTCTGTCATTCCATCTGCTGGCCGGGATTCCCATAATGGCTTGTAATCATCCCGAATCACTTTTTTATAGCTGGTATAACCTCCCATATAGATATATAGTATACAACTATAATAGCCCACTATAATCACTATAATACAGTATTAACATGTATTACCCTCTGGTAATTTAACATAGCCATGGAAAGATCCCCATTTTTAATGGGTAATTCCACTATTTCTATGGCCATTTTCAATAGCTATTTTGACATAACCAGAGGGTAACCCCCGAAGCAACCACCAACCAGGGCCCCCCAGGGCTCCAGGCACGGCGAAACACGAACTGCGCCTGCAGCGATTGCTGAGGGTGAAATGGGTGAAGCCGCTTGCCTGCTGGTGATGTTGCGGAAAATGTGGGATTTTTCATGGTGAGGAAAACCAGGGATGAAATATGGAGGATTTAATGGGATTTACTGGGATTCAATGGAGGGTTTAATGGGATTTACCAGGGATTCAATGGAGGATTTTTGGGGGGATTTACTGGGATTTTTCATGGTGATTGAATGGGAATGGGATTAAAACAACAATAAACCATCACCCAAATCACCATAAATAGGTGGTTTTTGGACCATTCCCACATGGGCGGTTTATTATTGTTTTACCCACATTGCATGGTTTCCATATCTTTGACTCCATTGTCTACGAGGAAACAAGATGGCCCAGTTTGTGTTTCCAACGACTTGATGGCTTTGGGGTCTCCACCTCTCACAATCAGTGCCACTTGGTTCTTCTCCAACCCCAATTTGTTTCATCATGATGTCCTTTTGGTAAAATACCAAAGACTCAGTGAAAAAATCCATGAAAGTCTGGGTTCCCACAGAAAATCTTCACTTTGCCATCCAAAGCAGCAAAATCACTAACCCACTGGCTCACCCGTCAACTCAGTGGTTGTTTTTCCAGCGCCTCAGTGATGCACGAGACGCAGTTGCTGCGTCCAATCAAATAGAACTGCAGGCCCAGGAACCAGGACCTGGGAACGTCGGGAACGTGGTGCAACGTGGTGCAACGTCGGCACGTGCCCTTTGAATCGCAAGCCTTTCAAGAACATCTTGGGGGACGTTTTATCGTGGGATATGTATCGGATATGTAGATCCAATGGGAAACAAGATGGGAATAGTTGATATCAAGTGACCATTACGTACACTTCATTCACCCAGTTTTGCAACGCTTCCAAGGTTCCCGGTGTCCAGCGGTGTGGTTCCATTCCGTTTTTTTGGGGGGTTGTCCATGAAAACTCGGGATGTGATGAATAATCAGCATCACTTAACTTGGTGAGTTTAGATAAACCTCAAATTTGGGATGGTATCAAACTTGGGATCAAGTCAATGAGGTGCTTAGACTTTAACATGTTTTTTGGTGATTTTGAGGATATGACACCACAAGTTCTGAATGGGATAATTTTGAGCCATATCCACAATTTGACACCAACATAAGTGTAAGACCAACAAGGTAACTTCGAACAATATAGAAGTAGAAGTGTGCATCTGAAAGAAAAAAAGAAACTTCTTCCAAAAAGGTTCTATACACCTGTAGTTGGCTAAGTTACTTCCGTAAATCATAGATATACAGTATCCACCACAAAGCAATTTCTTGTTCTTCCGATTCAATCCGTAGAAAATCAGGGCTCAGACTCCATTTGAGATGGCACCGCCATATCCAGCCTCAACCAACGAGTCGGCGAGTGTTTTTTTTCGTTGGGGGCCATCGGGAACCTGAAAGGAACGCTGGCCTTTTTTCAAAACATGGTAGCGGGGAAAGGAACGATCCATCTTTCCCACCCGAGTTCATCAATGTTTCCCCTCAGATTGGCTGAACTGTGCTTCCGCGCGTGCGATCTGAGAAAAGGATGCTAAAACACGTCCATGGCAAGTCCTGCAAACTGTATAGGACCAAGATCTGGGTCCATGTTGCAAGCAACAATCTTGAAAGAAGGACCCATTTTTTCATCCCACAATTTCAATGTGCTTATCAAAGATTCAACCAATTTTGGTACTGTTTACATATAATAACAATAATAATAACAATAATAATAATAACAATAATAATAATAATCATCATCATCATCATACATATATATATATGTACATATCATAGTGTAGTAACCTCCCGATAGAAAAGTAATTAGTATCACTGTTCCTCCAAGTTTTCGCAGCGCTGGAAGGTGGTGGTCATGGGACCATAGATCAGTCCCACACCTCACGGCCGGGATAGAACTGACTGATTTCATGGGATGTAGTGAGATTTAACCAAGAAAAATGGTGATTTAATGGGATTTTAATGGGATGTAGTGAGATTTGATGCTGATTAGTAGGGGGTTAATGGACCTTCGCCTCTGGTCATCTGTTACACAGCTATTGAAAATTGCCATAGGAAGTTCGTTGATTTACTTATTAACAAAGGTGATTTTCTATAGCAAACTGTTGGTTTACCATAGGGTAATCAAAGATGTCCATGGGAAACCACACTTCTCAAGTCATCGATCTATCCATCTAGCCATGTATCCATCTATATGAGCGACAGTGAATATTTAGTTCATGGCCCCAAGTCATGAATGTTTGGAGTTTGGAGGGTGTATTATCTTTTTGCAGGTTCAGGGAAAATATACGAAACCATGTTCTTATACCTCTTATTTATTCCACGATACTTTCAAGGTCTTCCACCATAAGGTTTCTGTACGGGATGAGATAGCGACCCGACACTCTAAAACTCAGCGAATTCTTGATGTAAATAGATGCAAATAGATGTAAATAGATGTAAATTGATGTAAATTGAAGTAAATAGATGTAATAGTTGCAAATAGATGCAAATAGATGTAAATAGATCTAAATAGATGTAAATAGATGTAAATAGATGTAAATTGATGTAAATTGATGTAAATTGATGTAAATTGATGTAAATTGATGTAAATAGATGCAAATAGATGCAAATAGATGTAAATAGATGTAAATAGATGTAAATAGATGTAAATAGATGTAAATAGATGCAAATAGATGTAAATAGATGTAAATAGATGTAAATAGATGTAAATAGATGTAAATAGATGTAAACAGATGTAAATAGATGTAAATAGATGTAAATAGATGTAAATAGATGTAAATAGATGTAAATAGATGTATATAAATAGATGTAAATAGATGTAAATAGTACATAGATGTAAATAGATGTAAATAGATGTAAACAGATGTAAACAGATGTAAATAGATGTAAATTGATGTAAATAGATGTAAACAGATGTAAATAGATGTAAATAGATGTAAATAGATGTAAATAGATGTAAATAGATGTAAATAGATGTAAGTTGGTGTAAATAGATGTAAACAGATGTAAACAGATGTAAACAGATGTAAATAGATGTAAATAGATGTAAATAGTACATAGATGTATATTGATGTAAATAGATGTAAACAGATGTAAACAGATGTAAAAGATGTAAATAGATGTAAACAAATGTAAACAGATGTAAATAGATGTAAATAGATGTAAATAGATGTAAATAGATGTAAATAGATGTAAATAGATGTAAATAGATGTAAATAGATGTAAATAGATGTAAATAGATGTAAATAGATGTAAATAGATGTAAACAGATGTAAATAGATGTAAATAGATGTAAATAGATGTAAATAGATGTAATTAGATGTAAATAGATGTAAATAGATGTAAATAGATGTAAATAGATGTAAATAGATGTATATAAATAGATGTAAATAGATGTAAATAGATGTAAATAGATGTAAATAGGTGTGAATAGATGTAAATAGATGTAAATAGATGTAAATAGACCAATAGATGTAAATAGATGTAAACAGATGTAAATAGATGTAAATAGATGTAAATAGATGTAAATAGATGTGAATAGATGTAAATAGATGTGAATAGATGTAAATAGATGTAAATAGATGTAAATAGATGTAAATAGACAAATAGATGTGAATAGATGTAAATAGATGTAAATTGATGTAAATTGAAGTAAATAGATGTAAATAGATGTAAATAGATGTAAATAGATGTAAATAGATCTAAATAGATGTAAATAGATGTAAATAGATGTAAATTGATGTAAATAGATGTAAATAGACAAATAGATGTGAATAGATGTAAATAGATGTAAATAGATGTAAATAGATGTAAATAGATGTAAATAGACAAATACATGTAAATAGATGTAAATAGATGTAAATAGATGTAAATAGATGTAAATAGATGTAAATAGACAAATAGATGTGAATAGATGTAAATAGATGAAAATAGATGTAAATAGATGTAAATAGATGTGAATAGATGTAAATAGATGTAAATAGATGTAAATAGACAAATAGATGTGAATAGATGTAAATAGATGTAAATAGATGTAAATAGACAAATACATGTAAATAGATGTAAATAGATGTAAATAGATGTAAATAGATGTAAATAGATGTAAATATGTAATAGATGTAAATAGATGTAAATAGATGTAAATAGATGTAAATAGACAAATAGATGTGAATAGATGTGAATAGATGTAAATAGATGTAAATAGATGTAAATAGATGTAAATAGATGTAAATAGATGTAAATAGATGTAAATAGATGTAAATAGTACATAGATGTAAATAGATGTAAATAGATGTAAATAGATGTAAATAGATGTAAATAGATGTAAATAGATGTAAATAGATGTAAATAGATGTATATAAATAGATGTAAATAGATGTAAATAGATGTAAATAGATGTAAATAGGTGTGAATAGATGTAAATAGATGTAAATAGATGTAAATAGATGTAAATAGATGTAAATAGATGTAAATAGATGTAAATAGACAAATAGATGTGAATAGATGTAAATAGATGTAAATAGATGTAAATAGATGTAAATAGATGTAAATAGATGTAAATAGACAAATACATGTAAATAGATGTAAATAGATGTAAATAGATGTAAATAGATGTAAGTAGATGTAAATAGATGTAAATAGATGTAAATAGATGCATACAATGGCAATCAATCGGAGATATTCCATGGTTTTCCACTGCCATGATGCCATGACCGCAAATCTCATCCGGGCGTCTGACTGTCGCGAAGGCTCATCATCTGGAACAAGCGCTGGTCACGGGTCAAGCGCGCCAAAAGTTGGATGATTGGATGTTACAAATGGTCCAAGAAAATCGGATGGGTATGAGCGAATATTCGATGATATGTTATTATTGGATGTGCGGATGATGACAAAAAACATAATAAGGCTAGGAAAACCAGCAATTCTATGGTTTTGACCGTCAACTATTGCTTCGCCATTTCGACAACTTACATAGATACCCACTACCTTCATCTGTTTGTTGCCAAATAGGTGGTGAATTTGTGGCTATACATCCCCTTGCCATCTCAATCGTTAAAACGGTGATTTCGCTTACCAGTATGTGGTTTGGAACAAAAAAGCAGCAGCCTCCTCTATTCAAACATGGCTGTCGTGGAAATCCCTGACCCAAATGGGCATCCATTATACATTCTAGCCAGCCATTTTTGATTACCAGACGGTACCCAGATCCTTTCTCATTGGTTTAGGGTTCCCCTCCTGTTCTTGCGCCATACCGTGCAAACGTAAAAAGTGATATCCCGGTGATAGAACAGGCTGCAAGCCAGAGAGGATCACCAATTAGATATGCCAATTTGCAACTCGTGTGATCCAGTTATAGGAAAAAAGTGTTCATGAGGGGGAAAAAAAAGATAAATAGCCAGATTGTCACTATAACAAATAACCACCAGCTATCTAATGCTATCTATATAAACAAATTTGGAACCCCCATTCATCAGAGAGCACCAGCCCCGTTACCTGAGGCTCCTCCCCTTCGCTCTTCGCTTTGGACCAACAGAGCTCCACCTTCAAGAGGATGGATGTTCCCCAAACAGCGGGGGACAGCGACGGAAAAAAATATGGGTTGCCTAAATAATGGTTTCTCAACATGTTGGAACTAGGATTCCATGAATTTATCAGGGTTTTCCGGGTTTTCTTACTTTGTTGGACAAACGGGAAACTGTTTTACCCTTAAAGAGCTGGTACGACCGCAATGTTAGCGTGTTGAACCTTCAAAAAATATGATTCAAACAAATATCACATCGAGCCATAACTTGATCAAATTTGAAAATTCAATGTGAAAATCCGCCGAAATTGAATTTGGCAAATACATTCTATCTCTAAAATGATTATAGATAATCAACTATAACAACCAGTACAACATGAATATATATATATATATATTATTATTATTATACATACTATATATATATATTATTATTATACATACTATATATATGTATTATTATTAGTAGTAGTATTATTATTATTGTTTTATTATTATTATTAATTATACATACTATATATCTATATATATGTATACATGTATCATATATTTATATATATATATATGAATATATATATATATATGAATATATATATATATATGAATATATATATATATGAATATATATATATATATGAATATATATATATATGAATATATATGCAGGGATATATCAATGACGATAATGATCGATTATTGTTATTTACTATTGTCATCATTATGACAAGTTTATTTACAGCTCTATATCTTCTCCAGGATGATTGTAATCTTGTTGTGCCTCGTATGTAAAGCCATACAAAATGTATCAAAATGTACTATGTGTAGGTGATTCTATCGAACATGGTGTTTCCTACTGGCACATCGTAAACAATTTGCTGTAGAAAATCACCATTTATCATCTATCAAAGTGAATCAGTAGTTTTTGTTTCATCTATCAATGAGCCATCTATACCATAGCTACATCGGCACAGCCAAATTTCAAGCACCTTCTGCAGGTCAACCCAAAAGTGACGCCGCATTCGTTTGGAGTTGCTGTAATTGTACCTGCTTCAAAAGCGGGGAGCAAACTCCGAAAACTCTAAAGCATTGGATCTTCGAGAGGTCCCCAGGTCCCCAATTGTTGAACACACCTGGGGAAGAATCGGAAAACCACCTTGGCAGGCTATGGATGCAAAATGATGGGGAAATTACAAGATATGTAGTGTGATTCTTAGGGTGTCCGCTTGGTACTGTCAAAGAGCCATTTCAGGCCTCATCGAAAATGGATGGCGTGACACTTGAGTCCTTCATCACATGAAGCACACCTTCACATCACATACCACGCTTCCACCCGGTAGAACCACCCGCATTTCAAAAGTGCAACAACGCATCAACATTCATCACTTTGGCATTCCTGACACCAAACGAATGCCAATGTGTTTCTCAGGGTGTCCCCTTGGTATTGTCAACGAGCCATTTCAGGCCTCATCGAAAATGGATGGCATGACACTTGAGTCCTTCATCACATGAAGCACACCTTCACATCACATACCACGCTTCCACCCGGTAGAACCACCCGCATTTCAAAAGTGCAACAACGCATCAACATTCCTCACTTTGGCATTCCTGACACCAAACGAATGCCAATGTGTTTCTCAGGGTGTCCACTTGGTATTGTCAACGAGCCATTTCAGGCCTCATCGAAAATGGATGGCATGACACTTGAGTCCTTCATCACATGAAACACCTTCACATCGCATACCACGCTTCCACCCGGTAGAACGGCCCGCATTTCAAAAGTGCAACAACGCATCAACATTCATCACTTTGGCATTCCTGACGTCAAACGAATGCCAATGTGCTTCTCAGGGTGTCCCCTTGGTATTGTCAACGAGCCATTTCAGGCCTCATCGAAAATGGATGGCGTGACACTTGAGTCCTTCATCACATGAAGCACACCTTCACATCACATACCACGCTTCCACCCGGTAGAACCACCCGCATTTCAAAAGTGCAACAACGCATCAACATTCATCACTTTGGCATTCCTGACACCAAACGAATGCCAATGTGTTTCTCAGGGTGTCCCCTTGGTATTGTCAACGAGCCATTTCAGGCCTCATCGAAAATGGATGGCATGACACTTGAGTCCTTCATCACATGAAGCACACCTTCACATCACATACCACGCTTCCACCCGGTAGAACGGCCCTCATGAACATGCTAATCAAAACTGCAACACCGCATCAACGTTCATCACATGCGCATTCCTGACACCAAACGAATGCCAATGTGCTTCTCAGGGTGTCCCCTTGGTATTGTCAACGAGCCATTTCAGGCCTCATCGAAAATGGATGGCGTGACACTTGAGTCCTTCATCACATGAAGCACACCTTCACATCACATACCACGCTTCCACCCAGTAGAAACACCCGCTTTTCAAAAGTGCAACAACGCATCAACATTCATCGCTTTGGCATTCCTGACACCAAACGAATGCCAATGTGCTTCTCAGGGTGTCCCCTTGGTATTGTCAACGAGCCATTTCAGGCCTCATCGAAAATGGATGGCGTGACACTTGAGTCCTTCATCACATTAAGCACACCTTCACATCACATACCACGCTTCCACCCGGTAGAACCACCCGCTTTTCAAAAGTGCAACAACGCATCAACATTCCTCACTTTGGCATTCCTGACGTCAAACGAATACCAATGTGCTTCTCAGGGTGTCCCCTTGGTATTGTCAACGAGCCATTTCAGGCCTCATCGAAAATGGATGGCGTGACACTTGAGTCCTTCATCACATTAAGCACACCTTCACATCGCATACCACGCTTCCACCCGGTAGAACGGCCCTCATGAACATGCTAATCAAAACTGCAACACGGCATCAACGTTCATCACATGCGCATTCCTGACACCAAACGAATGCCAATGTGCTTCTCAGGGTGTCCCCTTGGTATTGTCAACGAGCCATTTCAGGCCTCATCGAAAATGGATGGCGTGACACTTGAGTCCTTCATCACATGAAGCACACCTTCACATCACATACCATGCCTGCACCCCGGTACAACAACCCTCATGAACATACTTTTCAAGAGTGCAACAACGCATCAACATTCATCACATGCGCATTCCTGACACCAAACGAATGCCAATGTGCTTCTCAGGGTGTCCCCTTGGTATTGTCATCGAGCCATTTCAGACCTCATCGAAAATGGATGGCGTGACACTTGAGTCCTTCATCACATGAAGCACACCTTCACATCACATACCACGCTTCCACCCAGTAGAACCACCCGCTTTTCAAAAGTGCAACAACGCATCAACATTCATCACTTTGGCATTCCTGACACCAAACGAATGCCAATGTGCTTCTCAGGGTGTCCCCTTGGTATTGTCAACGAGCCATTTCAGGCCTCATCGAAAATGGATGGCGTGACACTTGAGTCCTTCATCACATGAAGCACACCTTCACATCACATACCACGCTTCCACCCAGTAGAACCACCCGCTTTTCAAAAGTGCAACAACGCATCAACATTCATCACTTTCGCATTCCTGACACCAAACGAATCCCAATGTGCTTCTCAGGGTGTCCCCTTGGTATTGTCATCGAGCCATTTCAGGCCTCATCGAAAATGGATGGCGTGACACTTGAGTCCTTCATCACATGAAGCGCACCTTCACATCACATACCATACTTGCACCCGATACGACGACCCTTATGAACATGCTGTTCAAAAGTGCAACAACGCATCAACATTCATCACATGCGCATTCCTGACACCAAACGAATGCCAATGTGCTTCTCAGGGTGTCCCCTTGGTATTGTCAACGAGCCATTTCAGGCCTCATCGAAAATGGATGGCGTGACACTTGAGTCCTTCATCACATGAAACACCTTCACATCACATACCACGCTTCCACCCGGTAGAACGGCCCGCATTTCAAAAGTGCAACAACGCATCAACATTCATCACATGCGCATTCCTGACAGCAAACGAATGCCAATGTGCTTCTCAGGGTGTCCCCTTGGTATTGTCAACGAGCCATTTCAGGCCTCATCGAAAATGGATGGCGTGACACTTGAGTCCTTCATCACATGAAGCACACCTTCACATCACATACGATGCTTCTACCCGGCAGAACCACCCTCATTGAACATGTTTGTAAGAAGTGCAACAACGCATCAACATTCATCAGATGCTCATTCCTGACACCAAACGAATGCCAATGTGCTTCTCAGGGTGTCCCCTTAGTATTGTCAACGAGCCATTTCAGACCTCATCGAAAATGGATGGCGTGACACTTGAGTCCTTCATCACATGAAGCACACCTTCACATCACATACCATGCTTCTACCCGGTAGAACCACCCTCAGTGAACATGTTTGTCAGAAGTGCAACAACGCATCAACATTCATCACATGCGCATTCCTGACACGAAACAGATGCCAGTGTGCTTCTCAGGGTGTCCCCTTGGTATTGTCAACGAGCCATTTCAGACCTCATCGAAAATGGATGGCAGTGAAGAAGCACACCTTCCTTCACATTATATGCCATGCTCTTTCACCCGGTAGAGCGAACATGCTTTTCGGAAGTATGACCACGTATGAAAATTTATCACATGTACATTCCTTATGCTAAATGAAAATACCATAAAATACCAACCAGTGTTATTTTCCACCAGTGGTGTTTGGGATTTCCACACGACTAATTCTATGTCAAAAAAGGAGCCACTGCCTGGATATCTGTAGGCTGCGCACTTGTAGGCTGTACCGCCCTCGGTCAGAATCTGAATGTATTGGTCGAACCTGCACTGCGCACATTAATAAACCGACCTTTGGAGACAAGACACCAAGACTTTGGAATCGAAACCTTAAGGTATTCCAAAAGTATTCTCCAAGTAGGGATGCAAGTAGGAATGCACAACCAGCACTTGCTTTATATCATCGGCTTTGTTTTTCTCATGCTTTTGGTTCCCCGTCTACTACTGCTCAGAACTTTGGAAGACCAAATTTTGGCATCGTTTCCATCAAACATTTGATTGCCGTGACATAGGTGCTGTTCAAGCCCCGCTTAGGTACAGGACAACAGACACCACCAAATGGTGTGGGTTCCAAACTCTGTTGCACCCCGCGTCTGCTGGCTATCTACAGCTTTGGGGCTGGCATCATCCCACATATTGCTGTGGGTCATACCCTGGTCAGTATCCTGGCCATCCTAAAATAGTTGGTAGGGATGTTGTCCCCAAAATTTTGGTGCTAGAGACATCCAAAAAATATCGTGGACAGTTTTGTAAGCCAAAAACTCTGACGATGTGCGCCTGGTTTTGGTCTCCGCGATGTGCTGGGAGAGGTTCATCACCCACCTCCAGTTCGACCATCCCTTGGGGTGAATTCTTGAGAAGGGGCCCATTTATAAATGATAATTAATTAATAATGATGATAAATCCCTGTGAAATTACCATTTATTACCATTTATTTCCATTAATTACCATTTATTACCATTAATTACCATTTATTACCATTAATTACCATTTATTACCCTCAACATTATCTCTGGTGATTAACTGTCGGGTTACCCTCTGGTAATTAATTAATAATGATAATAAATCACCAGTTAATCACCAGTTTATCACCAGTTAATCACCAGTTAATCACCAGTTAATGTTGAAAAATGGTGTCCAGTTAATCACCAGAGGGTAACCCAAGTGTTTCACCATGGCCAAGACACTCGCGGGTCTTTTCCTCTGACTTCGCCTGGAAGACGTGGCTGGCCTGGCGAGCAATGCCATGCCCTGACATGCCCAGGTCACCTCCATAGCCCAACGTGCCTTGCTAGGGGTCTGGGTGCGCACTTCAAAGCCTTAGTTCTTCGGAGTGGTCGCGTCGTCGCAGCAATACTGGTTTTGGGGGATGTTGGTGGCATTCCCGTTCTTCAGAATTGTCTCTTCATCCTTGGTCAATGATTTCCAGGTTTATTGGATTTTTGTCAAATTTCTGGGAGGCAGGCAGACTCACGCTAAATCATCATCCTTTCGTGCATGAACCCCAATGTATGTCAATCAAATTCTGCACATGTTGCTGTTTCAACAGTTTTCTTTTTTTTTACTCACCTTTGTGCTAGTTAATCCCTTCCCCCATTCATATTGAACACCCTCCAGAAACCATGCTTTAGTAGGGGATTTACACCTTTTTGGAAACCATGCTTTAGTAGGGGATTTACACCCTTTTGGAGAATGGGGGTGTTGAATATGAAAAGTGGATGTGACTAACATCCCATGAAATATCAATCTCTCATTATATCCCAGTAGATAATGCCTCATTTTTCCATTAATAGTTATAAATATATCTAATATATCCTTAACTAAAGGACCACCAGTGAACCAACAGCGAATTAAGTTTACTAATCACTATTAGTTACTAATCAGTTTACTAATCACTATTATTCACTAATCAGTTTACTAATCACTATTATTAAATTAGTGAACCAACAGTTTTCTAATGGGGATACTAACCATTCATCATCAATCCCCATTATCCTATTGGTAAAAGCAGCAAAACCTCCATAGCCGCGCAACGTTGCCCCGTCAATGCTTCAACTTCAGCATAGTCCAAGCGAAGGATCACGTCGGGCAGTCCCTGTGGGACACGGGGGTCATGGGGGTCGCGGCAACCAAAAATCATCCAAAAATTGAAGTTAGCCCGGGAAAAATGACTGTTTGACAGTTTGACATGATTTAACAGCAAAATGCTGATGTCACCAGCAAAAACTGCTGAAAAACTGAAGGTTTTAGTAGCAAGAATGGAGGGGGTACCAAGCAAACATGGTGATTGAAGCATGGAACATTGCGAATTCCAATAGAATGGGGCAAAGTCACTGGATACTCATCATTTTGCCCCAGAAAAGTTGTCGTATCTCAGGTCCCTTCCCTTGTCATTCGTTGCAAATCATCCGATTTTTGGATCTCAACTATGGGTCATATCCCCAAGTGACGGCCCTTTCATGGGATTTTTTTGGGGAATCATGATGAACTCGTGGATTTCGGGGTCCCCCCAATTTTCAGACAAAACCATGTCGCTGAGTCGCAATTTTCCGTTTCTTTGTCTCAGCGCTGAAGACACCTCGATTGGACGTGGGACCCAGCTTTTCATGGGTCCCAAAAAAATGGTAGAACATGCTAGAACCATCTGCAAAATGGAAGATGTTCCATATGTTCCATTGCCATGTTTGATTGAAGGTAAATCCAACAATTTTTCCGGTCCCAATCATCCACCGGAAATGGATGGTATGATGGTATTGGAGGTTGGTGGCCTTGGGTGAATGTGATAAACCATGATAAACCCATACCCAAATCGCTCAAATTCACGTTCAGAAAACGGGAGATCCTTAGCGACAAAAAAAAAGGGATCTCATCGGCAGCATCTTCGGCATCCTTGGAGCCCCAAACGAAGGGTAGATCCTCTGAGCACCAGGAACTGTTGCTCTCCATTCTGGCAGTGGAACAAATGAATGGCAGATGAGTACTGGGCACTGGGTCAAAATGACCAACGTAAAATGGATGGTTTCAGGGTTTCAGGTATCGAAAAAATGACAAAGCACCTCTTGTCCCGTACCCAGCCATAAACTCGCGCGAGCCAGCCTTACTCAACAGCCAGCCCCTCTGGGATGCTTTGGCCATGCGAATTCATTGGGTGCCACACAGGCACCAAACAGAGCAGGTTGTCCAAAAGAAACAAAGCTGCAGATCAGGCTGGCTTTGGAAGCTTGCGTAAAGAAAAGGCACTTTTGAAAATGCTAATTCCATTTACTTAGTGAGCCAAACCTGCGCAGGTTTGACAAATGTGACGTCTCCAAAAGAAAAAAAAACACCGCGAAGAATGCACAGTGGAACCTTGAACCGGCATGCTGCGTGGATGTTACACCTGATCAATCCTTGGATTTCAAACCCGGCTCAAGATCTTCACAAGGATCGGCACTTGACATACATCAACATTTTCCCAAAAGTTTCATTGCCAACACAAAGCCACACTAGCCTGCTACGACTCCTTTAACGGATACTCGGAAGCCATGGGATGAATCGCTCCCAGCTGGAGAAAGCCACATATTCTGAAGGCATTTCATGTTCCCCGGGCATCAACAGATATCATGCTAATCACGCCGAGACAAAGATGGAAAACATATCAAGCAGTGGTGAAACATATTTTTGGGGAACCAATTTGAGGCTATGTATGTATTTCGTTGTTATCCATTTTAGTTGATTTTTCACGCTGCTAATCGGCCATTTCTATTGCTGAACCCTATGCGGAGGGTCATCCATAGTAACTCCTCCAACTCAGAGATTACTCACCTAATCGTAGTAACCATGGTCGCCAGAGTCATAGGCGGATGGCAAGCACGACGACCATGGAAACCAATTGTAATTACACATTATAAACAGAGTTCCTAACCAACGAAGCAGTAGCAGTATTCCATATCCACTGTCATTCCAACCCTGGCCGGTCATGATAGTCCACAATCTAAAAACGGTAGTGGTCACCCCCAGCACTTTCATCATCCACCAACAGGACCCTCATTTTTCGGGCGTCATTGCTCCAGTAGGGCAACCTGCTTTGCGGTCAGGTTGAAGTGACCGCAGGTTGTTGGGGAAAAGCAACCAGTTCTTGGGGGATATCATAGGGATATCCTGGGAGATATCATCAATTCAAAATATTTCAAAATCATCTATGGCTTTGATGATAAACCACTGGAGCCTTTGGTATACCACCCACCCGGTCGACTGGGACGCTGTCCAAGTTGCTCCACAGAATGACAGGACCCGGTCGCACAAGCCCACATGGGCTGAAAAAGATGGATCCCTGCCATAAATGAACTTAGATATGGAATCCATGGGTTTCCCCAGGGAAAATGACAAATGGTAGGTCTTCCATTGCTCTCTGGTAATCGAACATGAAGTTCGGTTTTGAGGAATTCGAATGCAGAGCACAAACCGACGGTGATCACGAAACCCACAGGTAGATTGCTCACCTAGAGTCTCCTTCAGTATTGGCCCATCCACTTTTTGGGGTTTTGCTCAATTTTGATGCCTATCGCGGAGTTTTGTCTTGCCCAATTGTCATTTGTCACGATCCAAATTTCTTATTTGATCCATATCTCAGTACTAACCCCCAACCTAATGATGTGTTGGCCGAAGCACCTTAAGTAGCTCCCGGCTTTGTTCGCCAAGAGCAGTGCAATATCAAATTCGCATGCAAAAGCGATACCTCACCCGGGGCCGGGCCCATCCGGGCCCCATGTCCCAACTTCTGGGGGTGGTAATCAGCTCCATCGCTAACCATGACAGGGGTCACAATAAGATCATGACTGGGGTTTAAGGGGTACTTTTTGGTGAGGCCCAATTATGAGTTGGGCCTCATAAAGTCAACCCAACTAGTTGCGTCCCTCATAACCCCAAATGTTCAGCAAATTAGGTTCTTCAACTTACCGTAGCTATCGAAAACGGTTGGCGTTGCTGTTTCACCAAGTTGCTGTTCTCCCATCTGGGCAAACTGGAGCAGTCAGTCCTTAGGGTTTCGGTTTCACCATTGACTACCCTCTGGTAGGTTGATATAAATATGGAACATCACCATGTTAAATAAAGAACAATAAAAATCGAACTAAATGTGCCATTTTCCATATATACTTATATTCAATTACTGGAGAGTATATCTCATGACTTGGGTTGGCAGTTTGGATTGCTGATAACCCTTTGTGACAGTGATTCCATCTCATCTTTTGAGCTCAGAAATGACGCGATAGATGCTGATTCTACTTCCAAGTTTGGTGCGGACGCCCATTTCGGTCTGTCAAAACGCCCAATTAACGTGGGGTCTGTCCCTAATTTATTGCAATTTTCAGATTGAAAATGCTGAAAGCATGGGTATAATGGGATTTTGGGAGCTGGGGCATGTGAAAAATCCCTTCGCCCTTTCGCGAAATTTCTGCCGCGCTTCTGTACTAGAACCTGATTCTGTATCTACCTGGCGGTGAACAGGGTGACCGGCCTGACTAAGATGTGGAAAAGCCGCCAGAAATGCAGATAAATGTCCTAAGGAAACCATTGGTTTTCCACATCTATGCTAGTTTAGCCCAGAGAAATATGTCCTACCAGTGATACGAATTTCAAATATATATATATTATATTATATATTATATATATATTGATGATATACTTCCTCATGATATCAGTACTAGTTTTATCATAATCATTGGTATCACTAGTGGTAATCATCATGATACTATTTCCTATGGTGATATTGTGAGATGCAACAATCTTGGTGTGTCATTTTTTGGAGTAGCATTTTAGTAACAGGTGGGTGGCGGAGTAGCCTCCAACCCATCAACGGGGGATCACAATTCTCACTGGTGAATGGATTATATAATTATGATACTTTACTGGTGATGTTCTCTCAATAAATCCATTGTGCATCCTTGGTGATTAGTGACCCTGGTTACGTTGGATTACTGAAATGATATCAATTCTCTTACTGGGTCTACGTTCAATTCCAAACAGGTGTTTCTCTTCATTTTTGGCATTCCTTAAGGATTTACGAATTCCACGCTTGGTCAAGTTTACCAAGCAAGAATTACTTTGAACTATTTACCAAACCCGTCATGTAGGTACTTTTTCTTCACTGATAATTTCCATCAATAAAATCCATTTTACAGACATCAAGGGTGAATCAACCACAAACCAGCAATACTAGGGCTACAATCGGACCCAAGCAAGGAAAGATGTGAAGAACTGGTTCAATGCCCCTAGTTAACAATCCCTGTGACCTGTGGTGTTACCTGGTTTAGATCAAGACAGGGTGACCAAAAACCCAGCATTACTCCTGGATCAACAATAGATCGCACTTAATCACAAGGAACGTGGGTCATTACGGACAACCAATGAACAAGTTTATATAGACACCGACAAAGTCCTGGAAATATTTGACATCGTCCCAGTCGGGAAGTGGTTACTAGCCATACAAGCCACTTAAAACTCGGGAACTCATCCAGGCATCTGGCACTATCATCACCTTACACAACGGAAGGTGGATGAACTACGAACTCATCATTGTCATGCACGTATCCACAGTGATATAGCATATATTCTAAGAAGGGAACATGTTCAAGAAAGCTGAGGGTGTTAAGATATGTTTTGCCTGATATCTGGATAATGTACAATCATTCACACTCACCTGAGCACTGAAAAATGGATTTGTCTGAAAAATGGGAGGCACCTCCCAAGTTCCATGGGTGTAAAAAATCCCTTTCCCATTTTTTCTTTGATGGCCACAATTTGGGGGTATCCCTGTTTTTTGGACAGACAAAAACATATCAGATTGTTGATAGACCCCCAATCATGGGAGAGTTATAGCAATCACAATCCCAAAAGGTGCCAAAATACCTTGGAGACCTGGAATATATATGAAAATATGAGGTGTATAATGCTTTCATCGAACTATGATCCAGGTTGCACATGTTTCAATGATTTACCTTTTTGGGGCTCAGTCACCATGGGAAAACCCATGGCTTGCCGATGTCTTTCCTCGAACGAACCGGCCCCATTCACCAGCTACCTCTGGCAGGTGCGCGAGACCGGCTCCAAGTCCGCAAGCAATGACGCAGCAGCAGGTGACACAGGGCATGAAGAGCTTCAGGAGCACAATGCCTTGGTGAAACATAGGGATTCAAAATGCTGATTCAATGGGAAATGATGGGATTTAATTCTGATGTAGTCGAGAGATACAATTATATATATAGCATAATTTAATATAATATAGTATCATATCATATCATATGATATGATATGATATAGCACAATATATACGGACAGGACAGGGGTGCTGCCCGGCGAAGTGGATTTTAACTGTTCAGGACCAGTGTTTTTTGCATGTTGGTATGTTGGTGAAATGGCGACTTGGCTGACGAGACTTGTTTCCAAAAAACAAAACCCTAAAACTTAAATCTGACATGAAATCCAAATCTGATTAAAACCATGCTCAGGAAACCCTAAAGAACCGCACCCCCGGCCTGCGGATATAATTGGAATTCATGGGAGAATTAATGGTGACATAATGGGGATATAATGGGTGACCACTGGAAAAAACACAGCAAAATTATAGGGAGACAAACGTCAACCAAGAAAAATGAAGGGATTGTGGTTGAATTTTGTGTCAGTTCCGCATCTTTTTTGGGGGGAAGGGTTAATGCGCCAAAAATCTGGGATACTTCACCAGCGAAAATTGGAATATGACCAGAAGAAAGGATTGAGGGATCAACCAGATTGAACCACCCAAAGTGCGAAGATATTACGCAACCAATATATAAATACAAGTGGAGGTGTCCTAAAATGGTGGTACCAAATCATCCAAGTCATTTGACGATGACTTAGTCTTGAAACCTATGGTGACTTGGGGTTCCCCCGGTCTTGAAGTCGAAAAGATCGGATTTCACGCACAAATTTTGGAAATGTCTACGATTGAGGAGGGAACCAACGGATTTAAGCGCCAAGAATGCAGTTAAAATCAACAAATACGAAGTTTTTCTGTACCAAAAAACGACGTAACTGCTTGTTGAAGCCCAAAAAAAAAGGCACGAAGGCAAGAATCCGGAGACCACATGATTCTTGCGCAAATCAACGATTTGAAGATGGGGATTCCACCGGCACCAAGAACGTTTGGGACGTTTGGGAAGGAGAAGTTTCCACGAGTCGCTTCGCCGCAGCCAAGTTGCCGCCAGCCCAATGTCCTCAGTGACGGCTGCCAGTTTTACAGAGCCCAATGTCCTCAATCATTCGGATGGCCCTGGAAAATCCCAATCATTCTTCTTATTTGGTCAATGATTTACCATTTAGATCCATAAAAACCCTATGGTTATGACTAACATAGCCATGGTATAGATGGCCCATGGAAATAGATGGTTTACCGTTCTTAAAAATGGTGATATTCCATGGCTATGTTAGTCATAACCAGAGGGTAGTAACAAAAAATGAGGGATTTTCCCATTGGATCCATGATTTACAGATCCACTTGGAGGATCAAGTCCTCGATTCCTCCCGCGAGGATAGCCCAAGCTTCGCAGGCTGTCGCTGCAAATCTGGTTGTCGCTGGAACTGTTCAAGTACCACACAATACCCAAGACTCAGTTTGGCGATTCAGGCTTTTAGAAAACCAGGTCAGTGGGATTTTGGCATTTGGGAAAATCTCTGAAAGTGCTAGCAAGTACTGTGAATTCACTGTGATTTCTTAGTGGTTTGTGTGATATGGTGATGTATGTGATGTATGAATGGACTAAAATGTGTAATTATATATATTGTAATGATCTGAATCCAGGATGGATTCAAGACTTGTGTATCATAAACATTTTGCTGGCTGCATTGTTTTCAGAGCAATGGATCATGTTTTTATCGTGCCTGGCAAAGAGCTAGTTGGTGGCTGGAAATGGTTTGCAAATCTTCTTGTCCTCCCTTCTCGCCTTTGTTTTTGTTTCTTCCTTTGTGTGAATTCGTGGAAAACAATGCCAGAAAGAACTGAGATTGAAGTTTCCCTTGTTGATACTTGTAATAATTCGTCCTGTAGTAGCTATGAATAAACCAGGATTCCGCAACTTGCCAGCTGCCATGTTCATTTGAAGCACCTACCCTCCCTGCACGGAGGAAAGCTGTAAAAGTGCGAGATGTTTCAAGCGCTGTTGTCAAGCTGCAACTGTTGGCACCTTTTGCTGTTGCACGCACTCAATCTGTATGTTGTCAACAGGAGTTGTCTCAAGGCCTTGAACCACAGGCCAGTGTTGATATGACATGTTGAATATGTACATTGACACGACCCCTCAGATGTTGGCTATGTTAGCCAGCAGATGTTGACTATATATTCTACATGGGTCTGTGTTCACTAAATGTTGCAACTAATGTTGAAACTATAAACATGTTGAAACTGAAACAGCATTTTGTTGACTACTCATGCATGAGTGTTGGTTCATCCTCTGTACAAATGCCGATGGCTTGGTTATCTTTATACACCTGTGGCAGCCGCAGGTGTTGGACGAAAAAAACACTTGCTTAATTATGCGCACTTCAAGCTCTCATGTGTTGAGCGTCATGTTGCGCAGGGCTCTGTTGTTTTGGTGCTTCTGCACCGGGATGTTGTCTGAGCTCCACCCCTGTTGTGATCATTGTTGATCACTCTGCGTTGTTCTCTTCCATGTTGTCTTCCATGCCGGTTGGCTCACGATACTTGTTCACTTCATCGAAGTGCTGTTGGAGGTGCTCATCTGCTGATTGCTCCATCAGCCATAATGCCAGTGTTGAAGATCCCCTCAACCTCTCTGGTGTCTTCACACCAAAGTATTGGAATTGTTGTCCTCCTTCAAGGAGAGGATGCCACTTGTTGAGGATCATCCTGATTTTGGTCCTTGCTGCCTCTGGCAAGAATTCCAGTTGTTGAGTGCCCACAACTGTTGAGTGACCAGTTCTGTTGACACAAAAATGGCTGCACAAAAAAAGGTTGAATACACGACTGTTGTCAACAAACGGTGTTGACATCATCATGCGTCACAAGACATGTTGACCTTCACGTTGGGAAGAATCTTGTTGAAATAAGTCATCCTGCAAAAAAGGAAATCATGTTGACTAAGTCAATGATGTTGATGCTGATAGTCGAAATAAATCACCATGTTGGGATTCCAAAAAAGATCTTGTTGAAATACTGGATGAAACGAAACAAGGGAGATGTTCATCAACGTTTGTTGATGACATCGGTCATGGCTCAAACGCGTCCGTGTGTGTATCTGCGTGTGCATTGTTTGCTCACGCAGTTGTGCACACGTGCGCATAGTGCATTAGCTGCCCGGGTGTTGTGAAACTGCTGTTGCTGTATCCACTCTCTAGTGGATGTGGTGCTGGGTGTTGAGCCCAGCTGCCTGCAGGTGTCTGTGGAGTGTTTTTGTTGAGATGTATTTGGTGAAAATGTCTGCTGGGTTTTCGTTTGTGTGAATCTTATTGAGTCTCACGATGTCATGTGAGATCAGTTGTTGTATGAAGAGATGTTTCAGGTCAATGTGTTTTGCTTTTCTTGACGATCCTATCCTTGTTGCCATGCTCTTGCCGCTTGACGAGTCTGTGTGGATCTTGATGTTGACCTTCTGGACGTTGAAGAGCTCCATGAGGAGGTTGCGCAAATGAAGTGCTTCTGTTGCTCCTGTGTTGATGGCGTATAGCTCTGCTTCAGCACTTGACAGTGCTATTGTTGCCTGTGTTCGGCTGCCGTAGTTGATTGTAGCTCCAAATAGTGTGATGAGAAAACCTGTTGTTGATCTCCTCGTTTCTGGACAACCTGCCCAGTCGCTGTCCACATAGATGTTGAGGTCTGGAATCTGTGTTGGAGGTATCTTTGCTGTTGGTCTAATGACCTGCCTGTAGTGTTGTGTTCCTTTGAGATACCTAAGAAGGTGCTTCAGCTTTTGTTGGTCTGCCGTCGTTGGTGCTTGTAATGCTCTGGCCAGCTCCTTTGTTGCGTAGCTGATATCGGGACGAGTGTATGTCATCCATTGTAGTTTACCTACTGTTCTCCTGTAGGCTGCATGTTCGTCTGTTGAAAGAGGCTGTTCATGATCAGCTGTTGGTGCCTTCAAGGCTGATGTTCCTGGTGCCGGTGCTGGGTTGCAGTTCAGCATGTTGTTCTCCTCCAAGATGTTGGCCACGTAGTCCTGCGATAGTGAAATATCGTAGCTATCACCATTGTTGGTGATGCTGCGTCCAAGGAAGGAGACTGTCTTCCCTGGTTCAAGTGTACCTGTTGGTCGAAGAAGAAGGTGTTGCTGAACTGCTGTGAAGAGCTTGTCCACCACTTGTTGTTCTCCTAGGAAGAGAAGGTCATCGACGTAGACGAGGATATAGCAATCTCTTGTTGGTGTCATAAAGATGTTGGGCTCTGCTGTGCTGCGTTGAAGTCCAAGTTGTTGTAGGACTTCTGCAAGGTGGTTTTGCCAAGCTTTTGGACTGCTTCTCAGTCCATAGATTGCTTTGAGGAGTTTCCAGATGATGTTGTCCTCTGGTCTGTAAAACTCCTTTGGTGGATACATATACAAGTCTGCTGTAGCTGCTGCGGCATGTAGGAAAGCTGTTGAGATGTCTCCTGTTCTGGCGATCCAACCTCTGTTGAGGCAGATAGTGAGAAGTGTTCTCAGGACGCAAAAGATAGGTGTTGAGGCATAGATGTCATCAAGGTCGTTGACTGCCTCTGTGTAGCCCTTTGCTACAATTCTTGCACGAACGTTGTTGCCTTTGTCTCTGAGAACCCATCTTGACTGTATGATGTTCTTCTTTTGTTCTGGGGTCAGAGTGTTGATGTCGACTTCCACGTATACCTGTTGTTTCTTCATGGAATCGATCTCATTCTTCATTCCTTCAATGGTCTTCTGTTTGTCGAATCCTTCTGTGTTGTTGACCATTGGTTCCAAAAGGATCTTCTCTGTTTGTTCTTCTGTGATGTCGTCACAAGTGTATGCTGTGATTTCGACCCCTTTCTTTGTTTGAATTGTCACCTTTGTGATTCTTAGTTTGCTTGTTGGTGGCTCTTGTGCTGTGTCAGGCCTTGCTGGACCTGTTGCTGCTTCTGCTGTTCGATGTTGCTTTGGCAGACTGCCTTCTGCCACTTCGTCTGAAACTGTTCGTTTTGGTGATGGAAGTGATGGTCTGGTGTGACAGCTTGTTGGTGCTGTTGCCATTGGTGAGTCTGCAATGGCACATCGTGTTGATGTACCTGCCGGTGCTGCTGGTTGCTGTGCTTGAAGTTGTGGCTGTTGTGTTGTGTCTGCTCCAAAAGCTTGTGTGCCTGTTTCTGCAGTTGCTGGTCTCCTCATTGGCTTGTAGACCAGTGGTGGTTTTGAAACGTATGGTCCACCAGTGGTGTATGGGAGTGTTGGTGATCTGTTGATCACGTCCATCAGTTGCTTGTTGTACTTTTCTGGTGCTGGAAGCCTTCTGATTGTTCGTGCTCGAACAACCTTGTTGGAAATCCCAATGAGGTTCTCATTGGATGTTGTGTCTTTACCAAGCCATATGCCTGGCATGAAGCGCTGTTCCATCTTTGGAATGACTGCTGAGTTTGGCAACATATAAAGAACTGTTTCACCAAACTCACAGAGTGGTGTTTTGTGTTCTTTATGCCATCTCCTGAAGAAGCTTGTGTTGCCATCTGAATGTATGGCATACCTGTTGAGCAGGTAAGCTGTGTGTCTCACCATCCATGCTACGATGGGATGTTTGCTTGTAAGTCTGATGTCGTAGTTGTTCTGCAGTTGGGACTTCAGTGTTCTGACTTGTCCCATGAGTGTTCTGTGAAAGCGTTCGACGCTGCCTTGTGCTTGTGATGTGTATGTTGGTGCTTGTCGAACTGTGATGTTTCCTCCCATCTTAGCTGCTGTTGCTCTGAGAAGTGCTATGAGGTGATCCTCCTGATCTGACTGTAGGATTGTGCTGTTGAGTACAGCTTGTACTCTGCCACACTCCATGAGGAATGTTTGTATGCATTGGACGTGATATTGAAAGTCTGCTGTCTTGCTGTTGACAAGAACTGCCATGCTCATGCCTGTTTCCACGTCAATGCCTGTGAGGATTGGTGTTGTTTCCTTTTCTCCAAGTGTTTTGAAGAAACAAAAGTCGAATTGTACGACTGGTTGTTTGCTGTGTTGTCGTGGGTGGTTGTCTGCTCGTCCTTTGTTTTGAACACATGTTGGACACCAACTCCTGTAGGGAAGGTGTGTGAGTTCATGTTCAGCACGCTCTTGTGCTGTTGGCTGCTCTGGTGCTTTGATGCCTTTTGCTGTTCTGGCATCTAAATGTTCTTCCTCATCGATGTTGTAGTACTCCTCTTTGAACGCCGTGCTCTCCTCAAAGTTTGTTGAACCTGTCCATGTGAAGTTCATTGTTGCTGAGGTCTTTGTTGTCCAGTCATCATCAATCCTGTATCCTCTGGCTCCTGATGTTGGCTTAACTATTGTTTGTCTTTGTGGCAATAGCTTTGTGACATCTGGACCATCCATTGTTTGTTGTGGGATGTAAAGCTGAGTCCGTTGTTGTACATGGACTCTCTTCCAGTACTGTCCTTCTTTGATCCAGTAGTCTGCTGTTGCTGGTGTGTCCTTTGGTCCTGGAACTGCTGTTCCTGGATATGCTTGTTGCTTCATGGGCTGCTGTTGCTGTGGTACCAAAGGTTGTTCCACTGGCTTCTTCTCTCTGTGTCGAACTGCTGATCCTGTAGGCTGCTGAGCTTGTTGCTGCTGTTGCTGTGGCGTTGGCTTGGCTGCCGATGCCTTTGGTGTTGCTGATGCTGGCGCTGAAGCTGCTGTTGATGCCTTGGGCAACGGTGGTGCTGGAGGCTTTGTTGTCTCTTTGACTCTGAACCATGTTTCTCCTGACCATGCTGGTCCTGGAAGTCTTCTGTTCTGTCGTTGTTGTGGAAGGTCTTTGTATTTGTCCTCAAAGTCCTCAAGTGTTCCATCTGGCTTGTATGCTATTGTTCTTCTGTAGTTGTCCAGCTGTTCTTCTGGAACTGGACATTGTGCATCTGGTGTGAAGAGTGCCTTCCTTGTTCTCTTGTGTACCCTCACCAGATATCCTGTGCTGTTGTATATCCAAATGTCGTTGTTGTGTGTGACCCATTCAGGTCCTGTTGGTGTAATTGTCACTGGGGACACTGTTGCTCGAATGCCATGTGACGTCTCACATATGTCAAGCTTCATGTTGCTTGGCATTGGGCTGATGTTGACTGTAAGAAAATACAGTCCTTGTTGTTGCTTCAGTGTTGCTTCAAAGCCGTTGGTGTTGGTGATTGTTGGGTGATCGCTAAGCTGGATGTTGAAGCCCTGTGATGCCAGTCTTGTTACTGACAAAATGGGTTGTGACACGTCACACACATAAAAGGGTATGACGATCGGTTGTTGCTTGTTGTTCTTCATGTACACCCATTTGTAGCCATAGACTGTGATGTCTTCCTCTGTTGCTATTGTGAGTCTTGGGCCTTGTTCTGGGTGAAGTTCATATGTTCTGTATGTTGGGGCAAACCATGGTGGGCAAACATGTGTTGCTGCTCCACTGTCAATCATCAAATCTTCTGTGGTGTTTGCCGGTTGCTCAGTTGCTGGCTGCTGCTTGTTGGACTGCTGTATTGAAATGGCTGCTATGTGGAGTTGTGGAACTTGCTGTTCCTGCGCGCTTGTTGGTGGGAGTGCCAGTTGTTGCTGTGGCAGTGCGCTGACCTGTGTTTGGTCATCATTCCACCATTGGCCGTCATAGTACTGTTGTTGTTGATACCATTGGGTTGTTGCATCATCTTGCCAATGGCCAGTGTATGTGTTGGTTGTAACCTCGTTGAGGTTGTGTACTGCCACACGGCAGTCTCTTGCTATGTGACCTGGTTGGCCACATCTGTAGCATCCTTGTGTTGGGACCCCTTTTCCTTTTCCTGTTGGCTTGCCTTTGCCTTTGCCTATGTACCCTCCTTTGTTGTTGGATCCTTTGGGCTGCATTCCTTGCCCAATCTTTCCTTTGCCTTTGTTGTATCCGTAGCCATATCCTTTGCCTTTGTTGCTCTTGTTCCTTCCTTTTCCTTTGTTGGGCTTCTTTCCTTTTCCTTTGTTGTACTTTCCTTTGTATCCTTTGTTGACAGCTCCAATGTCCATAGGTGCCGGTCCTCCTTGGGCGTGTGTTGAGACGCTGGATGTCCCAGGTTGCTGGTGTAGCCTGCTAAGGGCTGTGGTGGCTCTGTAATATTCCATGATTGTTTCACGTACCTCTACGTATGTTGGTGTTGCTCCTGCATTCAAGTGCAGGTGTTGTTGCAGTGGGCCTGATGTCTCGTTCATCAGGACTGCAATTTTGATTTGGTCTGGTAGTGTTGTGTTGTTGTCTCTCTCATACCTTGAGAGCTCGAATTCCCAGTTGGAGAATGACTCCTCGAAGTTGTTGCTGTCAAATGTTGGCTTGAGCAGCTTTGTTAGGTACCCTATGCTTCTTGTTCCTAATGGTATGGCAAACCTGTTGCTGAGCTGCCTGTAGGTCTCAAGTCCCATCTCATGTTGATACTGTCTGCACACTGTTGCTGCAGCTCCTTTTTCCACGTTCACAAGTATGTACTTCAAGTTGTTGTCTAGTTGTACCCATCTGTCGGCTTCCTCCATGTTCTGTGCTGCTCCTCTCAAGTCTGCTTCTGTAAGTCGTTGTGTGGATGTTGCTGCACGTCGTAGGATGTTGGGGTAGAATGGGTCCATGAGGCCCATGTATGCTGTGAATTTGTATTTCCACTCCTCAAATGTGGAATAGTTGCCATCGTATGTTGGGGGCTTGAGTTTGAGCCGGTGTGTTGCTGCCAACGCTTCTGTCTGATCCTCTAGTGGTGCTGTTGGTGATGCCGCCATTGTTGCTTTGTAAAGTTTTGTTGAAGCTCCTCCAATGTCTTGGGATCAAGGCTTCTCCCTGTTGTCAGAGTGTTGTTGTTCAGCTGCTGCTTCCTCTGTTGTCTGGTGTGTTGTTTGTTGGGTGTTGTGCACAGTAATTGTTGAGAGTCCCCCAGTGTTCTGGGATCAAGCCCTCTGCCTGTTGTTTACTGCTGTTGCTTGGAGATGCCCCTGGTAAGGCAGAGCTCCGCTACCATGTAAAAGTGCGAGATGTTTCAAGCACTGTTGTCAAGCTGCAACTGTTGGCACCTTTTGCTGTTGCACGCACTCAATCTGTATGTTGTCAACAGGAGTTGTCTCAAGGCCTTGAACCACAGGCCAGTGTTGATATGACATGTTGAATATGTACATTGACAAAAGCAACCGAGATCAACCGAGCAGCTTTCCCAGATCAACAGTGGGCACTGAACAAATCGAATCAAGCAATCGGACAAAGAGGGCGCGGTGCGGAACTCCTTCAGTTCGTTTTCGAAACTTTCATTCTCTTCCTAGGTCCAGGCTTGACTCAAGGCGAGATCCCCCGTGGCTTATGGAATGGCAGCTAAACAGTAGGAAGAATGATGATAAATCGTGGGATTTGGGGGGTTCCAAATGCTGAAGCGACCGCATATGACTGGCTTGCCTGATTGGGTTTGGCCAAGGTGCCAGCCTCATGTTTCAAGTGATTGCATGTGTTTTAGTCAAAATTTCTTCGAACAAATCTCGGAATTAGAATGAATTGTAATCAGAATTGGATATTTCCCAGATAATTTCCACCAAAATTGGTGTATCCAATGCATCCCCCATTTTTCCAGGACGAAATTTTGGGTTGCGTCGCAAGAAAAGCCCTATGCCCTGCTGGTGCCATGGTTCAAAGGCCTGTTGATCTGCCTGGGCCCGTTGCTTCCGGACCAAATATGCCACCATTTCCTGGTTGCCCATGGTCTGCTGAATCTTGCGCCTCTCACGACCTGAAAAAAATCACATGGCGAAGTGGTTTTTTGGATACATGGGCATGGAGTTTTCCGAAGTCATGGGAGTACACCTAAATCATCCATTTTAGGAATTTCCATCATAAACCAACCATTTTGGGATCCATTTCTGGAAACCCCCCTTTTTGGCATTTGAATGGGAATATCATTGGGGAATTGTTCAGGCCATGTTTGATTGCCAGAGGTAATATCTGTGATATTTCAATCAATTTTAATGGGAAAATTTCAAGATCTGAGAAGGTTGGGTTTCTAATGCTAGATGTAGAATATAAATTCATTGGGTTTAACTTAAGTTTTGCAGCCACAAAATTGGGATATCATTGGGATATAAGAAACTAATGAACCACTCGCCACGGTGATGGGTGGTTGATCACCATCCCAGTTCTATGGTTGCAACTGTTGAACATATATATATATACATATATATATATATTATATACATTTGAAACCATCAGCTAGGACACATTCATATACCGCCCATCAAAGCGGCAGAAACATCAAATGTCAAACTAGCCTTCACCAAGATTTCCCAGTGCCCGCTGATCATTTTCGTGACCTTTTCAGTACATTTTGCCTCTGTTTGGATGCATTGAAACATGTATGGATCAAAATCCAAGACCCTCAAACCCATCTTGGATATACTTCGTAGGAACCATCCCGAAAAAAAAGAAGAATTGCAGGAAACCCAAAGCGGGTGTCAACCCTGCCAGGGAGCATAGGACCAGCACAGCCGGCACGGTGATTGAGACGCCAATGGCTCCAACCACGGCCAGCCACAACTGCAGTGGTTGATTACCTGACCCCAAAAAAAGGGCAGCAGACCACCTATTCTTGAACGTTTAAGAATTCACAACTTTGGGGTACCCTCCCAAAAAAATCAACCAGCGTTTTTTAGTTTATCATATGGTTGATAAATAATCGAAGGAAATTTAGAAGTCAAACTTCCGACAATATGGACAGATGAAAAAGCAGAGGTGGGAAGAGTCAGAGAAAAGAAGAGAAGAAAGAAAATCAGAGAAGGGATAAAGTCAGAAGAAAAAAGGTCAGGCGCGCGGAAAAGTAGGAAATTCGCGAAGCACTGTGTTTTTCCAATGATTGGTGGCTCCGGAGGGTGGAAAAGTAGGCAAAAGCGGTGGGTGCGGAGCCGTCTGGGGAGATGACACGCCGTTGCGGCGCGAAGCACATTTCGAAGTCAAAATGTGCAAAACACACCAGGTTCGGGCCGCTTTTGGAAGTTGAGATGTCGAAAAAATACACGCCGTTGTGGCGCTAAGCACATTTCCAAGTCAGTGTTAAAAACACCACATGCTCGGACCGCTTTTGAAGGTTCAGATGTGGTTTTGCGTAGCAGGCGCAAGGGATTCTGCACCTTGCCAAAACTGAGAAAAACGTGAAGGTTTTGTAGCATTTGCAATAACGATGGCAGGCATGGGACATTTAAAGAGGATCTGGACAGATGCATTTCGCGTGGCAGGCGCAGCAGAGCTGTTAGGAGGTCCGGGCGCTGATTTCCTGAGAGGTGTTGCATTTTGGAGCATGAGATCTTCAGGTTTGCAAAGATGATTTTGCGTGACAGGTGCAACACTTCGTATGACCTGGCTTCACTTTTTCGTTGCAGGTGCGGTACTTTGGAGAGATGGAACGGAAAAAATGCAAAACGCATTGGTATGAGGCCATCAGTTTTGTTCTCAACTTTCGATGTTTGAAGGAAGTCTGAAGTCTCGCAGAATTGCTTCGTTTTTGACGTTGTCAAATTCAAAAATTGAGGAAATCTCACAGAACTGCTGCGTTTTTGATGCTGTCAAGTTCAAAAACCTAGGAAATCTCGCAGAATAGCTTCGTTTTCAAACTTGCAGATAGACAGGTAGATTAGATAGATAGACAGATAGACAGATAGACATGGATAGATGGATAGATGGATAGATGGATAGATGGATAGATGGATAGATGGATAGATAGATGGATGGATGGATAGATAGATAGATAGAGAGATAGATAAAGAGATAGATAAAGAGATAGATAAAGAGATAGATAAAGAGAAAGATAAAGAGATAGATAAGAGATAGATAAAGAGATAGATAAAGAGATAGATAAAGAGATAGATAAAGAGATAGATAAAGAGATAGATAAAGAGATAGATAAAGAGATAGATAAAGAGATAGATAAAGAGATAGATAAAGAGATAGATAAAGAGATAGATAAAGAGATAGATAAAGAGATAGATAAAGAGAAAGATAAAGAGATAGATAAGAGATAGATAAAGAGATAGATAAAGAGATAGATAAAGAGATAGATAAAGAGATAGATAAAGAGATAGATAAAGAGATAGATAAAGAGATAGATAAAGAGATAGATAAAGAGATAGATGAAGAGACAGATAAAGAGATAGATAAAGAGATAGATAAAGAGATAGATAAAGAGATAGATAAAGAGATAGATAAAGAGATAGATAAAGAGATAGATAAAGAGATAGATCAAGAGATAGATAAAGAGATAGATAAAGAGATAGATAAAGAGATAGATAAAGAGATAGATAAAGAGATAGATAAGGAGATAGATAAAGAGATAGATAAAGAGATAGATAAAGAGATAGATAAAGAGATAGATAAAGAGATAGATAAAGAGATAGATAAAGAGATAGATAAAGAGATAGATAGATAGATAGATAGATGGATGGATGGATAGATAGATAGATAAAGAAATACATAAAGAGATAGATAAAGAAAGAGATAGATAGATAGGTAGACAGATAGATAGATAGGTATATAGATAGATAGGTAGATAGATAGATAGATAAACAACTACAACTACAACTACAACACGACACATTACACTACAACTACAAATTTTGAATATACTACGCTACATTACACTACACAAATTACACTACACTACACAAATTGCACAACCACGACAACAACAACAACAACAATTACTATTACTACTACTGCTGCTGCTGCTACTGCTACTGCTAATGCTACTGCTACTGCTACTGCTTCTGCTTCTGCTTCTGCTACTGCTGCTGCTGCTGCTACTGCTACTGCTACTGCTGCTGCTGCTGCTAGTGCTACTGTTACTGCTACTGCTGCTGCTGCTACTGCTACTGCTGCTGCTACCGCTACTGCTACTACAACTACTACAACTACTACAACTACTACAACTACTACAACTACTACAACTACTACAACTACTACGACGCCTCCTACTACTACTACTACTACTTCTACTACTACTACTACTACTCCTCCTCCTCCTTCTCCTCCTCCTCCTGCTGCTGCTACTGCTACTGCTACTGCTACGGCGACGGCTACTGCTACGGCTACGGCTACTGCTACCGCTACTGCTACGGCTACTGCTACTGCTACTGCTACTACTACTACTGCTGCTGCTGCTGCTGCTACTACGACTACGACTAGGACTGCGACTACGACGACGACGACTACTACGACGACGACTGCTACTACTACGACTACTTCTACTACGACTACTACTACGACTACTACTACTACGACGACGACGACGACGATGACGACGACGACTACTACTACCACTACTACTACTACGACTACTACTACTACTACTACTACTACTACACCTACAACTACAACTGCAACTGCAACTGCAACTGCAACAACAACTACCACTACACGACACATTACACTACAACTACAAATTTTGAATGTACTACGCTACATTACACTACACTTATTACACTACACTACACTAATTGCACCACCACCACCACCACAATAACAACAACAACAACAACAATTGCTACTCCATACTACTACTACTACTACTACTACTACGACTACTACGACTACTACGACTACTACGACTACTACGACTACTACGACTACTACGACTACTACGACTACTACTACGACTACTACGACTACTACGACGACGATGACGACGACAACGACGACAACGACGACGACCACCACCACCACCAGCAGCAGCACCACCACCACCAGCACCACCACCACCACCACCACTACGACGACGACTACGACGACGACGCTGACGACGACGACGACGACGACTACTACAGCTACAACAGCTACAACAGCTACAATAGCTACAATAGCTACAACAGCCACAACAACTACAACTGCAATTACAACTACGCTTTACTAAACTAATTACATTGCAGTACACTACAAGCACAACTACAAAAACAAAAACAACTACAACTACACTACGGTACACAACACTTTGCTACACTAATTACATTACATTACATTACATTGCATTGCATTCCATTCCATTACATTACATTACACTAGAACTGCAACTGCAACTACAACTACCACTACATTGCACTACACTACACTACAATAATTACACTACACTACACTACAACTACAACTACACTACACTTCTTTACACCACACAACACTAGACTACACTACACTATACCACACTACAGTACACAACACTCGTGTACACTACAGTAATTACGCCACACCACAACTACAACTGCAACTACACTACGCTATATATATATAATTAAACTACATTTCAACTGCAACTCCACTACACTACAGCTACAACTACAACTGCGCTACACCACACTACATCCAGCAGTTGTGGTGATGTGACCACTGCAACCATTGCAACCACTCCACAAACCACAACTCCAACCACCTTTCGGTCCATCAGTGGATTCGCTCTGCCATCCGTGATTCACAACAACCAACTTCTCATATAGGTGTCCTATTTTTGAAACTTCCGCCACCGCCTTGTGCGGTACTACTGGAGAGAATATGGATAGCCCCAGCTCCTTATCTAGTTCCCTCCTAATCACTGGATTTTTCGGCTTCGATACTGGCTTGTTAATAAGGATTCCCCGTTCATAGATTGTGATATTCCCCAAATGTATTGCTTACTCCAATCCCCAACGAACCGGGTTTTTGAACACTGCTCAAATCATTCCATTCGTAGCGACCAGTGACAGGGTTCATCCCACCCTCTCACAGCCACGATCAGGGCAAGACCTGCGGTACCCAGCATTGGGGGAATCGGATCAACCAAACTCGGCATTGAATCCGCACATATGTGGATATGATGGTTATATAAATATATAGTTATATAGTTATATTAATGTTATACTGATATTATTTCTTTAAGGGGGATACAATGGGGATATCATGGGGATATGATGGTTGTCGTCGTTCTCGTTGTATTACTTATTTAAGGATATTCAAGGGGGATACAATGGGGATATGATGGGCATAGCGTTGGAGAATAGGGTCCACTAAACGTTTCTCGGACCGATACACCATGATACACCGATACACTGCCTTCGCACCGATATACACCGAGACAACACAGCGATCACGGCGTATCGGCGCAGGCAACTCACAAGCGACCCCGGCAGAGAGCAGGATGGCAAGCACAGCATTGGGATTTTCAAACCTCAGTGCATTGAACTGCTATTGACTGATTTTATCATATTCTATCAATGGTACCATTTGACAGGATGCCAGCCGCAACCACTTCTAAGTAACACATGTTGCCAATCTCTGCGGGTGAGTCGTGGCCTCTGAGTCGACCCCATCAAATTGGAAGAAAGTCGTGACGACGTGATGGCTGGGTATGGATGGGTATGGCCCGTATGGCTTTAAAGAGGGGAAATTATGACATCATCTTTTTGTCGCGTCAACAAAAAAATTCTCAAGCTCACCAGTGGGCACGACAAGTAGTGGATCGCCAGCACACTGTAGCTTCGCCTTTCCACCAGAACTTAGTCCAGATCATGCAGTCGGCCGACTCATGATTTGGGTCCTTTGCCAGAGTTTTTCAGTTCACTAAACTGTTAATCCACGCTGCTTTGCGCCGGCAGGTTGCAGTGAATTCAATCAATCAACCAAGCAATCATGGTAAACCACTGCATGGAATGTGGTGGTGTTCCCCTCAATTTTCAGACAAACTCAATGAGAACCTATAACTTTTACAGATCCACTACATTCTATCAGGGTAACCCCGGGGGTGCTTATTATCCGCAAAATGGAATTGAAACCACGAACCGGTTGGAGTGAAATCCCATTGGTAATAAGCAGCAAGCCCACTTCTATTAATGAAATCCCTAAGTCCTTTCTTGTGAATTCTGCATTTTCTTTCTCTTAGTCGGATTTCTCGTTGAAAGCACGTTGCTGCCATGCACCATGTTTCGCAAAAAGCACCCCTTTCGGTGACTCAGTGCGGGACAAATGATTGCTTGAAACCATCATTTTTTGCATCAACAAACGAAGATGGACAACTGGGGGTCATGGGTCGATCCCATCCCGATCTTTCGGGATCTCCGGCCTTGGGGAATGGCCTCACATAGCACAGAGACTGCTCCTGTCGTGAGGCTGCCATGGTGTTTTGTTCTTCGTGCTTTATCCGATGAGTTTCTTCAGCTTTTTTGGGGGAAATTTGAACATCCCATCGGTCCCACAGACCAGAATTTTCGGTCCAACAGACCTCCAATTTAGGATGGTTTTCTAAAAGCTGACATCCAACTCATGAGATTCTTGACGTTTATCAAAAGAATGGGATTGGGGAAACCGCAACACCAAATCTTAGAACTGACTAGATGGTGTTGGTCATATCTGTTGCAATCCCAATATCATCTTAGTATAATCTCTCGTTCTAGTCCCAATAAAATGCCATGTTCTAATCCCATTTTATGCTCCCAAAAAATGCTCCATAAAAAACCGCATTTATCTCCTGCAGTCATCATGGCACTGGCACTTCCAGCAGCGATACTGACCAAACCCACCATTTGTTGCGTATCTTCCCGCCTCAACGGCGGAATGACGTTCACGCGGAGCTGGGTCGTCAAATGTGTAAAAAATGCGCAAAAAAATGGAAGTACAAATGAAATATCATGAACTGTTGTTTTTGGTCAGAAGCATCTAACATGTCAGGCTACCCATATCCAGTGTGCGGCATGCTGGGCCTAATTTTGTTGTGGTTGACACCATCAGCCACAGCTATCCACAACTCATAATTCGTTTGACCTTCATTCATACCATTTTCCAAAATTGCCAAGACGCTCGAGACGCGCCATGATCACCAAAGGAAGGTGCGGAACTGCGGAACGATATCACAATTGCCCTGTCTTGTCACACTAAATGGATCACATATTTGCCGCACCCTGGAGACTCCACTGTCTATGCCAAGCTGTTATGTTGCACTGTCTATGCGGCATTTCTGCATCGGGAAACAAATGTTTGACGTTGACACCAAATCCCAAAGTTGGACAACAAACCAGTTGGACTGTTCACGTTCATTCGATCACGCTTCAGCCATCGTTGTCCCGGTTTCATCCGGTTTCCAGGAATGCACCACATGAAGCACCTGTTCCCGTGTGAAGCCCGCAGAATCAAGTGCTTCTGGCGCGACCCGCTTTTGTTGTTTGATCTTATGTTATCTTATGGCCCATCCCAGTTGTTGCCCTAGAGCAATCAATTTTTAATCAGAGCCTTGCGGTAGCCACCGATTTCACGTGTCTATTCTGCGGCCTGCTAATCGAAACATATGGGTACCCATATGTACAAAGCACAGGGGGTGATTCTACGCATTTCGACAAGCACATTGCCTGAAGGTGAAACATCTAAAGGGGGGCTGTCTACAGCCTCCGGTGGAAAATTTTCCAATGATTCATTCATCCGCATCCGTCTCTGCAATGGTTTCATGATTTTCTGGTAGTTGTGATTGTGACTTTGTGTTTGCCCAAGCACTTACCTGAGAAGGCCGAGGGTGTGCTGGAGGCAAAAAAGCCCAAAAAGCATGGTTTCCGAGCGGAATGCGGGTCTCGTAGCTGGCTGAGACTTGACCCTTCCACAAGCCCTTTACCCTCACAATCAAACATGGCCAGGTAAATCCCATTATTGAATGGAAAAGTCATACAATACTGATGTTTCATCAAAATGCCACAAAGAGGCTATATGGAGGTTTCCTGAAATAGGGGTACCCCCAGTTCTCATCCATTTTCCATAGGATTTTCCATGAAATAAACCAGCCAGCTATTGGGGTACCTCCATTTTGGGAAATCACCTTGCTGCAGATCAGTCACTCTCTGTTTTCCCAAGCGACGACTGCGTTTCTCCTCTGCCATCTCAATATCTTCACCAAAGCCCAAACGAGCACAGAACCTGCGCTTTTTTTAGACACTGGACCCGGAATGATGGGTAGACCATAACATGGTAGACCTTGGGTACAGGTCAATGATGGGATGCCTATGGACCCACAAAATTCATCAGAATTGATCATGTTGCCGACTTGGGGATGAAATGCATCAAAATGGCAAATAACATAGTATTCAAGAACCTTAACACCTTTCCCAGTGCAATGGACTAGGTCGTCCAAAAAATATTGCTGGCAGATCCAAGTCAAAAAGAAATTGGATTTTGAAAAATATTGCTACCCTGTGGCTTTCGCATGGCAATAGAAGTAGCACTAGCAGCCCTAGCACTCCGAGTAGGTGCCCCTTAGCACCGTTGTCATCGGCAAATCCCAAGTCGATGTCGCATGGAGGAACAAGTTCAAGAGGTAACTGCGGAAGCAGAGTTAGCAACGGAAGCTGCACTTGCGCTTGTAGTAGTAAAGTAATCAAGTAAACTATATAAAACTCGCATCAGAAGTACAGTACCCAGCACCACCAGAGGCAACACCATTGCGACTTTATTGGGCTTTTACAACTTGAACCACCGCTACAGCCAAGACTTGAAAAACTATGTATGCGTGCAAACTAAACTCTCGGAAGCTTCCAGCACTTGAGCGTAGAGGCCCTAAATTTCGAAGTGTCGCTCCAGATCTCTTTCGCATTTGGGATTGTAGGGTACCTGGAATCCTATCACAAATCATCTACTTGGAACATCTTGGAACCATGTCTTTTAAAAGCTCTAAGAATCGAACTCTTTGGACCTTGGGAAAAATCCACAGAGTGTGGAAAGCTTCTCTGTGGAATCCACAAAGTGACGGGGAACCGGCTAGCGGGCGATGCAAATGCAAAGGAACCTCGGGAGTTCCTATTTGGCATCTTTAGGAATACTCTCTTTCAAAGCTCTTGTGGAAGTTTTTTAAACGTTATCCATTTTTGTTATATACAGCTCGAAGAAGGGGATCCCAAGAAAACTCCACGTGCCCTTGCGAAACTAGGTAGAGCAGGAACCTGCTTTGGAAAACCTTGGGGACTTTATCCCAGCCCATCTTTGAAATTCATGGGTTTTGTCCTTATGAAGACCCTTCATTCTGGCACCTTCAAACCTTGTGGGATCCTTGCTTGGGAACTTTTCCTCTGGTGTTTGTTTGGCAACCTTGAGAACCTTGCATTTTTTTCCAATTTGGGGATAAATTTTTCAGCTGCTCCACGTCAGCTCGTCAGCTCCCACTATGACAGAAGACCCCAAGCTATCGCACTTTTGGATGTGCTTGCGAAACCAACTCGTGTTCATCCAACTCTGAAAAACATGAATCATGCGGGATCAGAAACCACAAGAGATGCATGCAGTCTGATTGATGGCAAGAAACCCAGCAGTGTACACCACGAAAATCACGCCTGAGTTGCCAAACATTGCAAGCAGCTATATACATTCGGTGTAAAAGGCATTAGACTAAGTCGATGGAGCTTTTGGTGAAATGTGTTTGTATTTTTTTTATGAGCACTCATATCTCACATGATATACCTACCATTTGGGATGTCCAAAAAAAAACATCGTAAGCCATCTTGGATCCAAGCCACAGGCCAGTGCGCCGGTGAAGACAAAAGGAGCTAAGGGGTCAAGCGTGTACAAGAATGCACCCAACACACCTCCAATGCCTCCACCCACGGCGTCTGCGTTCCGGCACAAGACTTGTAGATTCAGAAACAACCTGGGATCTCCCATGGAGTAAAACCTTGGACAGGCGGGATCCCTTGGGGTGGATAAGAATATTGAGGGAAAAAATAGCACCCCGGGGTTCTATCGACATAAAACTGAAGCACTTGATTTCAGCAGGAAAGAGTAGACGTAGACTTGAGTGGTAAAGAAAACGCGGTTTTGGAACGTTAGCAACATTAGCAATATATATATATATACACTGAGCGGGACTAGTTAGAAACAGAAATTTCTGGACTTTGAAAAAGAAAACAGAGACGTCAATAAAATTTGAATCAGCAGAAGGAAAAAGTGGAAATGTGAAAGTCAAATGTTCCCTTCTGGTAAAGTAACATAGCTATGGAAAATGGCCATTTTGAGTTAATTTACCCATTAAAGGATTGTGATTTCCCATAGTTATGTGAATTTACCTGAGGGTATCAAAAAGCAAACCTAATTCAGCACGACAAAACTTCTAGGCCAAATGTGCCAAAGACCAGCTGATCTGCCCCATCTACCCAGGCCAAGGAACAAATTCATGTCGGTGGTCCATTTCGAGCTGTACACCTGCCGTGATTTTGCGCGTCAATAGATTTGAGTCGTTGATTTACAAAGGCCAATGCAATGTATACTGTATTTTGGCAAACAAATATTTAAAAAAACGTGTTTATTGAGTAGTTGTACAGGTGCTCAGTTGCGTTCTATTGCCTTCGGTGTGCTGCTATCTGTCCTTCCTGCGTTTGCAGGGACCGTGGTGGATCTTGCCACCACTGCCTTTTTGAGACTTTCACATGCAAGCCGCCCATCATCTCCCGTCTGAGTGTGGTGTGTCTTCGCCGCTAACAAGAAAAACCATGCAGAAGGTGTATCTGGTTCTTTGTGAAGTACCGCACTTTGTCCAACATGCATGGAAAAAGGTTTGCAGCCTGCATCACTCGCTCTTTTGTTCTCTCCGGTTGTTGTGGGAAAAAAATAGATGCTGAACTTTCCTGCGGATAGATCTCCATGGTCATGGCGCTGAGCCAGCATCCCCTTCTGCGGGCAAGTTCAAAGTCCTCAAGGACAGCTGAAAGAAAAATCGCTCCTCCCGCGCGCAGGCTGCCCAAATCTAAAGCTCCGCAGTCTAGTTTTGAATGAGTCTGGAGAAGGAGCGCCCCAACAGCTTCGTCTCAGGTTAGAGCTTTTCGAAAGCATAGCCTATGAGTTCAACCAAATCTCCATATTCAATCTTTGCAAGCTGATAACTGGCGGCCCGGAACCGAGTTTTCGGTTCTTGCACTTTGAGCAGTACTGAGGCCGAAGTGAACAAAACATCAGAGGGCAACACCAAGTCTTTTCGAAAAGCTGCTAAAACCTCTCCGATTCTGCAAATGCTGCCCCAGCGCAGTGCAATCAATACGCTAACTGTCAACAAAGCCAGGGGTACCTGAAAAGGACATGCTACATGGTGCTCAAAAGGTTCCTCCCTAAGCCACGCACAAGCCAGGTCCCAAGCTCCAGTCATCACAATCTCCGCACTGAAGGCTTCAGCGACCCAATCGCATTGATGGTCTCTGAATAGTGGCTACAGGGACGCCCTGCTTCATACAGACGCTTTCCATTACTCAGCTAAGTATTTGCTCAGAAGCTCCGGATTGCGATATGCTTCAACAGAACTGTTTGCAGGGTTGACCCCTTTTCAGATCATCGGCATGTCGTGGCTCAATTCCACGGCTCGGAACACTACCTGCCAAAATCCAATTACCATCACGGGCACTACCGCTAGCTAAAACTACTACCCAAATCCAAAACCTCACAGGGCCGTCGAAGTCCTGGAGGACCTGATGGAAAGAGATTGGACAGCTAGCTTGGCGGCAACGCCAGGAGAGGTTGGACAGAGGCCATGAGTGGAGGAAAGCCCAAGGACAAGAATGACTCAGGGCAGAAACCATGAGTGGAGGAAAGTCCAAGGACAAAAATGACCCAGTTCGAAGTCCATCGTCTGAGTCTGGGGAGCTCGGCGAGCTTGAAAAATCCATCGGATGTAAGTCCATCATAAAACAGTGGGTGAGCCTTGTGGAGCAGAATTGATTGGAGGCGGAGACTCCAAACGCAATGGCGATCGCCATGGTCTTCCGAAGAAGTGGTGCCAGGGCTCTGGAGGAGCTTCTTCCCTTTGAAGAGGAGCAAAGGGCAACAGAAGAATCCAAAAGAACTGAGAACCTGCCCCCTCCAAGCCTTGCTGCCTTCTTGAAAGCCTGCAGGTAAGACGCCAACTCCAGTATGTTTATGTGGCTGTGTCCATGCCACTTCCAACTGGAGCCAGCCTGCCACTGCTTGCATCGGACCACCTCATTGACCAAAGGCTCCTCAAGGCCCTTCTCATCAAAGTCAACTGCAAGCCGAGCTTTCTCTTCAAGTTTCAAGTGAGCTTGAAACAAAGCTCCAAGTGCTCGGGCTAGCCCAAGGCAATAGACTGCAGTACCCTTTGTAAGTTGACCCTGGATCTTGATGTGGGGATGGTCCCTCATGCATCTGCGGACAATGGCATCTGGTTTCATGTTGCAAGTCAGAAAGCGGAACTCTTTCTGGTGGACACTCCCCCAAGTGCATGAGGCTGCTGACACCTCCCTGATGCCGGTTAGGCTGAGCAAGTAGAGCCACTCCTCCAGCCATGCCATCTTTGAACGCCTGGGTGTCTCAAGGAAACCAAAAACCTCCGCATAGAGTGCAGCCCACAGAAGTGCCAAACCTCGAAAGGCAAGACGATTGCCAACCCAGACTTTTGGGTTCTCCTGACAAAAACTTCTGGGCTGCTTGTGGATCTGGCTGCTGGTGCTGGGAAAGCTGCTGGTGAGAAAGTGGTGCATGGGGGTTCGATTGCAGCTGATCGAACCCTCTTGTTTTGGACCATGAAGAGCAACCATAGCGCCACTTTATCTGAGATGAGGTCATATTGGGAGCTGTAGGTAACGCCAATGATTGGCCCAACCACCTAGCCTCGTCTAGCCATTTCATCTGACAGCACCCCGCTTCCACCACAAACTTCTATGAACTCATAGTACTGGGCCAGAGGACGCTCTGGCTTCTCATCAGCGATGTGCTCCTGGTGCCAAACATGTGGGGCCTCCTCTGCCCAGTCAGCCCAGTCTGTGTCTTCGACATACAGCCTCCCTCAAAAAAGTTTTTGGTCACGGCTGCAAGAAAGAGTGAGCTCCTTTGAAGTCTCCCGCAAACCACAAGGCCTGGCCCTTCGTGTGGCAGCTGACAGCTGCAGAATGCTCCCTTTTCTTTTGAAGAACCAGATTGGAGACTTGTGCCAGAAGGTTTGAACCGGCGACCGGCAAGAGGGCAGCAGCAAGTGACAGCTCGTTTGCATGACTGCGGGGCAAGCTGAAAAGGGTGTTCTCTGCTGAGGAAGAAGCCTCATTTGGGACAATATTAAAAACCTTATCCAAAATAGCCGTGGCAACTTTTCTGAAGCAAAAAACTGAAACAAGCCCTCCCACAAGTGATCTCCTGTTGTGTATGCCAACTTTGCAGACTGGAGCAAAATCTAGCTAAGCGCCAACTCTTCTCTGGCGGTGACGCAACGTTGACGTGGCCTTGTTTGACAATCCCATATGCCGAATTGATGTGTGCTCCGACTACGGTGGCCGAAACTTGGTCAATCACATCCTTCTCATCAGAGCCGTTCAGACCCTCATCTGCATAGACGGTCTTTGTTGTTCTGAAGGCTTCATACCCTGGGTTGGAAAAACTCCCTGGGACTCTCCTCAAGCTGGAAGATCGCACCCAAGCCCTGAAAGAGGCCTCTCGGACGAGGTAACCTGTCGGCCCGCAACATGTGCTCCTCACTCAAGGCCCCCTTTTCAAGCAAAAGTCCAACATGAGCAGCAATGCCAAATTCTACCCCTAACTGGTCTCCTTGCAGCACTGGTCGAAGCGCTCCAAAAACTTGGCAATGATCTGAGCTCATCTCCAGAAACAGTTCTGTCGACTTTCTGAGGTGCGGTCTTGGCATGCCTCACAATGCGCCAAGCTCAAAAGGAGGCCACATCAGGTTTGACATTCTCCAGTGTGCATGCAAGCTGATGGTAAAAATCTGACCTGTCTGTCACACAAGCACGAACTCCATGGCCAGAGGGAAGAAGATCTGTGATGGGTCCCAGGATACGCCCTTCAAAGGCATTTCTCCATCTCCGGTCCCCAATCTGCCGATCCTGTCTAGAGGACTTGTGGGCATTGAAGATCTTGACCTTACCTTCATGACCTGGCGGAACCACGCGCACTGAATGGAGCTCCAGTAAGTTTTGTGAATCCCACTTCATCAGCAGCCGAAAAACTTCTGCTTCATCTTCAGCCTCAAGGCAGGGGAGGCCACGTTCGGCCACTGCTCAGTCTATCTCAATAGGCTGAGGCTCCACAAAACCCATCCAGAGCTCTTCATTGATATACTTCGCAGCATCCCAGCACCCACGGCCTGAAATCTTGAGCCTGTCAGCATTCAAAGTTCCATAAGGCTCAGCCGTGGATCCTACGTGTTGTCCTCTGGCACCTTAACACCTGCAGACTCCTCATGGTATGGATTCGCTGAGAATCCAATGCAGAGGCCGCCGTGAACAGTTCTTGTAACGGCGCAACTAGCAGCAAAGTCTTGCGACCGCTGGAGGCGGCATGAACTGCGGCTCCAGGGCTTCTCGCCCTAATCAGCAACCTCAATCTGTCAATTGCCTGTTGTTGCATAGCATTTGGCAGCCTCTGAAGGAGCTCAAGAAGAAAGGTTGCATGGGAGCAGTAGGCATAGTTGATCGCTACGATCACGACCAAAAGCGGCCTGTCTAGCATCATCTCATGCCTCTTCCTCTTGGTCTTCTAGCATCACTCATGCCTCTTCCTCTTGGTCATCTTTGGGTCCACTGGAGCCACTGGCTGGAAGGATGGCAGTGGCAGTGGAAACAGGACGGTAGGAGATGCAACTGGGCCATCTCGGCGAAAGCAAAGAATAGAAGCTAGATACCGACCAAAACCTGCGCGAGTGGCCAATATCCAGCGGATGCCTTTTCCTTTCCTTGATCTGAAGAACCTTCGTCCTCCTCTGCCTTTTGCTTTTCCTTTTCTCTTTCCTTTACCTTTGCCTCGTCTGGTCTGTCTTCCTTGGAACCTTCTCTGATACCATGTGCAGTCAGCGTCATCATAAACCCAGAAAACATCTTCTAAAGGATCCAGGAATCCTTCTGCGCCGTCTTCATCATCTTCGGCCCAATAGCCTTCGGTTCCTTCTAACTCACCTTCATCCAGAACGAGGAAAGATCTTCTCTGTCCAATGCCAGAGGGTTGCATCATAGGATTGTCTACTGCCGTCTTTGTAGTGCAAAACATTTGCAGGAATAGATCTCTGAGCTCTTGCACATTGTACTGATCGAGTGTTCGTCCACGATGTGTCATGATACTTGTGAGCGTGCTTCTCTGATCTTGAGTCAGGTCTGCTAGACTTACAAAAATCAATGCTAGCAAGTTGTCACCCAAGGGCAATGGCAGTCTCTGCTGTTGTCGTTTGTTTTCATTGAGTTGTCTGAATGCTACCAAGGCATGATCATCTGTCCAAGGTACATTGACATGTGGTTCCTGGTACAACTGCTGCAAGTTGTGCAAGTTCAGCTTGGCGTGCTTCATGTTCTTGTCATTGGTTGTTGAACATACAGGATTGCTTCTGGACTTGTAATCAACAGATCTGGTAGTAAATCAATCCAAGACTCAATAACTCTGTTTCCAGTCGGTTGAAATCTGGTCATCCATTTCTGAAGATCCATAGTTCCTCTGTTGTACTTCATGAACTGCATGAAACGGTAAAAGAACACGTTTTGGGCACCTTTGATGAAATGAGGTCGTGGGAATCTTTTGAAGTAGTTGACTCCGTCGTTGGGATCCCTGAGCATTTCTCTATCTAATAACCTCTTGTATTGCTGCGCCTCTCGTTCCAGTCGATTTCGCAAAGCTGGTCCACGTTTTTCAGGTTCTAGCTCCGTGATGTCACACCAGCCACCAATAGCATCTTCAAATGCAAAGAAGCTGGTTCTCCCACCATATGCAGGGGCTACCTTCGTGGTCATCTGCTGCGTCATATGGATTGAGGGTTGTTGAGGTGCGCTTCTCATTGCAACAGAGTCATATTGATTCCATCCATCTGCATCGGCAATGTCGAAGTCGTCATCATCATCATCATCATAGCCATGGCGTGCCATATTGGGCTCTACCTGGAGCTCACCTTCAATGAAGGATCACAGCTCCGCTACCACTTCAAAAAGGGGCACTAGCGTCTAGTATAGATCAGCTAGAGCGTCTTCCCAAGACAGCTTCACACCCTTTTACTCACGGCGTATGCCAGTCGGTGTGGTGTCTACAGGATTCCTCTGTATCTCTCTCTTGAGCCTTGATCAGCATATATAAATGTGCCCAATACTCATGCTACATCCACGTAGCATTCAGGCCCAAATAAAAAGGGGGGGCGGTGGGGGGGGTGTAGTAACGTTCCTTGCACTTGCAAACATGTTTCTTTTTACGCTATGACATCTTTCCTTGCGCTTGCAGCCAGGTGTCATGCTACGCTATGACATCTTCTCTTGCACTTGCAGCCAGGTGTCATGCTACGCTATGACATCTTATCTAACACTTGCAGCCAGGTGTCATGGTACGCTATGGGGGGTGGGGGGTGGCTTAATAACGTTCCTTGCACTTGCAAACATGTTTCATGCTACGCTATGACATCTTCTCTTGCACTTGCACCCAGGTTTCATGCTACGCTATGACATCTTCTCTTGCACTTGCAGCCAGGTGTCGTGCTACGCTATGACATCTTCTTCTCTTGCATTTGCAGCCAGGTATCATGCTACGCTATGGGGGGTTGGGGGGCGTAATAATAACGTTCCTTGCACTTGCAAACATGTTTCATGCTACGCTATGACATCTTCTCTTGCACTTGCAGCCAGGTTTCATGCTACGCTATGACATCTTCTCTTGCACTTGCAGCCAGGTGTCATGCTACGCTATGACATCTTCTCCTGCACTTGCAGCCAGGTGTCATGCTACGCTATGGGGGATGGGGGGGGCGTAATAATGTTCCTTGCACTTGCAAACATGTTGAACAAGCTGCGCAAACACGTTGAACAAGCTGGCTGACTTGGCCTCCACGTGCTGAGACAAAAAAAAAAAAACGGTTTTTTTCAGACGCGTGTGTTGCACATGGATGCTAAACATGGGTGGAACTGCGAATTCATAGCCTCAAAGTCATGCAAATACCATCAAAAATGGATGATGGTTTTCAAAGAGAAAACAAAACCCAGTAAGGGTTGTCGATTTTATGCATGGCCCATGTTGAGAACTCGCAAAAACAGCGGGACCGTAATTCACGACGTGACCTTGTTTTTTGCAGACATTACCGTTTGCATTCCTTTCACAATCCTTTTTTAGACAAGACACATATGTTGTGCCCATTAAGATCTGGGCAACAACTGCGATTGGTAAAATCGGGCTCGTCATCCCAAAGTTGAAGAGTACCCAAGTGAACAAGATGAAAGTGAGGTTGTAGGGCTCAGATGTGAGGTGGTGCAAAAACCTTCGGAAACGACCCGACTTGTCCGGATCATAGTCACTCGAGAAAATGACTGGGATCAGTTTCATGGCAATGGCGGCCATGAGATCGCCAGCCGTCTGAGCCAACCCTGCCCAAGTCGCCTTGGGTGAAGCAAGCAACGGGGGAACGGGATGGATCTCTGAAAATTAGAAATGGCGCAAAAAATGGAGTTTCAAAGAATCTGCGAGTGGCTTCGTTCCAATTGTGCACCTGCTTGAAATAGATGGCAAAATTGTTGAATTCGACAGAATAACTGCAATTGTTGCACAGCGAGCACAGCACGATCAATAAGGCTGGGAACCTGAGGAATCAAAGCAGGCCAAGCTGACAAATACAGCTGGACATCCAAGGGGGTTTTGTTAAAGAAAAAAATGTGGGTCCGAACCAGTCTTCGCTGTTAACCCATGATGCTGACCCACCAAAATCAGGGGCACCTTATATCGCGTGGAATGCCAGTTTCAGCTTCCTCGGCGTCATCATCCACGTCCAGCTCCAGGCGTAGTTTTTGCGCTGCCCCTGTCGATCCTACAATTTGCGGCTGCAAGGCGTTGCCTTGGAATTTGAAGCAAAGGCGCCAAAAACACCAAGCATCCAAAACGAAAAGGCAAAAAATGTCCTAGACTTTCCTCACACTTTTTTAGAGGTCCAACTTTTTGCGGGGAAAAGCACCAAAAGTCACCTGAACTCTCGAAGTTGCTGGTCAAGTAGTGGTTTCTGAAGTCTTGCCCAGATTCAGACAAAGCCAGAAGGCTCGTCAAAGCAGTGAAGACTGAGCTCGCTGTGCCCCTTGGCCAAGCCCCCAATTATCACTGGTTTGAGCTCCCCAGTACAGTAAAAAAAGGTCATTGGCAAAAGATGAAGAACATCCAAAACCATCCAAAACCATCCAATTTCACCGTGTTCACCCGACACACAAGCATTTATCCAGTTATGCAACCCAAAGGTTTCAGGGTTCTTTCCAGGATTCCAGGGTAACAGGGTTCCAGGGTTCCAGGGTTCTGGTTCTGTTCCGGCTCTTGGGCTCGGCACGAACCAGTGTACCACTCCCAGATTGAAACCCAACAGTCACTGCTGTTCAATTTTTTGCAGAAGGATTTCATGGTTTTCTGTTGTTGAGCAGCACAGAAAACCTTGCGCATTTTCACAGAATGCGCCCCCTGAGCCGACGGGGCTTCACGGCGTCAGCACCTGTTGACATAATGCACAACAGGAAAAGCTATGTGAGAGTGAATGCACCCAAATGACATCAAGATGACAGCTCCCAACAATTTTTGTTGGGCGCAGACACTCTCAGCGTGCCAGTATCCAGCAGGTCTAACAGCGGCTGTGCATTTCCCTGCCTCTTTGTGAGGCAGTCCACTGCCATGCTTGGATGCGGCACCCACTTAACCTTGGTTCCTGTTTCAGCCAAGGTTTGTCTAATCACTTGCATCTCTAACGCTGTTCGCTTGTCTCCAGCAATACCTGTCGTTTCTTTTGACAGGTGACCAAACAGTGACTTCGCATCTACAATACAAACTCCGCGCACTAGCTCAGGCTCACTGTCTTCACTCGCAAACGCTCTCAGCTTTCGGTCTAGCAATAACCTCTCCCACTGCTTCAGATCAAATCCAGGGTTGATCAACTCGTTGAAAACTGTCACCGTCCATGACAATTCACCCAACCCACGCGACAGACTCTGAGTCTCTGCAGCTAAAGTGGAATTTGCCACCCGTTGGATTTTTCCCTGATCTCCAGTGAAGAAGGTTGCACTTCCCTTCTCCTTTCTCCAAAAGCTCTTGGTCATACGCGATCACAGCGTATGCGCCTTGGGAACGACCTTTGCTGGCATTGGCAAAACTGGCGTCGGTGATGACTCCCCATGCAAGCTTGGACATCTCAATTGGCTGCACTTTCAGACATAGATCCGCTCGACTCTTGAGTTGAGCAATGGTCTTGTTCAAATCTAAAATGTCCTGAACCTTCAAATTTGCGAGACTTGATGCGATGAGGCTTGCCATAGCTGATGCATCTGGTCGACCCTCCTTGGCGGCCCACGTAATGCTCCCTACAGCAGCTCTTGTGAGCTCCTTTTCTTCTGGTGTTGCTGCGTCCTCTGCCTTTCTACCTTTCTGTAAAGGCACTGGATGCAACCTTTCCTCAACAAACTTTGCATATCTACCAGAAATTCACCTTTCGCATTGACTCTGATTCTCCTACCGTTGAATGAGGTTCCTTCCACTCACTCTTTGATGTGAACAAACTTTCCAAACTCAAAACGCGCCTTCAGCTCCTCCATGTGGCTGAAGAAAACTTGAGAGCCCATGAGCAGCAGGTCATCAACTTCAACCACCAGCAGGCCCTCAAGCTTGCCTCGGTGGTACCACTTGAAAATGGTGGGATCCATAACGGACTGAACCAGTCCAAGCTCAAAGATGACCTTTTTCAGGGTCTTTCGCCAATGTGCTGGCGCATCTCCAAGTCCATATCCTCCTGCCAATATCTCCAACAGCTGCTCTTTCTCCAGTCCAGGCAGACCGCCTGATGGCTGCTTGTAAAACAGCCTTCCAGAGGGTCGCACCAGACGGTCGCTCTGCATGAAGGCATTCTTCAGATCTCCAACTGCTGCCAACCATCCGTTGGATGCACAGATCTGAAGGACTATGGATAGTGTGGCTGTGGTGACTGTGGGGGCATGTCTCTCCAGATCTAATAGATCTGGATCCTTGTCTCCTCTCACGCACCACCTTGACTTTCTAGAGGGTGGAGCACCTGGCTGGTCAGCGGGCTTCCATCGTCTGACCATCCTTGAGGGAAGCACTCTTGACTGCAACCCAGCTTCTTGCAGCTGTCTCAAGACTTCTTCAGAGTCTTCTTTGCTCAAAGCCTTGACAGCTCCGGTGGCTTCCACCTTGGACCACTCTGCCCCACCTGCCACCTTCCACTTTTCCCACTCCTCAGCGCCTTGTATGTCTTTCTCATGGACTTCATCGGATCCTCTTTTGACCATGAGACTCACTTCTGCGGGGATTCTTCTTAGGGTGAACTCTGTAAATCCTGTCCACCACCTCATGGCTGCCTCTTCCTTGTTGCCAACCTCCCCTCGCCAGTCGACCTTTTCGACTTTGCGGCTTCCATCCCCGAAGACTTTGTATGTCTTCCTCTGTGAAGTGAGATACCTCATTGGCACTGGACATCCTCTGGTGTGGCTTAGGGTGAACGTTGCCTTCCTTGCTTGTTTGTGGATCCTCACTATCTTTTTCCTTTCTTCATCATAGATCCACACATCTTGCTCTCCTTCCTCATCTCCTTCGTCAAAAGCCATTCCTTCCTCTTCTTCCTCCTCCTGACCGAGAGATGCTCCTTCTCGGTATGGCACCCACCTTGCTTGCTGTTGTTGGAGGTGTCTCCTGGTGGGCTCACAGAGACCCTGGTCTTTCTGGATTCACCTGCTCGTTCCTCCTCCCTGGCTGTGCTGCATCCTCCGGATGCTCAGGCCTTCCTTCTCCTTCAGGCTCTGTGCTTGATGAGGATGAAGTTGTGCTTGACGATGAGCTGGACGACTCACCATCTATGGGAACATTTGATGCTGGTGCTTGTGCTGATTGCTGTGGCTCTGGCTCATGTCTCTCGAGCCGAGGTCTGTTAAGTGGGGGACTGGGTGCTGGGGGGTCATCCTCTGCTGGGGTAATTCCCCAACCGGTAATGTCCTGAAAGCTCCTCTTGCTTCCTCTCCTCCTCAGTTGCTCCTTCAGCTCAGCAAACTCCTCCCTGAGCATGTCTGCTGCTTGTTGCTCCTCGCTTGTTGCTCTACGCACCTGTTCCCTTGCACACTTCCACAACTCACCCCTCATGTTCAGCCACACATTGGCGCCCTCCAACATGAGAACCGTTCCTGGATCCACCCACTTTGGTCTACGCCCTTCCCTGTCTCCTCTTCTGCTTAAGGGAACTCTGTACACATACACAACGTCGCCAACGTTGAATGTGATACTGGGCCTTGACCTTGCCAGCTCTGACCGCTGGATGACTTCTCGGGCGGTCTGTTTGAGGAATGCCTCCATTGCGGTGTGCCTTATTTGCAGCATTCTCCTCACATCATCTCCTGCTGCATGTGCTAAGAGCCGTGGGTCATAAGGATCATCAGATCCAAGATTCCCTGGCAGTCTTATGTTGCATCCCAACTGCCGTTGTGCTGGGCTGTACCCGCTTCTGTTGTACAGCCTGTTCTTGGCTGCCTCCGCGGCATATACACAAGTTCGCCATTCTTCACTTGTGGTGGGGCTCATCTCCTCCACTAGCTTCACAAAAGTGTCTTTGTCTTCACTTGTGGTGGGGCTCATCTCCTCCACTAGCTTCCTTGCTGCCACGGTGCTCTGGCACCGATGACCTTGACGACACAGCCACTCTCGGCCATCTTCTTGGAGAACTCTCCCACAAACTCACGTCCTTGATCCATCACCATCAGCTGTGGTACCCAAAATTTCGGACCCAGAACTGATGGAACTTCATCCACACATGCATGGACTGCATGGAATCCAACGGCTCAAGACATTGATGGCCGGTTCCCCAGTGTGTCACGTTTAAGACTGGACACGTCTTTCTTGGATCTAGATCGGGGAAGAACACTACATCCACCGCAACTGTGTGCCCTGCTTCAAAGGTGCGGGGAATGACTCCGGGCCTGGCCAACTTGGGTTGCGGCCTTGCTTCACATATGCTGCACCGGAAGTCACCCTTGGCGTACTTCCTTCCAGACTTCTGGCCTCGCCCTTGCCATCCGCAGTGCTCTGCAGAACTCGGGCTTTGCTGGGTGCCCTACGTTGTTGTGTAACTTTTGAATGAGCCTCTTGTCTTCTCGGCTCAAGCCCCCTTCGCGGCTCCTGCTCTTTCGATGTCGCGAGGGGCTCCCAGCGCTCTCACTGGCTCTCCTGCCTGATCCACCGCCCTATCCAAAGCATCCTCCATCTCCTCTGCCTCATCCTCCTCGGTGGCCCATATGCTCCTCCATTGTGCTGAATCTTCTGCTGCTCCTTGCACCATAGCTTGACACAATCCTCTGGGGTATTGCTGTGCTTTGCTTGCTAGACCTCCCATGAGGTGTTGATGCCGATGGCTTCCGTCACATTTTTGGCTGAGCCTCCTTGCTAGGCTTTCGCCGTTGACCAAGAAGTCTGTGGGCTTCTTGTTCAGGCCTTCTTGTACCTGAAGCCCGTACACACACTGATGTCCCCGGACTCTTTGGACACCCTTCATGGCTGCGGCCTTCTCAACACATTCCTCCTTCCATCCTCGAGACGTGACCGGGTGTTCAAAGATAGCCAGTTTGCCTCTGGCTACCTGCCATCGGTAGAGCTGCATGGTGAACTCTAGGTGCTCAATGCCTTCACCAATCATGAGCGTTGCCTTTGCCCCTTCCATCTTCGGAAGGTTGAGCTCTTGTAAAATGGAGAATGGGCCACATGGTGGCGACACCGGAAGGACATCAGGGTCTAAACGACACTCCTCTTGTCCTCCCGCCTTCGGAAGTCATACCCATTCTCCAGATCAATGCTGCAGCTCCTTCGTGTCCCATCTCCTGAGCCATTTTCGTAACTCTTGGAGGTGAGTACACTTCTGCTACCAGCCCGTCGGGAATTCCTTGAGAGACTGCGCTCAGCCTCTTCATAGTGTTCATCTTTCATCCATTCCCCGGCATGTGCGAAAACTCCAAGTGCCCTGGCACCAGGAGCATACTCAGGCAAAATGCCTTGTCCTTCTTTCCAGCTGCCTCCTTGGCTGGAGATCCAAAATTGTGGTGAAACCTGCTTCTCATGTTCCCTCATATGCTCATCCCTGAGTTGCATGGCTTGTCAACCTTTCCACTGTGCCTCAGTGGTTATAGTGCAGGCCCAGGGGCGTCTCCAACTTCCTTTGCCGCTTCCTCATCTAGCAACGGCTCCAGGAAGCCGTGCTGTCTACCATCTCCACCTCTGGAGATTCTGGGGTCATGTGCTGCTCCTCCAAGTTGCTCCTCAGAATGCGTTCCTGCGCATTGACTTCTTCCTGGAGACTCTGGTCTCTCATCAGATTGGCAAGACGCTCCTCTCCGGCTGCTGCCGTCATCCAAATCAGTTGCTGGTGCATCTGCTCTACCTGTGCTTGACATGCTTGCATCTGCTGATTGGCATCGATGTTGTGCCTCCTCTCTGCCTCCAGCATTGTGGCGTTCACCCTCTCCTGCATCTCCATCTTCAGTTGCTCCTCCCTCCTGTGTGCCTTCTCCAGCTCCTGCTGGAGTCTCATCTCGTTGGCCTTGTGGCCTCCTCCTCGCAGTCGCACTTCACCACTGGCCGGTGTAGTGCTCTGGCTGTGCTGATAGGACTTGCTGCCCTGACACTGGATGCTGTGCTGTGGGGAACTCGGGGTCAGGGTTGGTGTGTTGGGGCTCCTCATGCTTGTCTTGGGGTTTGGGGCTGCCGCTACTCCACTCTTCCCTGACAGCATCATCTTGCCGCCCACAGTTACCGTTGCTTGGCCTTTCTTCAGATCCTCCATTGGGCTGGGATCGACCAACCATCTCATGTGACACTGCTTGCACCAGACCTCCCTCTGAGACTGGTTTCTAGCCCCCATCAGCTGCGCTGCTGGATGAAAGCAATTTTGTGGCGTCATGGCAGGCGCCTCCTTGCACTTCCTCTGCCCAAGGGCCTCTCCACTCTTGATGAGCTCCTTGAACACCTCTGCCTTGAACGCCTTCTCCTTTGAGATTGGCTCGAGCCTTGAGGATTGGCCCGAGCTGGGGCCCATGGATGAACATGGCACTGCATAGCCACCAGATGATCCACCTCCCTGCCAGAGCGCGACTCTTGCCTGAGCGACCATGAATGCAATCAGGTCTGAAATCTTTTCCAAAACCACTCGCCAGTTCCGCACTGCCCGACAAGGATTGGGAGCTGCTGAATGAGCACCAGCAGCATTCGTCTCGCTGCGGCTTCCCATACGCTGCAGTGACGTAGTAGATCCATGGCCTAGACAGAGAGATGAGTGCGCACCGTGGGACTTCGTGAAAAGACTTGTAGCATACATGGCTTTGCGGTCTCTCACAAAATCGGAAGTCTTTCGATGAGCACATGCTGAGTCTTGTGGAAGAGACCAACCGCTGGGATCAAACTGCAAAACATCAACGGCAACATGCCCTGTTCAGTTCCTACTCCAAAACGATTCAACTTGAGCTCTCCGTTGTCCAAATCAACCACTGCTGAGACTTCCTTCTAAAATTTGACTGACAAAAGAAGTGGAACCTCCTCTTCCACAACAGTGCATTCTAACAAATCGTTGATACCTGCTATGCCAACGGGAATCTCAACAACCCCGCAAACATGTGCTTTGCCGCCAATCCCTCTTACTTGTGCTTCCTTTTCTGTTCTCAAAACTTTCAAACCATGCCTACTGAGTGCTCCTTCCAACCTTTGCAAAGACTCACGACCGATCAACCCGCCCTGAGCTGCTGTGTCAACTACCCCATGTTCTGAACGAGTGGTCAAACCATGAAAGCTGCCAGCATTGGTAATTGGGGATTTCATCTGACGCTTTGGAAGAAAACTGCCCAGGGTCAATGGTTCATGCTGATGTTGATCTCCAAAGAAGAAACCCTCACTTTGAGAACCTCCAGCGCTCATCTCACAAAAGCCTGTTTTGCCGCTCATTGCCTCACGCTGACGCCCACGGGCATCTGGCTCATTGGTGCACTCCTTTGCCCATGCCCTATGATGCCGCACTTTGCGCAGCGTGTCCTCAACTTCAACATGTCCACATGGACCTTGGTTCCTCGCTCTGAGGAACCTCTGAACTGGACTCTGCCGCCACCAGCTGAGAAGTTGAGGCGAGCACTGCCTCCACCCTTTGAAGTCGCCGATGACTTGCCATGGGACTTGCCGTCATAGTAGCCCCTGCTTGTCTTCTGATCTCTGATCGCCTTTCTCACCTGTTGGTAAGATGCAAGTGCTTCTGTGATCTCCTCCTCATCGAAGATCTCTTCTAGATCTTTCTCCCCGAGGTGGACATAGTCCTCGGAGTCGTCTTCCTCCTCAGGAAGCTCAGCGAGGATCTCTCCCTCGGCTGGATAGATCTTTGCGCTACCCCTCTCTTTCTGCAACTTTTCCAACTTCCTCATGGCTCTCACTATGTCATCTCCGCCGAACTTCCCTTGCGTCCATGTGGTCACCTGATCTTCTTGCACCTGGGTGAGCGCTGCATGTCTGAAGATGATATATCCTCGGACTTGATCCTCCAGCTTGATGCCTTCTGTGGAAAGCTCTCTGAAGGCAGCTTCCATGCGGATGATGTAATCACCCAGCGACTCTTTGCCTTTGCGGCTTTCTGCGTACACCGCCTTCTCCAGAGCTCTTGGGACTGCTGTCTCAAGGTGAGGCTGGAAGTAAACTTTGAGGGCAGCCAGGATCTTGTCTACTCCCTGCTCGCTGGTAATCTCAGCTATGCTCAGCTCGTCAACCACCGCTTTCGCCGACCCTGGCAAATGCCTCAAAACTTTTGCCCCCTGCTTCACCTTTGGGACGTCAGTTTCATGGCGCCACAGCTCTAGTTCTCTGTTGTACTGTCTAAACATCTCTTCTCTACCATCAAAACTTGGCGGGGGATCCCGGTCCCGATACCCAGTGTCAGCATGTGCACTAGTCGCTGCAGCCACATCACCACCCGACATGGCGGAACACCGATTGGCGCCTGAATCGGATCAGCCACCGCTACCACTGTTGAGCAGCACAGAAAACCTTGCGCAGTTTCACAGAATGCGCCCCCTGAGCCGACGGGGCTTCACGGCGTCAGCACCTGTTGACATAATGCACAACAGGAAAAGCTATGTGAGAGTGAATGCACCCAAATGACATCAAGATGACATCTTTAAAACAGACTACCAAAAAAAGATGGGTCCAACACCAAGCTGCCCAGTCTGGTTGGACCTACGGCTGCTTGGAGGACTTCCACTTCTCATATTCCGAGCGCCATAACTCGATCCTGTCCCAGCAGATTCGCGACTGGCCCTACTGGCCCTACTGGCCCGGCTGTTTCTGCTGGCCCGACTGCCTGCAGTGCCTACAGGCCCTACAGGAACTCTGAGGCTATTTTTGGAAGTCCAATGGCCCCAAGCATCACGATGTCGACCCAAGCTCTCATCCTCAGCAAGCTTGCGAAGTAACATCTATGTCTGTCCGTCTGTCTGTCTACACGCACGTAGCAGATCAGTCGGATCCCTGCACAGCACATGGAATACTTTCTAGCTCCCTTGGACAAACCTAGCAAACAAGTAACCCCAGCAGCATGAATTGCTGAGACATTTTGAAATTGGAAGCCCCAAAATCCACAATTCTACAGCAAAGGATACTGCATGCCAATATGTTTTCCGAAACATTTTGATGGATCTATAACATTCTGGTTGGGCGTGCATGATCGTGTTCCTGTTTGCACTCCTACGTTCGCTACTGTATGTCTTTGACGGTTCCCCATCAGAAAACAACCATTTGTAGATCATTTTCGTAGGGAAACCACTGGCTTCCCACATCTTTGTATGTTTACCCTAGGCTATCCCATCACTTGTTCACCATGAGTTTTTCAAGGACGTATGCGACCCAGCTTCTGTCCCTGACCTCAGATATGATGGGTGATGGAGCCTCAGCATCATGCTACAACTGCCTCAAAGGATTCAAGATGCCACTCTACTTGCAAGAAGGCTGCGGAAAAAACGAAAAAAAAATCAACAAAAGTGACAGGTCCTGCTTCCGTCCGGTCAACGGCTGGCTCGACAACTTCAATCTCTGGTTCGACAACTAAACCGTCTGGTTTCAAAACCAAAACATCTGGTTCGACAATTATCATTTGACTACTAAAAACGTCTGGTTCAACAACTACGATTGTCGGATTCGACACCTATGGTTCAACGACTAAAACCATCTGATTCGACAACTAAAACCGTCTGGTTGGACAACCAAAAAAAAACAACAAAGACAATATAGACCAACCCAAAATAAGCCCTAAAGTGACCCTAAATTGCTAAATAGACTTTACTGATAGGCCCTCAATAACCCCAACAGAGTTATAGATAAACCCTAAACCCACCAAGCGTAGAAGCAGGCTTTGTATGGCTTTGTTCCGTCAGAACATGACCAGCAAAGTGCTGCCCAGGCGCATTCTCTCCCTGTGCTTTGGGCTTCCGCCCCTTCCTCTGGAATCTTGCGAACGCCTTAGCCACGCAACGCACGGAACGCACCAAGGTCCAAAGAGATCAAAGAGATCAAAGAGGTGAAGCCCGAAACACCTGAAACACCCGGTGGCTTCAACGAAACTGGGGGTTCAACCACCAGAACCTAGCAACGTAGATGTAAGGCAGAGGTTGGGTTGGGTTAAGATGCCCGAAGCAATCTAGCATAGAGTTGTTTGCATCATGCTACAACTGCCTCAAAGGATTCAAAATGCCACTCTACTGACAAAAAGGCTGCGAAAAAAGAAGAAAAAAACATTTCAACACTAGTGACATGTCCTGATTGATGAGAAGAATGCATACCTAAACAGCAAAGTGGTACCCAGCTATGCCCCTTGCACCTGTGCATGCCATGTCACTGACTGTGCTCAACAATGCTGACCTTTGGGTTTGCAGTTCCTCTGGAAGCCCGACTGTCTCGTACAATGCGTCCGCTCTCCGTGCGATTTCCTATGTCGTCGACCTCACTGTCCGACACACTGCTGATCTTTAGGGCTGCAGCGCTTCCTCTGGAAGCCCGACTGTCTCGTGTAGCACGACCGCCCTCAGCACCATTTCGACCGGAGCTCCTGTCCTCAGCTGGGGTTTCCAATCCATGGCAATACCCCTAGATCATACATTCATGGATTTTCAACTTTAAACCACATTTTGGGGTACCCCATTTATGGAAGCACATTTTTTTGATACAAACTGTTTAAAAATTGACTGATGACCGAGTAAAATATCCGTGTGCTGACACGCAGAGTGCTGTGCACTGCAGGCCTTTTGGTGGTCTCATGTCCCTCGTGTCGAAAAAACGTGGTTTTGGTGGATCCCAGAGGGTTGATCCCACCAGCACCGCATCTGTTCACAAACTGCACAGTGTGCACTGGTGGGCTGCGATAGTTCAAACTAATCATCAATAACTGATAATCAAGACTCAAGAATAAGGATGATAATCAGATACATGATAACAATAGATAAGAACAATAGCATGCAGTAACAACACAGAGTTTCAAAGAAACATTCTGCTGATTTATTGAAGGATTGTCTGGGTGTTTTTTGCGCATTCCTATGTCAGCTACTTCGTTTGTGGGGTATGCAACCCAGATTCTGTCTCTACCCGACGCTGCGATGGGCTTGACCTCAGCTCTAAACAGCTGTAGTTTCTGCCAGAGGATATCATGCTTACCTTGGGCCAAGTGTTAAGCCAATGATACCTGTCTAGCATCATATGGAGAAGGTGGACGTAAGGCAGAGGTTGGGTTGGGTCAAGATGCCAAAGGCAATCTAGCGTAGAGTTCCTTGCATCATGCTACAAAGGCCTCAAAGGATTCAAATGCTGCTGTACTGACAAGACGGCTGCAAAAAAAAATTATTTCAACACTAGTGACATGTCCTGATTGATGAGAAGAATGCATACCTAAACAGCAAAGTGGTACCCAGCTATGCCCCTTGTACCTGTGCATGCCATGTCACTCAATGTGATCAACAATGCTGATCTTTGGGTTTGCAGCGCTTCCTCTGGAAGCCCGACTGTCTCGTACAATGCGTCCGCTCTCCGTGCGATTTCCTATGTCGTCGACCTCACTTTCCGACACACTCTGAAGTGACTCTTCCCAAATCATCCCAGGCATGTCATGAATTTCCGCCATCGGTGCTGATGGCACCACGGCCAAAGGCACTTTTTTGGGACCGTGGTCACCTTCGAAGGCCAACACCGGCGCGGTTTCCACATCTGCCGAGCGATTGGCGAAGAAAAACTCCTTGAAGGACTTCCGAATGGGCGGCTGCAGGCAGAGTAGAATCAGCTGCAAGCCTTGGCAAACACTGTGATAAGTGGCCACTGCTGTCCAGCCCCCGAAGTCGTACAGAATGCCTCCGACAGTGCAACTGCTCGCCACTGCAATGGTGAACACGGACAACAACGTTGAAGTTGCCATTCGGGCTTGGATTTCTGAAGCACCAAAAGTATCAAAAGCAATGCCTTCGATGGCGCAAGTGGGGTCAAGGCATAACAGCACCACAACTTCTGTAAAAATTGCCCACAGGCTTGTTTGATAAATCAAAGCAAGGATGGCAAATGCCAAGTGGATCACGGCAAAGGGCACGATCAACCAGTACCCTGCGCGCAGTTGCAGTTGCTGTGTTCCCACACGCAACAGAAAACCAGTAGTCACAGATAGACCACTTGTGACCAATGGCCATCCATTTGCTGCGAAATGCAAGCTGTAGCCCGACCAAATGAAGCCGCTAACTGCACCATTCAAGATTGGCATCAGGACGCAAACAGACACATATGAGCAATTGCAGGGAAGCGTCTCAAAGTCCTGGAATTCAATAGGTTCTTCGTCAGCTTCAAGATCATCCCTACCGGTCGCCATGTCGTGCCAAACATGTCAGGACATCTTACACTTGATGCTGCAAGCTGAGATTGCGACAGAGGTGCTTCCAATCCGATGTCATCTGATTTCACGTTTAGTGTGTGAAATTGAAGGTTGACAAATTCATTTGCGCGGCAAGACAACAAAATTCCAGGCACGCTAATGGGTCCACACAAGCGCAATATTCGCATTTTTTTCAATGCACGCCTCTCCGCCCAATACTTTACTTTTTCCAAAAGACAGGTTGCTGAAATTAATGCGAAATGAAGAACATCAGCGTCTGAAAACACAGTGGTGAGAAATTGGAACGCAACTCTCCCCACAATGGACAGCTACGAACTAAACCACTTACTGGTTCCGACCGATCTATGACGAGTTCCCGACCGGACCGGCCCCTAGTGAAAGCTCTTATCAGCTCACAGGAATGTTTTGCTGCTGGTATTCCGGTGGGTCACAAGGTTTTCTGGCTAATTGGGAATCAAAGATTGCACCTCATTTGAAGCATGCAGAATGGAGGCTACGTTGATAACTTTCCATGGGTGAAATCAATACTCTGGAAGACAGGACGCTTCAAGCAATTTGATTTACACCACATGCAGCCTGACCTCAACCCCGTATGGAGTGGTTTCCACCCCCGTGTGCGCAGGTAGCAGGGCATTTTCTTGCGCCAAACATTCGGGTCACATGGACGTGATCGTCCCAAACAAAAGGCTCTTCTGCGCCGGCGCATAATTTGAAAGGCAAAGTGTTCGAGCCCGAAAAAATCGACACGTTGAAAAGTGCGAGTCTGCAGGTTTTGCAGGGTCGAAATGTCAAAACAAAAAAAATGGATAAGTCCGACAAGGGTCTTTAGGCTAGTCGGGGGCCCTATGGGGCCCTAGTATTCGTGATCCCGGTGTTGGATGGCGACAAGAGAAAAAACAGAACACCAATCGAACAAAAAGGCAAGCAGCCGAAAGTGGCACAAGAAAGTGGCAGATCCAGCAATCAAAAAGCACGCAATAACTTGGAGGTTATGGACTCATATAGAGACAGCAGAAGTCAAGAAAAAATATTCAACCGGACAGAGGACAACAACAAAAAAAAAGAAACAAAAGCAAGAAAGTGCAGATGATGACGAACACAAAGAACGAACACGAACAACATAAACTGAGGCAGAGCTGCAGCCGAACATGACCAGAGATGACTTGCAAACTGCACTCCAGACCCAAATAACTCAAGTCAACAGCTCAACGAAGCGACGTACGACATTGAAACCAACCACCGCATTGGAGCTCACCTCTTAAACAATTTATACAAGCAACAGGCAGACGCTAAACAAGAGTCCCAGCCTTTTACAGTGGAAGGTTTTCCCAAGGATGCACAGGAGACAAACACGCCTTCATCAAATGGATTCTTGAATATTTTGAATCCTCCAGCTGTGCTGACCCTGTCAAAGCCAGTCTCACACAATTGTAGTCACTGAAACAAAACATTCCAATGGTGGTCCCATTCCAGAGGCAGCTCAACAACTCAATACACATTGGAAAAAGACTCGCGCATGCCATCCCAGGGCGATGTTCACAGTTCAGTTTCCTTTGTTTCAGCTTTCATAACACAAATAGACACTAAGCATGCTAAAGTCTGCAGCCGCATAAGCTCTATTTTGACGTGATGCGATTTGATCAAACAGACTGTACACAAAATGGTTACCAGCGGGTTCAACTATAGTACAGTCCAAAACGGATCAGAATTGATAACCCCCAAAGGGAACAAACCAACTGCGGTGAACAAACCCAAAGACGGGGTTGCCAACAGGTTGATTCAACAGGTCGGGAGTTCTATGCTACACCCTCACCACCTGCATCACCACAGAACGGTGGAGAAAGGGGATGGTGGAGGGAAAGAAATACGGTATGAAAGCTTGAAGCAAAACGGCAACGGACCAAACGAACTTCCGGGTCCTACCTGTGAACAACTATGTACAAGTACAAAACACGTTCACAGTTCAGTTTCCTCGGCTTCAACTTTCATAACACAAATAGACACTAAGCACGCTTAAAGTCTGCAGCCGCATAAGCTCTATTTTGACGTGGTGCGATCTGATCAAACAGACTGTACACAAAATGGTTACCAGCGGGTTCAACTATAGTACAGTCCAAAACGGATCAGAATTGATAACCCCCAAAGAGAACAAACCAACCGCGGTGAACAAACCCAAAGACGGGGTTGCCAACAGGTTGATTCAACAGGTGGGGAGTTATATGCTACACCAAGGTATTTCGAGAATCGACCATCCGGAGCCAGTAACTCCCCCAAAAGGAAATCGATTGAGGAACCCAGTCGGCGGACTGCTGGCTCGACTTTTTGCATGCTAATGCCAAAATGCGAAAGCCACTTTCGACCAGTCTGTGCAATGAGTACAGGAGAAGGTTCCAACAGCGCCTTCCAATCCACATTGCAGAAGTCATTCTATTTCAGTGGGGTTGGGAGAGGCTGCTGAAACCGACTCAAAGCATCCGAAATGATGTTTAGATGTCCAGGGATGTGGTTCAACTTGGGATAAATGTGAAGACGGCGCATGTACCTGTAATAGGGTGACAGCACTGTTGACATCGCAGGCGTCATGGACAATCCTTTGGCCGAGGCTGCATCGGCTGCACTGTTGTCGGTCCCTTGTTGGCAGGTGATAGGACCACGACATTTGGGAAAGCACATGACAATGCAATGTGAAAGACATTCATTGGCTACAGCTTTGAGGAAGCGAGCAATTCACTGACATACAATCTGACTAAATAAATATATATATATATAAAGACAAAAAACATAAATACCAAAACCAACAGTAAAACACAACCAAAACTAGGAAACAAACTGAACCTAAATAAAACATCCAAACACTCGCAAATTCAAAACATCCGAACCCTCTGACATGTGCAACTGTCGGTACGCTGAAATCACGAGAGACCCTTTCCTGTTTTCCATTGCCAGTTAAGATGTGATAGCTTCACATCAGAAGTCAGTTGGATCGATGGAACATTTCACCCATCGAACTCGTAAACCATTTCGGTTTTTGAGGTTGGCTAGTCTCATATATGAGACAGCCCTTGAAATTGTGTGAAACACGGCGAAGCTTTCGCAAGAGCTGCTGTTCAACGCAGTTGAAAGCAAGCAGAAAAAGTAAAATAAACGGCCAGATGCAAGATCACACACAACCGTTGGAGTGAACACCCTTGAGAAAAGGTCAACGGCTGGAATGCACGGATGCTGAGCTGTGGAAAAACAGCTGGTATATTTCGGATAATCGCAACTGAAATCGGATGCATACAAGCGGATGCACAATGAGTGAAAACAACTCGGCCAATTTGTGGTCAAATGGAGTACACGCAGAGAATGAAATACCACCCTTGCTGTACAGGATATATGATCGTAAATTGGAGAAGTCGAAGATGAAGCAACAGCGGAAACAACAAATGATAGTCGGGATAATAACCAAAGTGGGGAAAGAACATGAGATCATAAGCCCATAGCAACAAGGAGTGGGAGGATGGGTTTTTGAAAATAATTTGAATGCTTACTTGAGCGAAAATGTAATGAAGCATTACATTGATTAAAACACAAACGAAACAAGCACGTTAAGAGTTCTAACAAGTAAGCATTCATTGGCTACAGATTTGAGGAAGCGAGCAATTCACTGACATACAAACTGACTAAATATATATATATATAAAGACAAAAAACATAAATACCAAAACCAACAGTAAAACACAACCAAAACTAGGAAACAAACTGAACCTAATTATGTTCTGATACCTACTTGCTGCGGCAATGGGTTCATCATGTTGTGTGTACCACTGTTGACAGATCCGAATCAGCGCACTCAACTTTTTATCGACTGGGGTTCAGCTTCGGTATTGCCATTGCGGCGCGCTCTGGCCTTGGGTAGGCAACAGAGCCCCGATCGTGTAGGTTCTACCTGAAGTCCAGGTTGACGATCGGGATATTGTTGGTCCGTCGAAAATGGTTGCGAAAGAACCTTGCTAATTGTATCATCTGTATCGTAAGCCTCAACTTGAGATGAGTGATGACTGCACGGAGATGTTGTCGGACTTGGTCGATGTGCAGTGAGGCTTGTGGAAGATGATGTTCATCAAGGTAATCACTCAGGTCATCGACTTGGCAAATGACTTCGTGTGCCCGTGCCAGTTCACGTTGAGTTTGAAGAATTGGGTCAAAAAGGGCTTGAAGGTCTGGTTGCACTTGCACGAGAGCCATGTCGGATACACTGAGGTGACGGAAACGGTGTTCAGAAAAGTAAGAGCATCACTTGATGCGAGATAACATGATGAGCATCACTTGATGCCCCAGGGTGGGAGAGGTATTGGGACGAAAATGAAAATGTCAGGTCATGAACATGAGTATGTATCACATTGAGTGTGATGATCATTAATCAAGTAAAATGACTTGATGATAATGTCACTCATGTCATGACTCGTCTCATGTTCTCCCTGCAGCACTTGCTGCTGTCTCACTTGAGACTAAAAAGGATACGTCGGATCAACATGGTTTGACATCACACAACTACATGACGAAATGCCCCATGCCCGCGAACTCATGTATACGTATATGAACTCCGTATACATTCGTTGGTAGTAGGTATTTCACATAAAAATCTATCATGATTCTCATGAGAGTATTCTTATGTTCTGATACCTACTTGCTGCGGCAATGGGTTCATCATGTTGTGTGTACCACTGTTGACAGATCCGAATCAGCGCACTCAACTTTTTATCGACTGGGGTTCAGCTTCGGTATTGCCATTGCGGCGCGCTCTCACCCTATGGTAAGGCCGCTTGTTCCCAAACTGCTCTTGGGTCAACTCTGGAACTTGTCAGTCCATTCCAAATCGTCACGAAAGATCTGGATAAATGGTCAGAGGGGTTGGATTGGCTTGGAACCCTTTCTAACCAAATTTGGCAACATGACTTTTCTTCCAAAGAAAATATTTTCTTGAGCAGTTGGCTGCTTGCGTCATTTTGTGAC